AAAATTCTGCCATCTTATAATAATAAAATTATATATGCATAATATTTTACATCCCAACTCTAGAGTTCATTAATTTTAATCAAAGTTGGAGACGACAATGCGCATCTAAAAGTTTCTAGCTGAAATGCGATATTGCAGTTTCTCTACTATAAGATTTTGATTAATTAATTAAGGCATTTGCCTGATTAAGATTAATGCTTGATTCACACCATACTACCGCACATATGCCACTCATTGTCCGTGTCATACCATGTGCATTCACATGTTCGGTCGGGTCACGAGCCATATTCACTAAAGTTTCTTTAGTATCACGTGACATGCCAGTCACGCAGCACTGCAAACTGGTATATTTAAATGCCAGATTCAACAAATCTGGTATTCTGAGATGATGTCTGGTATTGATATTTTTGATCTGCTTACTTATGTGCTAAAATTAATTATGTTGCGCTGGCAATCTGAAATACCAGGCAAAAAGTTAGTTGGAGAAGCTGCAGTCACGTATCTGTTAAAATATCTTTTGCTCCAGTCACGTCCCGGTCAAAATATCATAAATATCAGGCATGCCAGGCGTCTTGCACAGCTGGTGTGAATGCATCTAAAGAAAACTATTATATAATCACTAAGAAACTTATTTATAACAGTTATATCCAGGGCAACCTAGGGGAACATACTTTATTGTGAGTTAAGAAATGCATTGAAGAATATTGGACTGGACCGTGACTGGCACGTGCCAGGCAGTATGGTGTGAACCAGGTCTTGCTCAGTATCGAACTAGCAATCAGCTGTGAAATTTATTTCTAAAGCATCCTTACAGAGGGAGGATGCTTTATTATTTGAGGACGCAATTTATTTCTATAGCATATAACTCACAGAGGGATTCGGCCCTATGAAATGTTTCGAGCCGAGCTCGAAACTTCCTTTGTCGGACTTGCGAAACTTTGACACTCTGACTCTAGCAAATGCTTTTTAAATTATATGAAATTGATATAGCTTTATCCCAGGTTGAAAGCACTATAGGTGGCAGTCCAACGAGAATCCTTAACAGGCTGAATCTGGTGGTGTTTTTCTAGCGTGCTAATTGTTAAATGAATGTTAGGCTGTCAAAAGCAATAGATAGTAAAAGGTTCAAGATTTTCGATGGCCTCCGAGCGACCCAAAGCCCTATAATCACCTCGGCTGTCAAAAGATCGCTAAATCTTCAAATCGTCAATTAACCTATCCGCCCACACACACCAACAATAAATAGATCAAAAACAGAGGTGCAGTAAATTATGTAAACATTCTATCCAAAAATTACATGTGGATAGAATTTTTAGAACAAGTTAATCAAACGATAAGTCATTGACGTAAAAACATATCAACAGATGAAAGAAGATTTATTCAAGTATCTGATAACTCTCACAAATCGCAACTTAACGGTAGTAGGGAAAAAACTATGAAATTGCTGCCCGGATATCACACATTGCATGTAAGCGTACAATAAAATTCTTGAAAGTTTAGCATGTTGTCTACGGGTACATTGATTGTCGTCGATGCTATTCGTACATATAAAGGCCTCATGACGACAGCTACTGTTCGTAAGAAGTGGACTAAATGAACAGCATCGTGGTTCCAGAAATTGTGTTTATCATTTATTAGCATCCTCTCGTGAGTTTCAGTTATATGTCCTATAATAAAACTTACAATAATCACTTATAAATAAGCATGCAACTGAACGATGGCCGGTTATTTGAAAACTGGGCCTGCACATTAATCGAGCGAACATCAAAACATTTTGGCGGCGTAAGGTTTGAATATGGAGTTAATCTTTGCTCGAGCAACTAGCCTCGTTTTACTGGAATCCTTCTTAAAGCGAGATGTCTAACGAATAATTAAATATTTCAATAATTAAATTTATCGTCGCTTCGTACATTAAGTAATTGGAGTACAGATTACCTGACATACTACACATGCTGGCACAACATGCTACTGCCTGCTTATTTGTGTGTAAGGGAAATTCATCCATTGTCAGATTTTTGTTGTGGTCAAAATTATTTCTTGTCATACGGTATAATGTTACCGGTAAAGTTGGCTACCGTGTTGCGTGTGCTGACGTGGCATCACAGGGTTGAAGTCAGCGTTAGGATACCATTCATTATTTCGTTGAGACTTGGTCGGAGCGCACCTTCCTTTCACTGTGCTCTAGTTACTGTGTAGCGTCCCTAGTAGGTGAGTTGCAGTGGAGATATAAGATAGGCTAATTCTGTGTTTGTAATTCAGCTTTTGAACTTATCAATATTGATAAGTGTTGACCAACCCGCTAATTTGAATTGAATAACTGTTAATTAATGGTGTTGTGTATTTATCTGCGTAACTAGAGTAGCTCACCACCATTGTTTGGCAGGATCGATTTCTTGTCTGGCCAACAAGTACGGCTCCTACGTAGGCCGACGACTGCGGTGCTTCTAGGGAAGTGAAACTGATATTACTCTATAGGCTTCGGTTGACCTGTCGGAAAAAATTATATCGATCCCGTAACAATGTTAACTGCCCGAATGGGAAAAAGAAGTTAGAGGCGTTTTAGCCTCAAATAAACAACGAACTCAAGTCAGCCTTAATTTCAGTAAAATTTATTATGAAGCAAAGTACCTTGAAATTTTGCTGCTTTCTTGCATTAATTTTGAATTCTATTTGAGCAGTTCATACATCGGCAAGTGGCAGTTAACAATGACACATCAGTAAACTGCAGTCTTACCGAACGGCGAACAGCTTGAATATGCTTAGCCGTATTGCTCGAGGATTTTGCTTCTACAGTCATGCTGCCCACACAAAAGCAATCGTGAATGATATTAGTATTCAGAAGCTGAGATTAGAGGCGAGAATCTCGGACATGAACGATCAGAAGGGTTTTTTTCAAATCGGCGTCAAAAGCCTTGTCGATATTGAGTGAAATTTGTGAGCCTTTACATTACAAATACGCTATGATGTAGCGATCTACGGCGTTTCTGGTACTGCGTACCAGCAGTTGAAGGTCTCTATCACGATATTATATGTAATTTATCCTTGATATGTTGATGGTTCATGCGTTTCACGCCCGTCTACGTGACACTGATCGCTCTCAATAAAGAGGTAGAGAGCCCATGTGTCTGGAACAGGTTTTGCAGTCGCACCATAAGGCAGTCGCATTTGTTTCGCCGATTCTTGAGAATCCTTTACGTAATATGCCTGTTCAGTTGTGCCTGGCATTTATCGTAAAATGAGATCAGCAAGGCGGAGAATCACATCAGTAGTCGTAAATAATCAACGCTTTTGTAAAAAAAACAGTCACATTAGTATTTTTTGGCACTAATAATTAATAGAGAAAGGAAGTCCCTTGAAATAAATATGAACAGTAATGAAATAGAGCTGTTATTGATAGCTGTAATTTAAGCACGTATGCTTTGAAAGGAAATTAATGCGATGGAAGACATTTGTTTTGTAAAGTTATGTTTAAGTTTGAAAAAAAAGATTTGGCAAGAGACTCTATATTAAGTCTTGAAAGCCGTATGAATAGAAATTATTTGAACGCCTGTGCTTCATAAGTTTATGACTTCTGGTAAGAAAACCTATTCAGAATTAAGCCGAAAGCTTGGTGCTGTATTGATCAACCATATGCAAATGATGACTGCGCCATATATTAATGGTTAACTCAAACGGTGTACAATGTACAGTTTTCTATTTATGTAGATGTTAATGTAATCCAGTATTTTTTACTAATTAAGCAGGAAAAACGAAGTTTTTTAGAACATTTCCAAAACTTAATAAACATATTGTAAACAAAATCTAAAGACGACCGCCACAGTAGCATAAATTTATTGGTCGGCTTTCATATCCAATCTTTCCATCACTGTAGAATTTACGCATCGCTGGGGCACAACTATTAGCTCGTATTGTTTCTTTTTATTCGTACCACAACGGTTTCTTTAAAAAAATTAACATACATGCCAAGAAATGTAAACTATACAATAAGTATAGTGGTGATACGAGCACAATATTTCAACATAAATATCCAAAGATTAATAAGTAAATAATCAAGATTGATAAATAGGAACTTACCAAACACAGCACACATTTAGCTGTCACACCAGTCGATAGCCATGAATAGATTCACTAATTTTTATCCATCTAGGCCTTGCCTACTTCTACATAGGACTATTTTCAGTAGTTAGTACTGAAGACTGCAAATAAAAATCTGCCGCTGCAATATCTAGCTTCTGAAACCTTCTAAATAACAGTTACGAAATACCGAAAAACACGAATAATTCGAAAAAAACATGAATTCAAAATTTCACGATTTCTGTTCACGGATACAAACGAAAAATTTACAGCAAAGATCATACATGATCAAAAATTCAAATACACAACGTGGCAAATGAGATCGCAATTGTCAATAAATAATGTTTAACTAGCTGATCTTCATTCAACTTCGGTTCAATATGAATGCGAAAAAGTTGAATTATTGCAGCTAAAATATAAAAATATTCAATAGAATCTCGAGTCTGTCAGCATAAACAATGGACTAGATACAAGCGGTGAATTAAAAATTGTTGGATTATTGAGAAATAACTCACCGTGTTCACATTATATAACTACTTATTATTCCATTTCTTCACTGCTGGATTTTGCCATTACCGTATTCGATTTTCTACCAGCCGTCATTATCATTTAAATCGCAATTATGAAACTAATGTTATTTTAAACAGATATTGATCATCGCCAATAGAATCAGAAGACTCTTATGTTAAGTGACTATCATTGATCGTTAGTATAACTTCAGTTACTAAAGATTAGCATGAATGTATAATCATTTAAATCGTAATTATGAAACTAATGTTATTTTCAACAGATATTGATCATCACCAATACAACCGTAACATTCTTATGCTAAGTGACTATCATTGATCGTTATTATAACTTCAGTTACTAAAGATAGATTAGCATGAATGTATATAAAGGCTATGAAGCCCTCACAGGACACTCACATGGACCGGAGGGAGGCAGCGTACAGACGCAGCGCTGTGGCGCTCAGGCTCCTGATGCTCACGTTCCTCAGCGTCCTGTGACACAACATACAGCAGCGTTATAGTGCTGTGCCACAGCACACAGCAGCGTCATAGTGCTGTGCCACAGCACACAGCAGCGTTATAGTGCTGTGACACACCATACAGCAGTGTTATAGTGCTGTGCCACAGCACACAGCAGTGTACAATAAGAGAGGCATTAGTGCTGTGCCACAGCACACAGCAGCGTTATAGTGCTGTGCCACAACACACAGCAGCGTTATAGTGATGTGCCACAGCACACAGCAGCGTTAGTGCTGTGCCACAGCACACAGCAGCGTTAGTGCTGTGCCACAGCACACAGCAGCGTTAGTGCTGTGCCACAGCACACAGCAGCGTTAGTGCTGTGGCACAGCATACAATAGCATACAGTAAGAGAGGCATTAGTGCTGTGGCACAGCACGCAGCAGCGTAAAATAAGAGAGGCATTAGTGCTGTGGCACAGCACGCAGCAGCGTACAATGAGAGAGACATTAGTGCTGTGGCACAGCACACAGCAGTGTACAATAAGAGAGTCATTAGTGCTGTGGCACAGCACACAGCCTGTCTCTTATACACATCTAGATGTGTATAAGAGACAGNTGTACAATAATAGAGGCATTAGTGCTGTGCCACTGCACACAGCAGTGTACTATAAGAGAGGCATTAGTGCTGTGCCACTGCACACAGCAGTGTACAATAAGAGAGGCATTATAGGGGAATAGTGCTGTGCACAACACACAACAGAGTACAATAGGGGAAACGTAGCAATTTCTTCGCATTTGTGGTTGCTGTAAAATTAATATTGGCTTCATATTTATCGAATGAAAACTGACTGATATTATTACTTTTTAAACAAGCAATTTTTCGTAAAGTTTACTTATGTTTGTAATTCTCATGAAATTGATGTTATTGTTTTCAAATATTTTATTGGATTTGAAGATGTGGGGGAAAAAGTAGTTCCATTGTTTCTGAAGACGCCATGAACTAGATACTATGAGTGTTAAAATTATCATCTTTATCACTATATGCTACATATATGGGTTATATAAATACGCATCTTCCAGCCAGAGTATCACAAATCAATACGTCAGAGTTTCGTGACGTAAATTTGTTAATATCGACTAGACCACGACTAGTTTTGTAATTTTCATTTCAATTAACTTTATTTAATTTTGTATAACAATGGATTAATTACACATATTTAGACCAAAATAAAATACTAAAGATAATTATTTAATTTCAGGGAAAATATTTCGACACTATTGCTATTTGTGCATTAACATTCCATTAAGAAAAATAGCGTCACTTCTTATTTGAACAAATACATTTGTTGAGGGACTCAGCTGTATCTAAATACTCTGGAATAATGTTGTAAATTTCTGCAGATCGAACTAACGATCGACGTACTGACGATGCTAGAGGGGATTAAAATTAATTAAGCAGATTGAAGCGATTAAAAACAGGATTACTTAACACCAAGTTAATGCACTTTAATAATTATTCAAGAGTCATTAATGACGCACTATAAACCGCCTCACGTTTTTGCCTCCATTAACTTAACGATGGAGCAGCTGGCGCAGTAATGCTGCCTTAGATGCACGCATCTCATACCCATCAATAATGGGCGCTCCATTTCTTTTCAGGTTACTCGAACATGGATGCTATTTCTGGTACAGCTATGATAGTTTAACAGACAGTTTATTGAGGTATTAAAGTATTAACAATCTTATCGAAATGAGAACAACTGTGGGCAACACCTTGCAGCTGTTGACGACGTTGAAATGTTTCAGTAAAATGTTTATAGAGCCTCTAGTAGTCTATATAAACCTGTTTCTATTTGTGGGAATTCATGCCAAACTAATTTGACAAAAGAAACAGAGTTTTATGACGGTCTAATTAGGTCAACAATTGAACAGAGCACGGCAACCCTGAAACAAAAAAAAAGTTTGATTTACTGCACCTCTGTCCCCGAAACCGTGCGTCGAGGTTGTGTATGCATGCGGTTGTATTTAAGTTTTATGTTTTTTTTTTGTGCGAAAGTAAAAAACTGTAGAAGCATGAATGCTCATTCTCAAATCAAAATAGCTTCGAATTAGCCAAATTAATGACGGTATTTCGATAAATTAAAAGGCTCTAGAACCAGACCGTTAAAGCGTTACTCTAATTTTTGTATCAGGAAAAACGAAATTTTGAATAAACGAAAATAATGAATTTTGGAATGGATAGTTAGAATCAATGCACTGCTGACAGCTTACGGAGTTTGCAAAAACTGTTACATAAAACTATTTTAGAATTTTGTGCATAAGCTTTTACATTGTAGCGTTAACGACTCGATAATCCAGCGCAAAATGCAGAAATGATTTTATTTGAATCACAATAAATTTGAATAAACGAAGATAGTGAATTTTAGAAAGGATAGTTAGAATCAATGCACTGCTGACAATCTACGGGATTTACAAAAACTCGGACTACGGGATTTGCAAAAACTATTTTTGAATTTTCCTCATCAGCCGTTACATTGTAGCGTTAACAACTCGATAATCCAGCGCAAAAAGCAGAAATGGTTTTATTTGAATCACAATCGAGAGTTTGACTGGTCCGAATAACATCCAACTTGAACAAAACATTAATACCTTCAAACCTATGCTCGAAGCTCATTACTGATTACTATCGACGTCCAAAAAACATTTTTTGCTCCAAGTGTGAAAACATTGTTCAAATTAACGGACACCATTGCCTACACTGTTAGAAAAAATGGTGAAAAAACGGTCCCACTGGCGTTCTAGTGGCCGGTCGCCCCGTGAAAATAAACGGTTTACCCGTTTTATCAGGTGTTTTACGGATTTCTAGTGTTAAATTAGAATAAAAACGGCGACACGGTGTTTCTTTTCACGTGCCGACCGGCCACTGAAACGCCGGTAATACCGTTAAGGGTATTTTTTCTAACAGTGTATATTCCATTAATTAACATATTTCCGGGAGCAATTTGAAGCTGAAAACTCTAAAAGTGTATGCATTTTCATGCAAGAATCAGGTTTACGGCTGTCAACGCAGCACCAAACTTTCGCTATCGCTGACATCGCCGCATCGAATGGCCGTCGCTATTTCCATATATTTGCTACGCAAATGTTTTTCTTGAGCGACAGCGCGGCCAAGTCATGAAAACACAGCCGGTGCTTTACATTTCTTTGGCGTCTTGGGAATGATACGCCAAAAGTATTTCGCTGAAAACTCCAAGTATCGTTTTTGCGGAGGCATCGGATATTCGAACCAGATGAAGCCGAAACTTGTCGCTGTAATGCAGTTGTTTCTTATCCGCCGTTGAGTTGCAGTCGCTAGGACGGTTACTAACTGTTCACCTAAAGTCTCAGGGTCGGAAAAAAATCCTAGGCTGGAACGTACAAGTAATACGGTCATGCCTAAGTAGGACATTCACAAAAATAAATTTAAATTCATTTCTTGTCACTTTCAGAGACGGTCTGGCAGGTCGGGATACATTCGCTGCAGCGACGGTCTGGCAGGTCGAAAATAGCTTCGCTATCGTTGATCCATCGAAGAATTGCCGTGCGCTTTTTCATTAATAAGATCTTAGATGCATAATTACAATTTTTCTCAGCTGTATCTTATGACAACACATGCATTAACGTATTAAAATTGTAGGAAAAAGATATCCTTTGACTTTTAAAATGGAGAACACATATGGAATTATGCGACATTTTTACGAAATTGATTAATGTCGAGGAGCCAAAATTCCAGATTTGATGCAAATTTTACAAATTCGATCTTCCTAATAGTTTTAGATTTGTTAAATAATTAGTTATTTGATTCAGTATTGTATTTAACACCAACTGGACAGAAAAAGTTTCGCTTTTCATTACCTCGGAGGATTTGAGTCGAGTGAAAACTCTAATTGGAATATGCGAGTTCTGACATCAAATCAAGGTTCAGTCACGCCAAGCCTGCTGTGCAAAGGACAAGCGAGCCATTCCTATTATTCTGGTGCAGATGAACACCTTGTAAATAGTGAGTGATTGTTCCACAGACTCGGCCATGCGTACCGTCAGCACGAAGATTGCCTAGTTGTCCCAGTCCAACGAGTTTACTTGTCAGTCTATTGCAGTGGTTCCCAAAGTGGGCGATATCGCCCCCCTGGGGGCGATGGAAAGATCTGTGGGGGCCTTTGGAAAGATCTGTGTTTAACCTTTCTCATTTAAAAATTGCAGCACACTAAATACCAAGAAAGAGGCATTTATTTTTAATATGTGTCTGTCGGCGGGGGGGCGCTATAGATTCACTGGGGAGCCAAGGGGGGCGCCAGTCTGAAAAAGTTTAGGAACCACTGGTCTATTTCATTGAAGCGAACCCGCGTCATGACAAGCGGTTCTCGTACTGGTTTACGGTCACTGTATGTGCGCCAACACATACATTATACAGAAGTTACTTAAACTGTATCTAGTTACTTAGAGGTGGGCAGTAGCGCGCTACATGTAGCGGCCGCTACATTTTCAGTAGCTGTAGCGGCGCTACATTTAAGGCAATGTAGCGGTAGCGGTAGCGCCCGCTACATATTTAAGTAGCGATACGAGGTTTTGCCGCTACAGCGCTACCGCTACATTTATAGATAAAGCCTTTAGATTTTACTTAATAGTACGATCATTTACCTAAATCTTGGAGCCGAGCTGCAAGATGTACGAGTATCATGACGATTGCATTTTGAACTTGAGTGCAGTGAAAACGGAGAAATAATTCCTATCATACTTTTTATAGACCAAAAACATAACAATTTTCTTCAATATATTTCAATTAAGGACGGATGTACATTGTATATGCACAATCATCGACATCACGATTACTACGAAAAGGGACAAACTTTTTACATGTAGAACGTTGTGGATTAATTAGTCCATAATTAACAGCTTTTAACTGTTCTCAACGCGAATTTTTATTTTGTACTAGTTTAAATTAGAATGAGCAATGTATTTAGAGTCGTGTTCCTCATCTCTGAAAAATAAAATAATAGAGATTCAAAGACTATAAAAAATCTGCACCGAAACGAGAAAATTTTTGTACTTTAAATCGAGATACTGCCAGCATCACTGTACATAATTACAGAAGCTTAGTACTCTCTTCTCGAGCTTTACTTGAGCTATAGAATAAATGCTAAATTAGAAGATGAGGCAGTAATTTACAGGAGCTCTGCCCAAGAAATCCTAAATAAGCAGCATCCAAATTACATTCCTGCGGTAACGACAGAGCCTGGCTGGAAAACAAGTCCAAGTGTTTCAGTTTAGAAGAATCCAGTTAGGTCCGGCTGGATATATTTAGGATATAAAGATGATCTTAAAAGCAATTAAGGCCTCTATGAGGTAATTAAAACGTCAAAAGCCGCGGCGCAGGCTAGAAAAAGCGCTTTTAAGAAGCAAGTTTCGCTCATCCAAATTAGTTCGAAAATTAACTCTTTACTATTTAGAATTTTAAAATGAAAACTCCTTTCTAAAGCAGAAAATAACACTGAATCACAGCATGTTTCTCGCGTAAATTAGTTGCAAAGTGGACTAGTTTCTACTTAATTGAACACTTGCATAAAGATTCTGCTTCCAGCAAGAAAATTACCACGTCGCATAACGAAGAACTAAAACTAAGTTCCGAAATTAAAAATATTTACGAGTCCGCTGAGGAAGGTGTGAGCCCGTGCTGAATATTGCTTTGAATAAAGCAAGCCTTCGGGAGAGCTTTGCCAGGAGGGTTCAAAACTCGCGGCAAGACTAAAGAATAACAGACAAAAATCAAGTTTTGCTAGCTATTTTACTGCAAAAAGTTCGATACTGCAAAAAGTTTGATTAACTTTTTCAGATAGTTTAACAACCGAGTTTCTCACAAATTACAGAGACATCGAGATACATTTATTAAGTCGGTAATGACTTATTAAATGTTCGCACTGATTGCTTGTATGCATCTCTCCATTGATCTCTGAGAAACGTGAAGCGATGCATCAAGTTTTAAGTATAGATTAAAATTACATTTGGCATTAAGACTCGGCCAATAATCGAATTTACAACGGAATCCACTGAACAAACTAAAGCTAAAGCACTTAAATGATAACTCGGCAAAAATACCTCACCAAGTTATTTTTCAGCTTAGATGAACTCATATATCTGAACCATGTTGCAATAATTCGAACGATAAAAATAAACCGACTGCATTAAATGACCTTACTTAATGACCTCACATTATTATAGACTTATTTATTTGATCGTTAACAAATAAATTATTCATGTTAAAAATATACCATAAACTTAATTTAATAATTTAGCGCAAGAGATCAGAACTTACAGCCTGTTGAGTCCTTGCATGTAGCGTCTTGGCAGTTCAGTGACGTTGAAGCCTGAAGTCACGCACTTAAGTTAAATATATACTATGAACTTAATTTAATAATTTAGCGCAAGAAGACCATAACTCACAGCCTGTTGAGTCCAGGCATGTAGCGTCTTGGCAGTTCAGTGACGTTGAGGCCTGAAGTCAGGCACTCGACCTCCCGTATGCCGCGTTCGTCGAACGTCTCCCAACACGACGAACTTTTCGGCAGCAGATAACGTTCGTTTGTTCTGTCGTGCTGGCTATAATCGCTTCTTGTCTTCAAACGATGTGATGGAACTTGTGGTGCATGAAGCTTAAAGGCTTCCTTTGCACTCGAAAGCGTAGATGACTGACTTAGTAACAACAAAGACGAGTTTTTCATGGATCCTGGGACGACCTTTATGAAAGGCGCGACCAGTTTTCTTGATAGGGATTTGTTTCCAGTCAATGAACCCGCTTCCTGCTTTATAGTATCTCTTGTTTTCCCTTCAAATGCATGTCTCTTCAAGAGGAATTTTTTATGTACTCTTTTCAGAGGTCGCCGATTAGATGAGTTACCCATCACAACGCTGGAATGAGCTTTTGGTATTTTCCGAGAAAATCGATAGCGATCTCGCTTGCCAAAAACTGTAGCTTTATCCTGGCTTAATGAGCTCGTGGTTCCGCTGGCAGTCACCAAGACTGGCTTAGAGGAAGGAAACGCCTTTGGGATACTCGAGTTATGCCCTATAGCGATGAATCCATTTAAGGTTGTTGTATAGATCAGTTTGGGAGTTTTCCAATGGTATTTTTTTGCGGGTACCGAATAGTTGGAGCTCAATAGGAAAGGCCGTGGCGCTTGGGAATATTGAAATTCCTTTGATAAGGAAAATTTGGCTTTCAAATTTAGTGCGTGAGTTTTTCTTGCATGTAAATAATATGGAGATATTTTTCTTGAATATTTTACATGATTGTGGTGGGAGCTTAGAAACTTTTTGCTTTCCCTTGTGTGATGAGTTGAGAAAATTGCATATTTTTTCACCATGAAATGACGGTTAGAAACGTTCAGTGCAGACATAGCATTATACTTCCATGGAGTTTCTTCAGAATGCACATGAAAAATACTGATATTTTCGTTAGTTTCTGCTTGACAGCTCAGAATGAAAATGCACCAAAAATAGCAATTTAATGAAATCGACAGCATTTCGTTGACTTTGAGGAGCCAAGACCTGCAACGAAAAAATTTAATGATTGGTTTAAGGAAATTTTGTTGCTCTACAATGGGGAAAAAATTACATCAAACAGGTGATCAAGTTCGAGCAATGAGTGTTTCAATGTCAGTGTAGGATAATAATGGCCAAGAAGAAGTTGAACCTCGAAGTTCAAATGAAATATGTTAAATTTACCTAAATTTTACCAGAATGTACCTAAATTTACTAGGAAACAATGCATATTGAACGTGAAAAAGTAAAAATTTTCTGTAAACATATCAGAACTAAACATATCATGTCATAAACATATTTTCTCTCCCTAATGTGTCACTGTTCCCTAAAACCACATTGAAAATCTTTATGTATTTAGTTAGATACTAATTGTTGCAATAAAAATTGATGTTTCTAAGACAGTTCCGGTGCAAAATTTCATAAGGAATAGTTTATTGCATCAAGATTTCACAAAGGTTCAAGAGGCAAGAGAGTTTTGCAAAATGAATCATGGTAACTTAAAGAATTCAAAGCAACAATAAAAAATAACTACAGAGAGAAAACTAATATGCACTCGGGAACCCGAGTTAACGGCACCAGTTACCGAAGGAGCCAACGAGGGGCAGTTAAATACTCGTACATGAAAAAAAAACGGTTCTAATTTTCTGCGTCATGAATGAAATTCAATCGTATTTATTAGATAAAAACTGTGAAGATATTTCAAAACTTCTCACACATCTGAAAATTTACATCGCTACTCCAAGAATGTTACATCTCAGCCAGAAATATTGTCAATTGTTTACATTAATTAGTGGAGGACTTATTGTGGTAACGCAATGTCTCGCTTATTCAGTTTTAAGAAAGCTATAATATTATTTCTGACTGTACGTCTTCTTATGAGTTTAAAAGATTTCATCTAGGATCATTGTAACGGAAACCAAAAACGGTCTCACGATGCCGAAGCCATTGAATTTCATGGTGCTGATGAGCCTGGCGTCTCGGTCGAGCCATCAAAGAGCGATGAAATTTTAACCGAGCCACAAATTCGAAAAAATATTCGTTCTCGATTGGCAGCCGAATCCAAAAATATTCGTTCTCGATTGGCAGCCGAATCCTAAAACAAGAAAAATATTAGAAAATTCTTAATGCTCAATTAACACGGTGAAACTCAAACACCACTACACCGCGTAATCCGCGACCAACGTGTTATAGAAGGCACGGTACTTTTATGCGTCTATAGCTAGCTTGCTCACGATGAGCCGGGCTTTCATGATTTTAAATAGCAAATATATTTCAGGAGAATGAAAGACAAAAGTAAGGCAATGATTTTAAGATAGAAATTGTATTTCAGGAGAATGAAAGACAAAAGTAAGGCAATGATTTTAAGAAAGCAAATATATTTCAGGAGAATGAAAGACAAAAGTAAGGCAATGATTTTAAGATAGCAAATATATTTCAGGAGAATGAAAGAGTAAAATTTAGGCCTGAATTGTGAACTCATGAAGCGGTAGTTTTCAGTTTTGAAATAGACGGAGTATTTTCAAGCCAAACAATGATGAAATCCACAACTTTGAATTGTTTTCAGTGGAAAAATGGGGCGAGTAATTTTAAATCAGGTAATAATACTATAGATTTAAGTAATTTAACTTTTTTTAACTTTAAATAAAATGTATTCGGTAGGCACGATAAAGCTCAATTATCTTTAAAATTACTCTTTTAGCCTGGTTAAAACTTTCATTNTAAATGTCATTTAGCATCGGATAAGGTCTTACAACGGGGGCATCAAAGAAGCTCATATTCCTAGAATACAGAACAAGAAAGAAACCAGTTTCAGAAAGAAACAATTCAAGGGTTTCCAAATCCTTTGAAACGCATATATAGTTTGATTACGAGAGGAATCCCGGTCGAAATCCTAAAGAGCAATCCCGAAACTAATCCTTGATTACTTTTTAGCGTTATTCACCATAATCGAGCAAAACCTCGCTTTTCATGCATGCTTCTGGACTCGATCAACAAGTGCTGGCCGCAGATATAATGTTATGTAAAATTAAATTGAGGGTCATTTAGAGCGTCTATATTATACATTTGCGAATGCTTTCACGGCTCCCTTAAGTGTCGTTCAGAAATATTGACGGTTCGCAGTGATGGATTCCAGTGCCGCGCCCCGACCGGTGGCACCGGTTTAAAGTAAGCTTGCTTTCTTCCGTTCGTAGCTGTGAGTGGCTGAAATGTCTCGGAAAATGAGGAAGGCCCTGACATTCTGGACAGAAGAGCCGTCCCATGAATGTGACAAAATTCTAATTAGAGACAATATTTGCAAATAGTTCTACGAATTGGTCTATTTTTACGAATATCTCTTATCAAAACCAAGTTTTGATGTACAAAAGCCTGTAAAAAGCCTTTTTAGCGCATTTTCTCATTTACGGAAAAAATGCCCTATTGTGCTCGTCATGTCCGTCCGTCTGTCTGTCCGTCTCTCTGTCTGTCTGTCCGTCCGTCCGTGACTTCACGTTTTGGCCGACGAGAAAATGCGCTCTTTGTCACTCACTGCAGTGAGTACTGAGTTATATTTTTTACTGATTGAGCTGCTTGCTCAATCAGTAAACTACTAGCGTTGAGCAGCAGTAGATAACTTCGTGACAAAAATTCAACTGACGCAAAGGGCAGCGTTTGAATTTTCTAGTTGTCTGTATTTAAAGTAAATGTTGTAGTTGACGTATAAGATGAGTTCATATTATCATTAAACGTTGAACGCATTCGTTATGACTCACAAAAACGTTGATAGTTAGCATCATAACTTATGCAAACGTTGATCGAATACGTCATGACTCATATTAACATTGAACGTACATTATTCATCAGGCAGAGACTTCCTCACTTCCATACACTACACGTATGTAAGCCCATACAGAGTAAATAAATAAAATACCGACGGCATAACGTGTGCAATACCATAAGAAAACGAGTTTTAATCGTTTTCACCGTAGAATCTACTTCTTCAAACGCCACTTGTGGAGTCATAATTTTTCTACAGGTTCTTTTAGTTTAAAAAATAATAATTCCAATACTGCAAACCAATAGATAAACTAATAAAGAATAATTTTAGTCCTGCAAATAATAGATCAAAAAAGAAATAATAATTCTAATCCCGCAAATTGAAGATACATTATATGCACCCATGATTAACGCGTTAATCAATTTCTTCACGAATATTTTCAACGCGCGTTGCATGCAGCAAGAAAATCTGAAAAGTTAGGAGCGGGGAACTTGAGCGGGAAGCTTGACGAAGACCTTGGTCGTTTGAATCGCGATATGTGAGCGAGATGGAGATTGCCCTATCCTATAAATAATCAGATTGATCGACCTTAAATCAAAAGAAAAAAATTATTACACATTTCCACATCCCCATTACCAGTCGGAAAATTAAAATCGGGGAATTTAAATTACGCTGTTGGTAACAATATTAACGAAAATAGATGAGGATTGCATCAATAAAAGTCTACGGATATCGATAAGAATATTTAATTTACTTGAATTTATTTTCTTTTCAACAACCTTCCTTTTTATGACAAGTTCTGGGGTTGATTTTTTAAATAAATAAGAAATTAACGAGCCAATCAAGTCAACACTGCCCATGAGAAGTAGGACATTTCAGAGCATACGCCGGCGATACGCATGTCGCTCCGTCCTCAAAATTATGGGTGAGTCTTGGGCAGCCAACAATCACTCGCTTGATGACCAGGGCACATACTTTCAAAAAAGTTAAGAGATCGTAAGTTCGTCAGCCAATCATTGACGGCCTTTCGAGCAAAATCCACCAATCATAGACAAGAAAATATAGCGTAAGTAATTACGTTCACTTAGCGAATTTTGAAAGTATGACCCCAGCTCAATACAATACCAATTTTATGAGGAAAAAATTTTTAATAACAAGAATTTGATGAAAAAATAGTGTAAAGCCCCAACTCTGTAAAGTCCGAAATAATTACATAGCGTTGTAAGCATTGCGCTCGATATTCGTTTCCATCAACGTTTATATGAGCATCGTTTTCAAACCAAGTTCCAGTTAAATTTCCTTAGAAGTTGAACCTTACGACGACTTGAAAAAAAAATCAAAAGAAAAATTTCATGTCACCTTCGATTTATTTGAACTTCTTAAAAACGGTCTGTTTTCGTGACTAATTTAAATTTTCAGATAAGAAAATTCAAGAATTCTCATGATAATCTTTTCATGGAATAGAAAAATTAGTAATAGCAATCCCGAAATAGTGTCTGAATTTCATGATTTCTGACTAGCGTCGGAGAAGTTTCTCTCAGAGCTCAGCAGGGGACAAGCCTGGCAACACATCCAACCAGCCTCACGTCCAGCAGGACACTAACTCCTTGACCCGCCCGCTGGAAGGCAAGAATGCTCATTTAGGATTTAAAGTTATAATGCAAAATTAAATAAATTTTCCATTTTAAAACTAATTAAAAGTTGAAACGATTTGTGTAATGTGTTAAGGGCAAACACAGTCCCTAATTTTAAATTCAGTTTATTTAAAAAACTATATTACAATCAAAATGTGAGACAAACTAATAATGAATTACAAATGGGACATAAATTAATAAATTATTGAATTTATTCATTATGGATATACCGAGCCGGTGGATTTAAACGAGCACTGCGGTCAATATTGAACAGATCCCAAACTGGCAATCAAGTCTGAAGTCTGCCATTAAGGGATAAAGACAAAATTACGAACCAACGAGCAAAATAGAATCACATGTTGGTAGTATATAACAACCACTTACATTTGTACGGGGTAGTTCGGTGCATTAACCGAGCAAACAATCTAACAAATTTCATTCGGGAGCAAAGTTACCCAAAATTTGCTAAAATTCAGCGTTTAAAAAACATAGGTGGCAATTTTTAAGCAACACTAGCGGCTAATCCATTGACCTATATAGCAAATAATATAGGAAGTTAACCAAAATTTGCTAAAATACAGGGGTTATAAAACATAGGTAGTAATTTTTAAGCAACACTAGCGGCTAATCCATTGACCTATATAGCAAATAATATAGGAAATGACAACCCAGTTTCGTCAACTCCAGTGACAACATCAGACCGTCGACAATCTCACACACGCGCAATTAAACGGCACTGCAAATTACAATAATACCTCGACGTTCTTCTAAATGCCCTAGCGCATCTGCAAACCCTCGATCGCACTAACACAAAAATATTTATTAACTTACAAAAAGGTTGGTGTTTTATGGTACAATTTGCCTGGAAATACTTTAGTCCATTGCGGAGACAAATTTACTAGCTTATCATCTGACTGGATAATGATGAGTCAATTAGTTCTATATTTATATAGGCTCTTAATTAAAAGTTTTGCAAAACATACTGTTAGAAATACTTGACCAGTAATGCATACTCCCACATGTATTTGAATAAAACCATTTCATGTTTTAGAAACCACATTGATTATCTAATTAATCATATGGTTTATACGCAATTCGTTAAATTTTTATACTCAACATTTATTTATACTCAAAATTGCCCTTTTATACTCAAAATTGCGCATGCTCGCTTGTATCAAGACGAAAGTTTCCATCTGAATGGGTTTACCCATTTACGCTTACGCTCATAATGTCATCAAATAATTATGCATAGGGAAATTGCTACATAAATAGCATCAACCGAACCCGTGTTTACACTTTAGTGTCAATGGTAACAAATTCAACCTGCTTTTAGTAATGATATTTATACTCAAAATTTCATAGACAATCAGGCAAGAAAGGATTCAAATAAGTATTACACTTAATATGATGACGAAATAAAAGTGTTGCGCTTGTATCGACTTGCCATAATAATATTAAAATTACAAGGCAATAACGTCCATTAACTAATTGGTAAAAAATTTGAATCGTTCATTACTTGTATAAAACTTTTAGCGTGACATCCCTTTTCAGCTGAAGGAAAAATTGAATTACACTTTAGAAAATAATGAAAAGGGGACCATTCAATTATATTATATTGAATTTATTGAATCGAATTTGTGTCGGGTAAACACAATAATTGAATAAGGCGATTGGTCCGAGCTGCTGCCCGGTGTAAGTCCTATGAACAGTACATAGGAAGGAAGTCCATAGGAACAGACATAGGAAGTCCTGCTGCCCCCTATGAAGTCCTATGAAGTCCTATGAACAGTAGCTTCACGTGGCCAGCGCAAGCCAGCCAGGTAGCACACAGTAACTGACACGCTAAATTCCGTGCCGCCCATCCTGTCAAATAAATTCCATCTGATTTAAATTAAACGATGCCAATGAATGTAAAGAAAATTTGCACAAGCTGAATTTTATGGTCCAGAATATTGTCAAAAATGCCTAAAATTACGGACCTTGCAGCCGTGATCTAAAATTGTATAGTCATCTTAACAATAAGAGGCTATAATAAATTGGTACCGAATAAATATATTGTCAGTTGGAAGACAAGGAGGGTTTTATTATTTGAATGAGAGCAGTGAAGGGGAGACGGTTATCAATAATGGAAACAGGCCGGAGCTTCAAATTGTCACAACACTCTGAGCTTTAACATAACATAATATAACATAGTGATCTTGGCGCTGAAGTGTAGGCCTGATGTGGCCTAACGCCGATTCTTTTACTTTTCGTGCCTTGTTCACAGAAGATCTAATATCGTTTCATTTGACCGGATCTTTTCATGACTGACGATAGTTTGAAGTAGCTACTAGACTTCCACCGGGTTCGATATGGTGCTAGGTATTTCAAACCTGAACATATATTTAGTGACGTACAATTAACTTGCAGCATCCGGTCCTCTCCATGGAAACAGGCCGGAGCTTCAAATTGTCACAACACTCTGAACTATAACATAACATAACATATTGATCTCGGCGCTGAAGTGTAGGCCTGATGTGGCCTGTCGCCGATTTTTCTCCTTTTCGTGCCTTGTTCACAGAAGATCTAATATCGTTTCATTTGACCGGATCTTTTCATGACTGACGATAGTTTGAAGTAGCTACTAAACTTCCACCGGGTTCGATATGGTGCTAGGCATTTCAAATCTGAACATATATTTAGTGACGGACAATCAACTTGCAGCATCAGGTCCTCTCCTGAGCTCCCGCCGAGGCCCTTCCTCCATAAGAAGATAAGCTGTTGCCGCAAGAGCCGCACACCTCAAGGCTGCCAGCTTAGACGAGACGTACGCTGAACGTCTCACTCCATAACGCAGATGTGAAGGACAAAAAGTGAAGGTGTGGAACAACACAGAGACCATTTTATTATGCCTGTTGATAAACAAATTCCACCTTCGAATTATTTTTAATTAGCACTAATCATTTTTTTGTGGCGTCGTTGGCAGTCGTCTGAAATCTGACTGGTGGGCTGTCTCTGAACCGGATTAGAGGTTGGAGTTAGCTTCTATCTTCCAATGTGGATTTGAAGAAATGAGGAAGGTTGCCCACACCATTGCGAGAAATGTTGGGAAACTGTAGCCGGCCAAATAAAATCATAACTAACTTATACCCAAATGACAGTCTTCCAACTGGAATTATCTTAGAAAAGATAAGAATTTTATACATTACTTCAGATTTCATCCTGTTCAAAAACGAGGTATATACTCAGTAGCATGCTTACGTACGGGAAAGAATGAGAAAGTAATGTTGCTATCGGGCAATGATGGCCTTTAACATGCATCCTGAAGGTACAGAGGTTCGACAGAGCCTCATGGAATGAGAAAGATGTCAACAGACAGTGATGGGAGTAGGTAGGAGTAGGAGTAGTAGGAAGACTGTTGAGTAGGGAGAGCCAGCCAGTGAGTAGGAGTAGGTAGGGAGACTGTTTAATTGTTCATGAACGAAGACCGTAAAAAATTGAGGCTTTGTTCAGCTGCGTCTTGAAATACTTTTTTTTCAAGTGAAAAATTGTTTGGAGAATGAAAACAGCAAAGAATGTGAGATACAGTAACGAAATTGGTATAATGAATAAATTATAGTAAATGAAATTAATATGAGTATGTGAAGTCAATCGTAAAATGTAGTCAGAGATGCAGGGAATGATTTGGCTAAATATATAATATTTGGATTAAATTAAGCCATAAATAATATTTTTCAACATTACATATTTTCTTTAAAATGTATACTCAATACAAGCTCGGCGAAATGATCTGCGCCGCTGATTTGCCGTCATACAAAAAAAAAACATTTATCAGCATATAAACAGGTAAGAGTTTTATGGCACAATGTTTCCGGAAATGCTCGCGAAGGCAAATTTATTAGCTGATAACCCATAATATGTAGACTAGATAAGAACGCGTATAGTTTGTTCCTTATTCATTTATTCCTCATGCAGATATGAATGCTCAAATCTGTAGTCCCTGTCATTACGGCAGTGAATGAAGTTGTGTTGAAATAAGTGAAGCTACACGGCGCTCCTGCTCTGCAAGTAAGTTTAACAAATGCGTAACAGGCAAAAGCTCCCTACACCAGATTAATAAATTGTGGAGATTTACCCTGAGCACATTCAGATTACCAGACAAAAATTTTTGTGCACTAACAGAAACGACACAAGACAAGTTCTCAATTATGATGGAGGGCCGCGGTGATAAGTGAGTACACGACTCAATCATACCAGCAGAGAATTTTATATGTGCCAATGCAATCGCATGTTCGAACGGACATTCGGTTCACATTGCTTCGTATGAGACACAATATTTTCAAGCGCAAAAAAATTGTGCCGCTAATCGCGACAATCGATCATTAAAATTAATCGGCATTTGAAAGTCATGAGCCGGAATCGACTCATTAAATGTTTGATTTTAAATGGTGAGATATTCGATGAACACCCAGAGATACATCTCTAAGATACGAATAACATTTTTCTCCAATAACTTTATAAATAACTAAAATATGATCGCTCCACTAAACCAGAGAAAAAATGTAGGTAAGTTCTTGCTACTGAATAGACCAAGTCTGTTTTTTCATACAACTTTGCTTCTTGTCGACGAGGCGCGTCATTTTTGAGATAACGCTTAAAAATTGCCTAGATAATGCTTGAGAAATGTAATAAAAAAGCATAAGCACAGTGCACACGATTTGAAATCATCTATGAGCGAGCTCAGAGCAACTATAATAGGTATTTTTACCAATGAAAATTCTTTCAAGACAGAGGAATCGCGAGCAGTGGATGGACGGAAGGAGCATGGCTGTCAACAGTGTGGCGCTTTTGGCGCTGCTGCTTCGTATTGCAACTGTCGCCGGTGGGTTGCTTGTCGTAGATACGACTGCCCTGCTTCGAATGGACCCCTTTCATGATCCCTTTTCTCAAGAACTTAGCTTTAAACAATTCTGGACTATCACATTGTAAGCCGCAAGCCGCCAGACAGATCACACATATTGAAGTAGACGAATTAGCTCCCTGTAAAACAGCCTGCTATAGTAACCATCGCCTAGTATAGTAACCATCGCCCGCCAACATGCGAAAAAACTCTGCATGCGAAAAAACATGCGAAAAAACTCTCCGACAGAGTGCGTTGGGGCCTCACATTGAATAAGATGCTCACTCCTATCCCGTCCGTATTAATCCCTTGCATCGAATCAGCCCACGATCAAACAAACACTCGCCGCTGGACGATAGACTAGAGCCAGGCTTTACTATCTGAAACCTAACCTAATATGTTGCGAGCAAAAAGTTACATAATTTAACTATGACCGGGAAGTCACATTCGATCCGCGGTCTGGTGGTGCACGGTAAGTTCGTGCAATTCCTTCTGACGAGTATTTAAAACATGATGATGTGTTGGGCTGGTTACTGCATGGTTGAACTATATAAGGTTGACCCACGAGGACATCCGTCTTTCAGTTCAGCTTTCTTGTTATCGGTACGTCACTGAGATCGAAAAACTTAAATAATCATTCCCATGACGGATTGGTTGACTGGTTTGATCGTATTTCGGTGATTGGTTAATGCCCGTGACGTCACAGGCGAACAACAAGCTACATCCGCAAAAATGAGCTTCTAACGGGTCAACCTTATACTAGTTCAACCATGGGTTACTGAAGGCAGGCTTAATCCGCAACTGATTGATGGCATTATGGAAGTATGCTAGGCGTTCCATTCATGCCTGATTGGTGCACAAAATGGGAGCGCTGCCGTAGCCCAAAAATTTGACTCTTAAATCAGCCCAAGAGCCAATGCCAGCCCTCGACATGCAATAGAAATAGTCACCCTTACACCTATGCAGCTGTTCTTACTTGCCTCGTCTCGCCACACCAGCTTGAAACACGCAATGCCTCAGCCCACAAGCTGATACTCCAAACGGATTACGCCCAATAGCTCCTACACCAATGATTTAAGCCCATACCATCACTTCTTACAAATGCCGTAAGCTATAGGGTCCGCAGACCACCCCAGACAGCCGTAAATGGGAACGGCCCCGCACCGGACTGTCGCATCACCTTACCCACTTCGCAGGCGTAAGCCCAGCCCTGAGTCGTTCACCAGCATCTTCATCCTCCACACTTACCTCCTTCTCTCCACCTTTCCGCGAAAGGGTTAGGTTAGGTAAGGTTAGGTTAGGTTAGAATATTCTTCCGCAAACTGGTACCGAAAGGAGGGGGAGCAGGGGGTAAGCGTGGAGGTTTAGCCACCAGAAGAACGGACAGGCAGGGGAATAGCCTCCAGAATAACGGATGCAATAACTAAACTCGGCTCACACCAAGAAGCTGTAGGTAACTGAGTCATCTCCCCACACCAACTTTAAGTAACACCTACCTCACTCCACAGCCTGCTGAATCAAATAGTCAATTGTCAACAGGTCCTACTCCACAGAATTTAACCTATCACTTCTTACACACGCCGTAAGCCTTACTGGCCGCAGACCACGCCGGATCACCGTAAACCTGCTCTGCTATTTGCAGGACTGGCGTAATTCCGCCGCATTCCACGAGCAGAAGCGCAAACCACCATCCCTATAACGCCATGCCCCGGCTCTCCCCCTTCGCAGCCATAAGGCTTTCTTCAATTGCTGATCAGTTGTGCGCCAGGTTAGGTTAGGTTATGTCCCTCCATCGGCCCAGGCGCATTACTGATCGGGCAACGAGAAAAGCCTTCTGCTGGCTGCGAAGGGGGAGAGCCGGGGCATGGCGTTATAGGGGCGGCGGTTTGCGCTTCTGCCTGTGGAGTAGAGCGTGATGAAGCAGTGGCTGTGACGTAGCGTCGCTGTTATGTCGGGCGCTTATTTTCAAAAGCCGCGAAGACTCCAGGCTGTGTTTAATACAGGAACGCAACAGTTCGGCTATTTGCCCACGGCTGTTGCTTCGGCGGCTGGATGTTATATGACTGATTGATTCATTTCCAGGAAAGGAAATGTCACCTATGGCTTTAGGCGCTTAATCACACAGGCTAATATGCATTCTAGCGTGATTACGAGCGGAAAGGAAAAGATATTGAATTGTGGGCAAGAGATATGCAGCCCTTTACCGTAGTAAAATCTGTTCTGTGAAACATTTTTTACAACGCAAAATAATCACCGGAAGGAGATGCTTTCTGTAGCAGGTGCTCTCCGGCACCAGCGCATGACACAATTGCAAATGATCTTACAGAAATACATTGGCAACATGCGAGTACTATAATGAAATGGCAATAACAATGACAGGGCAAGGTGAGCGCGAGGTGTTGCCGTGCTACACATGCACCTACATCGAGGGCGGGGACGACAGCTGCTACAAGGACCCCGACAACTCCGGCTCGGTGCCAATCACGGACTGTAAGCGCGGCAAAGGCCAGTGTTGCATCATCTCCAGAACTGACGCAACTGACAAGCTTGGTGGGTTCTAACTTTATTTCTGGTAACATCCATTGAACTGTTTAAGTAGGGATCGATTGTCAAATCTACCATCGATTGTGATCCATTCTCACTATTTGTGCTCGCACAGGCACTCCAAAATCGTTGTACCGTGGGTGCGTAGAAAACTGCGATCCCAAGAAGATAGGCAAGATGGAGGTGACACCATCGTTCAGCGACACCAACTACAAGACGTACTGCAAAGATCCTCGCTGCAACAACGGGCCTGGCAACGTCAAGCCAGGTCTTATACACGTTTTGTATGCATAATCTGTTTCGAATTTAAAGAAAAATAAAACTTTTTGGGGCATATCTAGGTCACAATTAATCATCTCTTTGGTTTGGTCTCTCATTCCTTTCCTGGTCACAATTAGTCATCTCATCTATTATGTGAGCGTGTTGATGCAATGTCGTTGATATGCGTGACAGAATTCTGTATATATACAGAATTCTGGATAAATGCTACAAGTTATAATAAATATAAACCCGTTCGTCATTTGCCTTTTGAAACGGTCGAGTCGATTTATGAATAAATATTTATGTTACTTAAAAATGCATTGCTCTGGTGTTCGGACGAATACGCTAATATCTTCCTCATGTCGTCCACAATTGTGGACATCAGGTACGGGCGGCGGTGGGGGGAAATTCATCGACGGCATTGAGGGGATCAACAGCGCCTTCAGCCACCATGCCGTGTGGGGCCTCGTCGTCCTGCTGCTGTTCGGCATTTATCAGGCGTACAATTACCACTGATGAACAGGCGCCTTATAGAAATATGTTCATAATCTAATCTACAATGATTTTTAGCGGTATTATTAGTCTTCAATGGAAACCTAATAAAAGGCCCGTCTAACCTAGCATTATAAGCGTAAATTTGTTCCTATTAAAATCTAATATGCAAAATAGAAGCACATTTTATTATATTTATGATAGCCATAAATATTTGTATGGGGCTATTCAGCGCATGAGCCGAACGAATTTGATTCTGGAGCAAAGTAAACTAAGATTTGCTAAAATTCTGCGGTTGAGAAAATTTTAGGGAATTTTTTAACCAATACTAGCGGTTTCATTAACTAATGTAACAAATTAGAAGGGAAGTAACGACTAGGCTTAGTCACCGGCAGCCAGTAACAATATGATACGGTCGGCAATCTCACGGACGCTCAAGCATCACAAATTACGACTACATTAATATCAAGGTGCTTCAAACGCCCTCATGATTGAACTAGTATAAGGTTGACCCATCAGAAGCCCATTTTTTGCGGATGTAGTTCGTTGTTCGCCTGTGACGGCACTGATCTCAGTGACGTCACGAGCATTAACCAATCACCGAAATACGATCAAACCAGTCGACCAATCCGTCACGAGAATGACGGGTTTGTTTACGTTTTTCGATCTACGTGACGGAACAAGAAAGCTGAACTGAAAGGTGGAACTTCTCGTGGGTCAACCTTATATAGTTCAACCGTGAAACGCCCTAACTCACTGCAAACCATCGCAATATTCGGACCATCAGAAATACGTGTTCAATAATTCATGCAATTATCATTTCCACAAGTATTTGAAGTTAACCTTTAGCTGTTTCAAAAACCACATTGAGTATCTAATTTATGCACAATTCGATAAGTAGCCATTTAATATTAATAATAGCGCATACTCGTTGGGGGGTGTCTACTTGAATATGGGCGAACCCATTTATGCAACCGCTCATAATTTTATTCAATTATTCGTTGTGAAATTCCTTCATTAATTAATGGCATCAACTCGGTCCGTAATTACAATTCAGCGCCCATGGTGACAAATTCATCCTGCTTAGAGGAATGCTATTTTGACACGAATTATTCAAAGATAATCAGGCCAACAAAGATTAATCGAAACATTTCACTAAATAAACTGTTGATATAAATAAAGTAAATAAACTGTTGTGCCTGTGTCGTCGTGTCATAATTACAATTATAATTTCAAGGCTTTAACGTCAACAAAAAAATAAACTGATTTATTGAAGTTGGTATCACTTACTATTTCAGATTACAGAGAAAAAGAGAAACAGATACAGAGAAAAATGATCAGATTGATAACAATAATAAATGTATTTGTTTATCTGAGGTATAAAAATAAACAAGACAGTCGCGCAACGTTCTTAATTCTACCTAGGATAGTGAATATTACGATTCCTGTGCTGGAGTTTCTTTCTTCGCATCACAAGCACCGTATCTCAATGTAGAAGTTATTAAATAAAACGATACAACAAAGGAGAGCACAACAGAAATTAGGAGACTGAAATAACCATTGCAAGAATTTCACGAGAGAGGGCCAAAGCAATAACGTTGCTTTACGTAATAATAATAACGTAACGTAAAACAAACGTAAAAAATTCACGTTTATGACAAGGAAATTTAAGAAGCCAAGGTGCGGTGGATGAAATTACGAGTTATATTTCTAAAAAGCAGTAACATAAGAGAATGTTTATGTATCACTCATAAAAAACTACTGCGTTGTAATGAATGGAATACAACTGCTTGTTTGACAGATTTATTTACTGTTTGATAATGAATATGCGATGAACAATCGCACCAGTAAATCCACTCAATCGACAATTCTACGGACTCGCCAGCGGACTCGCCTGCGGACTCGCGCAACTGGGCCACTCATAATTATTTAAATACTCAACGGATTTGTATGAATTTTGGAATGTGAGTATTAATTATCGATACGCTGCCGCAGGAATTATTACAGATTTTTACATGACTTATTGTTAGGTTAGGTTAGGTTAAGTTAGGCTAGGTTAGGTTAGGAAATAATTCATGCAAAAATCTGTAATAATTCCTGCGGCAGCGCATCGATAATTAATACTCATATTCCAAAATTCATACAGATCCGTAAAGTATTGAAGGAATTATGAGTGGCCCAGTTGCGCGAATCCGCAGGCGAGTCCGCTGGTGAGTCCGTAGAATTGTCGATCGAGTAGTAAATCCTGACTAAATGACAGGTTCAATCTGGTTTGATGAACAGCTGTTGCGGCGCAGACCCCAGCCACTCCAGATTGGAATTATGTCGATGCGACCACTGCGCTCACGGCCAAGTTCAAGCAATCGCAGTACCTGCCTGTAAAAAAATCTTGACCGCCTGACGGGGCCTATGTCCAGCTGTGGAGGTCACGGATGCTCGAAGGTTGATGGGTTGGAAGGTCTAGCAACTATATTTATCGCTGCTCGTGAGACACGAAGAAAGCGAAAGGGCCGCTCGGAACGAGAAGAAAGTTGACAGCCAGCGATGGCAGCAGGTGCGTCATTGGCTAATTGTTCGTGAAAGAAGACGGTTGTAAGAAGTACAAGAAGTACAGAGGCGGAGGAGATCAAGTAGAATATTATTAGGGATTGATGGGGCCGGCAAAATTTCATTAGAGTAGACATATTTGACTATTATTTCTAAAGTTTGTTCGGTTGGGACGTTGGCGAAAAGGCTATTGAGGCTCTAATAAGCTGCTTACTGAAATGCTCCGTTTTTACAAGTGAAAAATTGTTTGCAGAATGAACACAGCAAGGACTGTGCAACATTAACGCAATTAGTGCAACATAAATTAGATAATGAAGATATTCACTTCATAAATGATGTGAATAGGATTATTTGAATTCGGTCGTAAAATCTAGTTAGAGATGCAGGAAATAATTTTTGCTAAATAAGTCAGATTTAGATTGAATTAAGCCTTGAATTTCATGCTTATACATAACAAATTTCATCGAAAATATATACTAAATGCAAGCTTGACGAAAGGATTTGTGCGGCCGATCTGACGTCTAACGAGATAACATTTATCAGGAGGATATAAACAGGTGAGATTTTATGACACAATGTGCCCGGAAATGCTTTAGTCTATTGTGAAGAAATATTATCATCTTATCAGAATGATCGCTAGAATATATGATTGACGAAATGATTTGCGCTGTCGATTTGATGTCTAACATCGAAACATTTATTAACCAAGACACAGGAACTGTTTTATGGCACAATATGTCCGGAAATTCCTTAGTACATCGCGAAGACAAATTTATTAGCCGATAAGCCATGATATGTGGACCAGATAAAGACGCGTATAGTTAGTTCCTTATTTATATAGGCATATATCTGGATGCTCCGCTTTATTACGACAGTGAATGTCGTCGTGTTGAAACTTGGGCATCTGCGCGGTACTCCTGGGGCCATACTTTCAAAGTTCGCTAAGTGAACATAAGTACTTGCACTCTATTTTCTTGTCGATGATTGGTGGATTTCACTTGAAAGGCCATCAATGATTGGCTGATGAACTTACGATCTCTTAACTTTTTTTGAAAGTAAGGGCCCTAGTCTGCAAATAAGTTAAACAAATTAAATAGAGGCACAAGCTCTTTATATAATATTACTAAATTACTGCAGATTCACCATGAACATATTCTGAATACCGGACGAATTTTTTGTGAATCAACAGTAACAACATCATGCACCAAGTTTTTGAATTAACAGCAACAAATTTTTATCAATTGTCCAATGAAGATAGTTTGCTGCGGTGGTAGGTGCGGACACGATTCATTACCGTGCCAGCAGAGAATTTCATTACGAGATATCATAATATGTTCGAACGGTATAGTTCTCATCGCTTCGTATGATTTATACTATTTTCAAACGCCAAAAATGGTGTCACTCAATACCGATAATCGATCATTAAAATTAATCAGCATTTGAAACTCACAGGGTGACATGGAGCAACGGGACAGCTGCGGGTCATTGGCCCATAGCGGGTTTCCCGATTAATATGGCAGATATTGATCAGTGTTCTCTACCGCCGGTCGACAGTTTCACTGGGCTGAAGTGTGTGGCTCTATGTTTTGCTAAGAGTTTGCGTTGGTAAGTTACTCGGAAATAACTGCTTTATTCCAGATAATTTTTTTTAGCTGCTAAATAAAACTGTTTTTGTATACGAAGCTTATGAAATTACTGTGAATTATATTTTGAAAGTATTATTCATAGGGGATAATTTTGAGTTCAAGTTTAGACTATTAGCTTCTAAAATGATATGTTGACACGATATAAATTGAAATGATGAGACAACGGGCCAATGCGAGTCACGGGGCAAAGCGCCCATGGTGGGCTCAATACCCCTCGCGAAGCCTTGTGTTATACATCGTTAGATTTGTCTCAATGAGCTCTTCAAAACTATGACTAGCCTTTAGAATTACAAATTACACTTCATACTGTATGATTTTTTTATTTGCCGCCTCAAGGCAACAGATTCTGGTTTCTAGTTATGCGTATTTATGACCCCTAATCGAGTTACTGACTCATGCTTTGCCAAAAGTTGATTTTAGTCAACACCAATGAGTCAGACTTTGATGAGTTTTCATGATGTTGACTGAAATCACGATTAAGTACGAATTCCCGGCACATAATATCTGAATTATGGACGAAACTGGAACGATTTTTTTTTCTGATCAAGTAAATATATTTTTTCTAGTCTAGGATACGTTTTTTCATGTCGAGGAAGAATTTTTTATGGCAAGGATATATTTTTCAAGTCAAGAATATATATTTTCATGTCAAGGAAATATTTTTTCATGTCAGTGATAAATTTAAAAGCCGAGAATATATGTTTTCAAGTTGATGATGTGATTTTTTAAGTTGTTGATAAATGAATGAATGTAATATTTTTTATTACATTTTTCTTGTTTTGAACTGTAAAGTATTGTTTTATCATTTTTAAACAAAAAATATGCAACTGGGGGAAAGGGACCAGGGGTGGGCACCTTGCCCCAAGCCCATGGGCCCATTGCCCCAGGGGTGGGGCAATGGGCCCATTTTGACACTTTCTACAAAATAATGTTTCATTAAAAATTAAATAACTCTAAAGGCGTGTAATTCACATCAGACATTCCTCATTATTTGTAACTTTAAACAAAACAAAGAACTACCTCGTTTCAATTAAACCTTCATCAAAAATTTAGTTTAAAAAAAAAGGTGGGGGCCCGCTGCCCCATGTTACCCTAGATCTAAATCGACTCATCAAATTTCGTTCATAAATGGTGAAATATTCAATGAACTTCTGGAAATACATCGCAAAGACATGACTAAGTTTATGAAAAACTAAGACATGATTGCGCTTCTAGAACAGAGAATAAAACACTAAACTTTTACCAATGCGTCAATCAAGTCTGCTTTCTCCTTCAACCTTGTGTCTTGTCGGAGAGACGCGTCATTTCCGAACTAACGCGCATAAATTTGCAGAGATAATGATTTAAAATGTAATAAAAGAACACTAGCACACTGCATCCGGTTGAAGATTATCTCTGAACTTGCTCTCTGCGACTGCAGCAAAATTTAAAATAATTTAAACCCTTTCAGGACAGAGGAATCGCAAGCAGTGGATGGGCAACAGGACCATGGCTGTCAACAGTGTCGTGCTTTTGGCGCTGCTGATTTGACTTGCAAATGTCGCTGGTCAGTGCCGTACAATGTACAATCGATTCTTACAATTCCAGTCGAATCCCTTTATATGTTAAGAGATGCATTCAATCCTCCACAGAGATTGTGTATTATTTTTGACTGGTGATACTCTGCAATGATACTCAATGTATTGTTTCACAGAGTCCGAATCTGACTTAAGAAACAAAGTCATTTTTTTGCAAAATGCCGGCATTTCTATATTTCAACGAATATAACAATAAAAATTAATATGTCATAATTAGCAATCAAAATTTCAATTTTAAGTCATAGCTACCCTAGCAAATTATGCTATTTAAAACATTTTTTTGCGACGCAATTATAATCCCCGATAGGAGATTTAATTGTCGACTAGCATATGCTTCAGCAAGAGACTCATGTGCAACCAATAATATATTTTCTAGATATACGTTGACAACATGCGAACACGTTAATAGAATGGCAATAACGATGACAGGGTAAGGTGGCAGCAAGGTGTTGCCGTGCTACACGTGATGGTGACCATCACGAACTGCAATCTTGGCACCGGCCTATATTGCATCATCACAAGGACTGAAGCAACTGAGGATCTCGATTGGTCCTAGATTCACAACGCATTTCTGGTAACATCATTGAATTACCTAAGTAGGGTCACAAAAATTAGCTGACATCCCAACAGCGGCGTAGCTCGTTTGGTTCTAACTTCGACTTTGGCCCATTAAATTACTTGAGTAGGATAACGAAATGTCGCTGGTATTGGAGAATATACACTAAAATATTGTGCTCGTACAGGTACTCCACTCTCGTTGTACCGTGGGTGCATAGACGACTGCGATCCTAAGATAGGCAAGATGGAACCAAATTCCACTGACACTGTCGCCGCCTTCTGCGACGACCCTCGCTGCAACGGGCCTAGCAACGTCACTCCAGGGTCCATACTTTCAAAACTCGCTAAGTGAACATAAGTACTTACGTTCTATTTTCTTGTCTATGATTGGTGGATTTTGCTTGAAAGGCCGTCAATGATTGGCTGGTGAACTTACGATCTCTTAACTTTTTTTGAAAGTATGGGCCCAGGTCTCATTCACATTATGTTTGTTTTTATATATGGAAGTCCAAGAAAAATAAAAATTCTTGGGGCATCCAAGTCATAATCGACATTTTTGCTCATGTAATGCGGGCGTGGCACATTTAAATATACCTACTTAATATGAGTGACATAATTTTGTGCACAAACCTCAATGATGTATAATCCAACAAGACATGTTAAATATATACCCATTCGTTATTTGCATATGGGAACAATCGCGTCTATTCATAAATAAAGATTTATATTCCTTGCGAATACATAGTTGTGGTTTTACGCAGTACGAATACGTTAATATAGACGACTTTGGTCGTCCACGGTTCTGGGGCCATACTTTCAAAACTCGCTAAGTGAACGTAAGTACTTACGCTCTATTTTCTTGTCTATGATTGGTGGGTTTTGCTTGAAAGGCCGTCAATGATTGGCTGATGAACTTACGATCTCTTAACTTTTTTTGAAAGTATAGGCCCTGGATCTCAGGCACGAGCGGGGTTGGGAGCGTCGCCGTCCTGCTGCTCTTCGGTATTTATCTGGCATGCAATTGCCACTGAAGTATAGGCACCTTAGAGTAATATAAGTTTATAGTCTAAGATACTCCTTAGCGGAATGTATCAAGTCTTCAAATGCCACTGAAGTATAGGCACCTTAGAGTACTATATGTTCATATTCTAAGATACTAAGATACTCCGTAGCGGAAAGTATTAAGTCTTCAAATGCCACTGAAGAATAGGCGCCTTAGAGTAATATAAGTTTATATTCTAAAATACTCCTTAGCGGAATGTATTAAGTCTTCCATTGCCAGTGGAGTATAGGCGCTTTAGGGCTTAGAGTAATATTTTTGTATTCTAAGATTCTCCTTAGCAGAATATATCAAGTCTTCAATTTACACTGAACAACAGGTACCTGGTAGATGTAGTAATATGTTGTATTTTAATCTAAGATATTCCTAAATCGGAATGTAATAGGTCTTCAATCGCCACAAAAGAAAAGGCCAGCCTAACCTGTCGTTCTAAGCGTAATATGTTCCTATTCAAATTTAATGATCTAATAAGCAAAATAGAAGAAGTACAATAGGTAGAATATAATAGGCACAAATGTTCGTTTGAATTTTGTGGCTATTAAGCGCATGAACCGTACGAGCGACCTAGCAAATTTAATGCGGGAGTAAAGTAAACCAAAATTGGTTAGAATTTTGCGGTTAAGGAAAATATTTGACGGAATTTTGATGCAACGATAGCGGCTTAACCGTTCACCTATATAGCAAATAATATAGGAACCAGTGACAATATATATATTGCCAGTTACAATATGAGACGGTCGGCGATCTAATGTAATCGCTAGCATCATCACAAATTACTCTAATATCAGGGAGCTGCACACGGCCGAACTTATCCGCAAACTATCGGATCATGAGAAATACTTGTCCAATAATTCATGCTGTTATTCACACAATTCGACGAAAATCATTTCATTTTCAAAAACCACTAAATTATCTTATTCGTGATATGGTTTATGCACAATTCGTTAAGTAACCCTTTCATAGTCAAATTGCGCATGCTCTTTTGTATCAAGACCGATGACTATGATTTAATGGGTGAACCCATTTATACCAACGTTCAAAATCTCATCAAACAATGCATATAGAAATCCCTACATCAATGGCTTTAATACAGCACGTGTTTATACTTTAATGCCCATGATAACAAATTCATCCTTTTCTTACTAACACTATTTACTATATTTTTTTATAGATCATTTGGCATGGAATGAATCATCAGCGCATCACACTATACAAATATAATAATAGCGGTTTCAGCGTTTAGTAGGCCGTAGGCCTGTCGCCGATTCTTAACATCGCAGAACATTCACAGTATTTTGCGGGTCTCGAACTCGCAACTCACGGCTACAATTCTGCTGTGCTTAACCGCCCGGCCTCCTTGCCGATTCTCCGGTCACGAATCGTTAGTCAGAATGCTAGGTAGAGTTAAGAACGTTGTGCGGCGGTCCTGTACGTTTTTATATCTCAGATCAACGAATTCATTTGGTACTATAATAATCAGTCTGATCACTTTTTAACAGGATGTAGTAATAAGTGATTCAATTTTTTACAAATCAGTTAATTTTTTTGACGTTAATATTTGAAATTTTAATTGCAACTTTGACAAGTCGGCACAGCCACAACGCTTTATTTCGTTATCCTATAGTCTATATATAGTCTATATATTTATTTCATTATCCTAACCAATGTCTTGGTTAGGCCCAGTGGGTTCAGAGTACCGGGATTGGCCCAGAGAGGCGCGGGTTCGATCCGAGCTCTGTGCGCCAGTTGAGTTGCTTTCTTCGCCTAGCAAGCATCGTATCTCAATGTAGAAGTTATCGAATGCTGTAGAACGAGATAACAAAGGAGTACAACAAAAATTAAAAGACTCGAAAAAAACAAACGTATGAAATTCACGGGAGATAACAACAACATCAACACAGACTCGAAATGATAAATGAAGGTATTCAGGTTAGGACAAGAAAATGTACCAAGCCAAGGTAGGAACAGGAACGATGAGATTACTAAATGTAACAAGCCAAGGTAGGAACGATGAGATTACTAAATATATGTTCTTTTGTAGTCATATAAAGGGACGTTGATGCATCACATATTTCATTTAAAATGTATGATAAATAAATGTTCGACGAAATGATTGGCCCAGATGATTTTTCATCTAATATGATGACAGTTTTATCAGCATGTAAATAAGTGATATTCTCATAGCATAATGGGCCAAGAAAGGCTTTGGTCTATTGCGGAGGCACATTTATCAGCTTATCAGATGATAAGTCATAACATGTCAACCAGATAAGGACGTGTCTAATTAGTTCTTTATTTTTATATGCTCATACTAATTCAGGTTAGGACAAGAAAATGTACCAAGCCAAGGTAGGAACAGGAACGATGAGATTACTAAATATATGTTTTTTGTAGTCATATAAAGGAACGTTGATGTGCCACATATTTCATTCAAAATGTATAATAAATAAACGTTCGACGAAATGATTTGCCCAGATGATTTTTCATCTAATATGATGACAGTTTTATCAGCATGTAAATAAGTGATATTCTCATAGCATAATGTGCCCAGAAATGCTTTGGTCTATCGCTGAGGCACATTTATCAGCTTATCAGATGATAAGTCATAACATGTCAACCAGATAAGGACGTGTCTAATTAGTTCTTTATTTTATATGCTCATACTCGAAGGCTTTGCGTCACTACGGCAGTGAATGCAGTTATGTTGAAGTAAGTGCAACAGCAAGGAGCTCATTTCTTCAAGTAAGTAAAGTTAACAAATGAAATAGAGGCAAAATATTCTCACACAAGATTACTAAATAGCTGCTGATTTGTCCTGAAAACATTCTGAATACTGGACACATTTGTTGAGAATTAACAGATTCAAAGGCCAAGTTCTTACCAAGTGTTCAATGAAGGAAGTAGGCCGCGGTGGTTGGTGTGAGCACGACGGCAAAGAATTTTGATTCGTGTCAATAGAACTTAATTTCGAACGGTTAGACGGTCAGGGTTCACACCGCGGTGTACAAAGTTATGAACCATACAATTCACAAGCGTAAAAATGGTGTCAAGTAATTACGAAAATCGATCGTTATAATTAATCAGAATGCCAGGAGCCCAAGTCGAATCCTAAAATTTTTGACAAGGCATTGATCAAGTATGTTTTCTCATTCAACCTTGTTTCTTGTCGACGTAGCGAGTCATTTCTGAGCTAACGATTAGAAATTGATTAGATAATGCTTTAAAATGTAATATATGAGCACAAACACATTGCACCATTCGGCGACTATAGCCACACCTGGCCTACTCTTATAGCGTCCAAAAACACTATGCTATGCACCCGATTAAAGATTACTGAGCGAGCTCAAGGCGACTGTAATACAATTTTTTTGATAATGATAATTATTTCAGGACCGAGGAATCGCAAGCAGTGGATGGGCAACATGACCATGGCTGTCAACAGTGTCGTGCTTATGGCGCTGCTGCTTTGTATTGCAAATGTTGCCGGTCAGTGCCGTACAATGTACAATCGATTCTTAATATTCGAGTCGAATCCCTTTATGTTTTGACATGCACTTGATCCTCAACAAAGATTACGAATCATGTGTGACTGGTGATAATCTGTAATGATACTCAACGTAAGGTTTCGCAGAGTCTGAGTCTGAATCAGACAAAAAATCAGATACGTTCTTATCGAGATGAGGTAATTGTCATCAGTGAATGAAATAGAAATCAGTGAATGAAATAGAAATAATTTATATGCCTTAATGAGTAAAAAAAATTCAATTCGAAACCCTAGCAAAATTTGTTGTATGGTACATTTTTCAACAACGCAATTGTCACCAGAAGATGCTCTGGGTGGATAGCTAGAGGTCAGCATAGCCCAAGTCCACAGTGCGATTCATATACCTTCCCTAGCGTAACGCAGCCGGGCATCTTCACGGCTTTTGACACAAAGCGCCACCAATCAGGGAGTCAACGGCTCCCCAGGCCACCAAGCCGTGTGGGGCGTCGTCATCTTTCTTCTCTTCGGCGTTTATAACGTGTACAATCGCCACTGAAGAACAGGCGCTTTAGAGTAATATGTTAGTATTCTAATCTAAGATAGTCCTTATCGCAATGTATCAAGTCTTCAATTGCCCCTAAAGTATATCGTTTTATGTTGATGGTAATATTTTCATATTATAAACCAAGATGCATCTTAGCGGTTTATGTCAAGTCTTTCATTGCTATATAAGAAAATGCCTGTCTAACCCATCATTCCGAGCGTAATATATTCATATTCAAATTTAATATACCTCAAAGCGGTATGTACAAAGTCTTCAATTGCCACCGACGAAGAGTAGCGTCGTACCAGTCATTTTTTTAATATCACAAGATTTTATTCTAGTCATAGTTACTACTTTAAAATAATCATAATTGAACTGCACGAACATAGGTTAGGTCTGGTAAAAGTCATTTCAAGCGTTGAGGTTTTCATGATTATTTCGGTCACTATTTCGTGACTTCTAAGAATTCTTCAATTATTGCCCACATTAATGATACCACGATCGATCTACAGGGTGACTCACTGAAACTTCCCCAGCCAGATGTCGTAGTAGAAAAGGGCGGGGAGTAGTTCATATGAAAGGCAAAGGAATAAAGTTTTGTGTCCCGCCTAGTCACTCGCCACTATGCATTGGACAAGTAAGCAGCGTTCGTTTGGTGTCGACGCGTACCCTTTTTAATGGCCGTTTTGCAGAGTCGTCTCCGTTTGAGACATTTTGTAGAGCGCCTCATTTCATTGAGAGGTGACTTTCTCTGGCTGGCTCGATTCCCCGATTTGGCTTGGCTCAGTGTGACAGTGGCTCAGTTTTTATGGGCTTATCTTAAAGCAATTGTTTACTATGACTGCCCATGGACCTTAACTCATTTGAAGAACAATATATGCCAAGCCATCGCCAACATGCCCCAAGGTCTCTAAAACTAAGTGATACAAAAATTGAAGTAATGTATTTTTCAATAAAATTTATATTGTAATGATGTCTTTACTAGTTTTTTTATTGAACTTTCAAATCATAAAATTTCCGTGAATCACCCTGTATTCTGTAATCATGACCTTAAGTAGCAATACAATTTTTTAAATAATAAATTAATTTACAGTTTTCAACGATTGGTGTATTAACAATACTTTCCGACATGATATTCCCTTTGTCGCTGGATTCACCGTGCTCTTTCACCTCACGTAATATCAAGGCTAATTCAAGCAACGGACTCATCCGTTACCATCGCAGAGTTTGCTAGAAAACTGATACCGAGTCCAAAGTTCCTGTAGCAGCGTAACATAATACAGTCCACATGAGAGCGTTTATGTTGTTAATATTAGTTCATGCTGTTCCTAACCATTACCAGAGACTATTTACACAATTATTTTGACCGCATTTCAGCATTATTTAAAATATATTAATATATGAAAAGTATATGAAACAGAAAAGGCAGAGCGAAATTTTACGCCCATTCTTGTAATTAAGGATTATGTTTCGAACGAAATAAATGCGAAAAAATAGTTCAACCTACTTGAATAAAGCAGTCGCCGCACCAAAGTACAACACACTCATCTAAGAGCAACATCCACAGCACAACACACACCCGAACCACAGCACACCACCCGAACCACAGCACAAGACCCGAACCACAGCACAACACCCGAACCACAGCGCACCACCCAAACCACAACACAACACCCGAACCACAGCGCACCACCCGAACCACAGCGCACCACCCAAACCACAACACAACACCCAAACCACAGCGCACCACCCGAACCACAGCACAGCTCAACAGGCCCTGGCAGACAGCAGCAGAATGCATTCGCTCAAACCGCAAGAAGCAAGTGAAGCGTTGAAACTGCGCTTGGACTGTAGCATTCAATTATTTGTAGCACATGTGCGACCTGTTCATTCACAACACAGCAGGACGTAAACTGACGAGAAGTCGAACAGTAATTTCTATTATTGTTTAATTCGACTTATACTACGCAGAAAAAAATTCCTACAACTGGTAATATTAAAATCAGAATATAAGGTTAAAAACACTCCAGCTCACATGCAGTCTCATCTATTCAGAAGGAACTCAATGGACCTCCATTCATCATGGCAATGCTCCAACCTGCACAAAATGAAGCAATCACACATAAAGACAATACAAAGTTTCTCCTAAACAGAATATTCATCCAGTTCTTCTGGCTTTTGTATTGCTACATTGCTATCAACTTCATTTCTGCTGGAGCTTCCAGGAAAAATAAATGTTTCTCAAAAATTTCTGGAAAAAAAGGATGTTATAATAAAAACTATTTATGTATTATGCATCGCGAGCAACGTCATCATTGATATGATTGGTGAAGTTTTGTAGGAGGAAGCCTTAATTAGGCAGCGAAACGAGCTTCCCGCCACATGAGGCAGGAGCTCGTGTTGAGGCAGGAAATTATAATGACTTTCATTCAATATATTTTGTTGTAATTTGATAATTGAAAAAAGGTGAATAAATTATACAAAACTGCAGATACTTGTCGACAGGATGTAGACGTGAGCTGACGTAATTTGTTTATTTAATGAAAAAACCTCGCGTAATAAACAAGAAAGTTATGAGAAAAAATTTGCGGAGCGGAATGTGACTCGGGCAAAGTGAAGCATGCGTCTCGAATAAGATTACTGACATGGCTCATTACACCTGCTCTTTTCCACAAGATGACTGCATACTTCACAGAGCAAGCCAATATTTAAGAATTAACACTAAATACATTAGTTTAGTGGTACTAAAGTTGACATGGCCCATTACAACGGTTCTTTCCACAAGATGACTGCATACTTCACAGAGCAAGCCAATATTTAAGAATTACAACTAAATTACATTAGTTCAGTGGTACTTAAGTTGACATGGCCCATTACACCTGTTTTATTCCACAAGATGACTGCATACTTCACAGGGTTAGCTAATATCTAAGAATATATCCACGAATATACTTCACAGGGTTAGCTAATATCTAAGAATATATCCACGAATANAGAATTCATCTGCTTACGTAAACTGGCGCATGAGATGCGCGGCGACACTGTTGTCGGTGGTGCGCATGGCGGGGGGTGGAGGAGGCACGGTCACGGCCGTGTCCATCCACGCCAGGGGCTGGAAAGACGCCAACTCCTGCACGCCGGGCCGGTCCTCGTAGTCTCCACTCAGTTGCTGCCCACAGAAGAAGTGGTGAATAATAAATTCTTTTTCATACTAAGATATTTTAGAAATCGTTTCAGGCGATTAGCGATTTTTTAAATGAATCGTTAATTACTTCAGGCGATGATTGTCGTTCATTATTGCGATAAATTCAGGCTTTTGAACTACTATGGCGTAAAATGGTAGGTAGAACTCACGTCGAGTTAAAAAAACATTGTCTTTGCTTTCATGTCCATTCACAAAAACTGAACACACACGAAATAATTTTCGAGATATAGGTAGAAACTAGCTCTGACAGTACAATTTTCACGAGGCGGGAGTTTTCCGTAAAACAAAAGATACACACACAGCAGTAATTATAAGCCATACCTTGCGGTCTATGAGCAAGACACGCATGTTGGAGACCGGCCCCTTGTTACGGTGCAGGGTTCGTTGGAGCGTCAGTCTCAGTCTGGTGGAGCCTTCCTCCTCCGCACCCGCGGACCGTTGCTCGAACGAAGCTGCCACGCCGTCCGTGCGTTCCTCGACTGCCCAAACCTGTGCCACATACATGAAGATTTGCCAATCATAAACCCCATTAATATTCTGTACACTTAATATTTTTTTCTATGTTACCTAAATTTACAGATCCACCATACACTAAGTTAACATTATTTGCAACTTGGCTTTGCTGAAGAAAACAATTACCAGCGAATACCAGCAAGTGCTAACACTCGTAATTCTATGTAATATAACTAGGGGCCAGGAATAACTTTACCATAAGAAAACTTACTAAAAAACTTTACCATGAAAAAATACATATAAGGGATAACTTGAGCATAAGAAAACTTACTTTAAAAACTTTACCCTAAAAAAATATATATATATGGGATAACTTGACCATAAGAAAACTTACTTTAAAAATTTTACCCTGAAAAAATACATATACGGAATAACATGACCATAAGAAAACATACTAAGAAAATTTACCATAAAAATTCAAATATTTCAAAGTAGTTCATTGAAAAAAATTAATTGAAAAAGGTTTTCTTTGCAGTGCATTTGTAGTCTCCTTAAGCGAGATTAATTTCTGGGAACCATACAATTACAAAGAAGTAACAAGTGTAATCTTAGGTAAATAAATTTATATTGAGTTAGAGACCATTAAATATGAAGGATATTAGAAAATGTAAAAAAAAATTACATTGTAGTACTTGCATACAGCATGTTTTAATCTGGCGAACATCAAATAAAGGTGTAAATCATTTTTTTGGAAGGAATACTTAAATTTTGAATGGATAAGAAGTAACTTAATTGAAGTTTGCACTGATCAAATAGACAAGAAGAGAATTATAGTAGTTAGTAGTTAGTTCTAACCTTAACTTCACCGTCTTCGCCAGCTGACACGACTGTGGTGCCAGAGAGGAGAAACTGAACGGCGCTCACGGGGCCCTCGTGACACGTATTGCACAGCTCATCCCTCAACTAATAAACCAAACCAGATATTGGTAACTAGAATCAAGCAAAAGTGCACTTATGAACACATATTTGTTTACATGCTAACTATCTAACTTCTAAATGCTTGCTCGCCATAAAAAAATTTTTGCTCAAATAAATACAAGGGGTGACCAAAACAAACGAGCTGCGTGTGTGATGGTCGAAGTTTTGGTGGTACCGCATTTCCCCAGTATGCGTGCCAAGCATTGCTGCCCTAGAAGACCGTATTTCGTTATTAGAAATATTTTGTGACACTTTTTCCGTGCTCGTCGTTCTTTGATGATGTCTGATTTGCGCTAGCAATTTGCTACTATGAAATTTTGCTTCCTTCTGTGAAAAAAATGGGAATAAAATGCTACAGACAGCCTACAATGACGATGCTTTGGGAAGAAAACAAGTTTTTGAGTGGTTTCCCGCGTCAAAAAACGGGAAGCGTCAATTGACGACCTCCCTCTCTTAGGTCGCCCTTCAACTTACCACACTGAAGAAACAGTTGCAAATATTACGGATATACTCCCTGATGATCAACGTAGAATTAATTATTTTAATTAATTATTAATTAATTAATTAATTAATTATTAATTATTAAGGAACTGTCCCAAGTGACTAGGACTTCCCTTTAGCAAATTTCGTAAGAAGATTTTGGATAAATAAGTAAATTTTTTTTTTAAGGAATACTTAAATTTGGAATAGATAAGAAGTAACTTAATTGAAGTTTGCACTGATCAAATAGACAAAAACATAAATTATAGTAGTTAGTTCTAACCTTAACTTCGCCGTCATCGCCAGCTGACACAACTGTGGTGCCAGAGAGCAGAAACTGAACGGCGCTCACGGGGCCCTCGTGGCACGCATTGCACAGCTCGTCTCTCAACTAATAAACCAAACAAGATATTGTTAACTAGAATCAAGCAAAAGTGCACCTACGAACATTCATTTGTTTACATGCTAATTATCTAAGTTCAAAATAAAATGCTTGCTCGCCATAAAAAAAATTTTGCTCAAATAAATACAAGAGGTGACCAAAAAAATGAGCTGCGTGTGTGATGGTCGAAGTTTTGGTGGTACCGTATTTCCCCAGTATGCGTGCCAAGCATTGCTGCCCTAGAAGGCCGTATTTCGTTTTTACAAATATTTTTGACACTTTTTTTATTTTACAAATATTTTTGGGACAGCCTAAAATGACGATGCTTTGAGAAGAAAGCAAGTTTTCGAGTGGTTTCCCACGTCAAAAAAAGGGAAGTGTCAAATTGACGACCTCTCTCTTAGGTCGCCCTTCCACTTACGACACTGAAGAAACAGTTGCAAAAATTACGGATATACTCCCTGATGATCAACGTAGAAATATTAAGGAACTGTCCCAAGTGACTAGGAGTTCCCTTTAGCTAATTTCGTAAGAAGATTTTGGATAAACAAGTAAAAACAGTCCGTTTTTTGGCTCCCCTAGCACACATCATTTTATGTATAAAAATGTACATAGAAAAGAATAAAAATACTCTATCTCTATCATTAAATTACCGATTTAAGAATGAACTTTAAATATATTTTCATCCAAGTTGAACATTGAACAAATGGGCGTTTCCACTCATCCTATATGTTCCTGTTCATTTTCAGGAGTAACGACAAATAAAGAAATTAGGTTGACTATAAATTGCTGGAGCCATTTGAACAACTGATGACACACAAATTTCTCACAAACTAAATGAATACATAAATATATATATAGACAGAGAGAGAGAGGATGAGAAAGTTTTATGATATCTACGGAGCCTCTGGTAATTGTAATTGTCATTGTAAACAATTTATTTAAGATAAGCCCATAAAAAAGTCACACTGAGCCAAGCCAAATCGAGAGAGGCTGACAAAGTTTTATCACATCTACCCTGATGGTAGAGGCGGTCTGGTAAGGACTGATATATCTACCCTGATGGTGGAGGCGGTCTGGTAAGGACTGATATGATATCTACCCTGATGGTGGAGGTGGTCTGGTAAGGACTCTATACTATAGATGGGACTACCACCTCCCGGTCTGGTAAGGACTGATATGATATCTACCCTGATGATGGAGGCAGTCTGGTAAGGACTGATATGACATCTACCCTGATGGTGGAGGCGGTCTGTTAAGGACAGATATGACATCTACCCTGATGGTGGAGGCGGTCTGGTAAGGACTGATGTCGAGCAGCACGAGTTGGCCAGCCTGCGTGCCAACGATGATCCTGGTGGCCATGAGAGTCATGTGCACGGCGGTGACCTCGCAGCTGAGCACGATGGTGTACAGCAGGCACAGAGTGTACAAGTCGTATACACGGCACGTGTGGTCTGCAGACCCACTGATTAGGCGGCCTTCAGTGCCACCACTCACGTGCATGCATGTTACCTGCAGCCAAGGTGACAGATAATCCATGTACAATATAATATGGGTCTAATGTATGACATGGTACGATTTATAGTGAGTGTACAGTTATAATGTATTGAAAAAAATGCCCCTATCATAAAATAATTTTAATAAACTTTGAGAAATAATAAATGGTATAAAACATGTACATACATAACAGGTATACAAACATTCGTAACAAAACCAACATGTCAAAATTTGAGGTGATACATCCCACAGCTTGGGGAACAATGGAAGTTTATATCATTCACTGCTATCATGAACTCAGAAAACACAAGACAATGTGTCAATTTTAATACAATAAAACCACACAATTTCCATACCAAATTAATAAAGATACAAATGAGCCATTCAATTTTAAGCAATAAAAATAGCTGCAGAATTCAAAATTTGTTTGAATATCACTTTAATTTGAAAATAAAATGAGACCTTTACCTTATCAGAATGCTGTCCTAACTGCTTGTGAGGTTGAACGTTCTGTCTGGTATCACCCTGAGCAGAAGTAGCTACTATTGAAGCAACACTCCACACGTACATGAAGCCATCAGCACCTGCAGATGCAAAGTATGCACCACAAGGGAAGAAGGCTATGCTTGTTACAGGTTGAAAATGTCGTTTGATGAGCAGCACTCGACTTCCAGACTCCAGGTTGAAAACGTGCATCACTTCCCCAATGGCTGCAAATAAAAATTAATTGAATTTTTACAAATTACAAATTGTTCATCGTATTTTTTTCAAGTGCAAATAGGTATATTCATCAGATGATATTTTACATGCAAGAAAGGACTATCTGTTGATTATTTTTTATAAGAGGAAAATGTCCTAGTTAAAAGTTTCAAGAAAATTAAATGAGTATCTTAATGAATTTAAAATGAGTTGAGCAACCTACCAGCCACAAGCATGGTAGGAGGTGTAGGAGAGACGTCCATGGCCGTCACTCGACCAGGCAAAAAGAGTCGAATATCCAGCAACTCATGCCTATTGAGTTGCCAGGTCAGCACTGATGAGCGCTCTTTGCAAGCTGCAAACACAAACTCTTCTGGGCCTGCAAATGTAAATATTCATATGAAAAAAGAGAAAACAACCTAATGGCAGCAAATGATTTAAAATAAATTAAAATATATAAATAGATGGAGTAGCATGCCAGCATATTTACATTCATGTGCATCAGATATTATAACACAGACACTTCAAGTCAGAAGCAGGCATCTGCAATGATCCTTATAAAAATCCCTAGTAATTACAATAAAAAATTTTAACACAAACCAGAAGTGCATAGTGTCCCTGGGACAGTTTGCTGTCCTTTGTAGCTGTGCAAGGTGGTACCAGTCAGCACATCATAAACCTAATCCAGGAAAAAATATGGATTTTTGAATAACCACAATGAAACATTTATGTACTCTAATTTAATAGTGCATTATTCAAGGGAAACAAAAGGAAGGCCAAAATATATTGCTTTTTATCTTGTAGCTAATAAAGTGTAGGTAGCTCATATTCCAAAATGATTCAAATTTGAATTAATTTTAGTCAAGGACATCAATTACAATATTTTACAAAATACATAAATATCATAGCATGATAGCAAAAATTGCTTATCATCTGCTGCTGCACCACTCAAGGTCAACGGTAGAAAAGCTGCCAAAGGCTGCTTTCTTCCTTTTTCTTTCTCGCTACGATTAAATTCGAGGAAGAAACAATCCAAAGATCAAATAGAGCTTTAAAATGTATAAAGCAAACAGCCTAAAACTCCGAGCTCTAATTAGATTGTTTTCGTTCCTCAAACGAAAATCATTATTTTAGTTAACAGCAGGCTTGAATTAGAGGAGTGATAGTCCATATATTTAAGATCAATCAAGCCTGGTCACTTGCTTACTTCAAAAAACCAAAATATAACCTAAATTGGTTAGGTATATTACAGAAAAGTCTAGTTTCAAGGTTTTTGATCCAATTTGATAGGTTCATTTATTTAGCCTCCTGGATTCTACTTTGTTTCACAAGTAAAAGATTTGAATCAAGAATGGAAATTTAAACTTTTCCTTAAAACAATAAAGCTTCAAAGTTCTATTGGTAATTTGGGTAAATTTGTAATCTCTTGGTTCAATCCTGTACCATAATAAACAGAGAGGAGATAAATCAGACAATTCATGTAGTAAAAATCTTGTGGCCACAAAAATTACAGGAAAGCTCAGCCAAGGTTCAGAAAAGAAATATATATACCCCAGGAATGATTTGCATTACATGAGGAAAATATCTAATTTTTGAGCCATGTCAAGAGCTTTCCTGCCTTTCTTTGACCAGTGAAATTTCTGCTATGTACTACTAAATGAATGCACATAATATGAATGCCTAATTGCTGAATAAACTGCAGAAGAAACTTTGAATTCACACTGTTAGTTATTAAAAAGTATACATAAATTTTCCTATCTTGATTGGAAACCTATAATAAGATAGATTGTCATATTTACTGTTAAGCACAGGATAGATTGAGCATCTCTATGTTCCTTATTCACATTTAGTGCCTGTAAAATTCCAATGCATTGCCTTACAGGTGCCCTAGCAAAAATAATGGGGGACATGGTGCAATTCTACAATCAGCGGTAGGTAGTCATCAGTCCTGGCAAAGGGTGCCTGGTCATGGAGGGGGGTTGTGATTCTGAAACCCATAGACCAGGCTTGAGACTGACCCAAGTTAAGAAGTTAAGACTTTAAATAATTTAATTTTAGATCTAAGATGAATAGTGACTTAAAATTCCTACATTCAATATGTAGTTAACTTCTAATGATTAATAAAAAAAATATATTTTTTTTTAATTTCTTACTTGGAATGAAGTATAACTTTACAGCCAACACCCATCATCAACATTTTTTCGAAAAAATTTTTTTAATATGGCAAATTTTTCTACTACAGACAGCAGAAGTACCTACTTTTTCAAAATATCACTTTTCAACATTTTTTCAGGGTTTTTTTAGAGCTAGTATATGTATGATTTCTTACCTTTCTTCATGCTACGTATATAAGAAAAATGTTGAAGTTGATGCAACTATTTTTAGTTTGGCATTAGGTATTTCAGTTAGTTTTGCTGCTATAATATTTTTATGCAGTGGTAGAGGACTGTCCTGATTTACCCCACCCATCCCCTCTCACCCATTTCAACGGTTCTGATAGGACTCGAAATAAACTTGAGAAAGAGCGACAAAAAATGTTCTTCTTTGGCACTATGTCATCAGAAGTTCAGATATATGTCTGTTTACTCTCTGCAATCTATTTTTTATTAGGCAATGTCATTTTTATGTAAAAGAATGTAGAACATTAATTACATGAGGAATTTCATAACTAATAGCAAAATAAAGTATGAATACAGATACTCACATATGCAGAACTGGGAGCCAGGTTTGGAGCTGTCACAATTACAGCATTGATGAGGTCTTCCATCATGTACATATTCAGTTATTAATATTGCATGTAATGAGTTATAACAAAGAGTCAAGACAAATCTCAAATTCTCAATCAAATTTGATTAACTTTAACTTGAAGGTTTCCAAGTTAAAAGTTCTATAAGGTGGTTTCTTCTTTTGAAAATGTTTTGAAAAACTATAAATTAGAATACAGAAACACATTATGTTATGCACCGTAAAATGGGGTAACTTAGACCACTTTTCATTTTTCTAACAAAAACCCCAAAACTCAAAAACTATTTGACATAGAAAAATTTTGTCAAGGGGCATTAAAGGCCTAATACTGAGGCTATGCAACACAATAGAAAGATTTAAAAAGTTTGCATATCCAATAGGTTAAAAAATGTGACCCACAAAAAAAATTATTATTTAAAGCCTGTCAGAGTACCCCTACCAATTTTTTTATTTTTTGGTAAAATAACTTCAGGTTTTGATGCATTGTAGTAGAACTCTTCTAGTTACATATGCAAATGACAAATTTTAGGAGAGTGTCATAGTTTGCAAATGGGGGGCGCCGCCCCTGATTGGGGGAACTTAGACCACCTAATGTCAGCCCTGACGGGGTAACATAGACTGGCTTGGAAATTAATTTAAAATTACCATATATTACATATTTCATGTTTGATACACCTATTATGTTTTTTCTTTATGTTTCAGACTCAACAGAGTCTTATATATGGTAATTTTTGCTTAATTTCCATGTCGGTCAATATTACCCCTTCACACCTGACATTAGGTGGTCTAAGTTCCCCCATTCAGGGGCGGTGCCCCCCATTTGCAAACTATGACACTTCCCTCAAATCTGTCATTTGCATATGTAACTAATAGAGTTCTACTACAATGCACCAAAACCTGAAGTTCAAGTTATTCAAGTTCATTGAAAGTTATTTTACCAAAAAATATAATTGATTTTACCACCTGGTCTAAGATACCCCAAGAGCTGGGGTTACAAAGACCGTCACTTTTTTTGAAATTACATAAAAACTATGAGAGGCAGGAGTAAGCAATTTATGGTGAGGGAACCTAGAATATAGACCTGTATTTTGCATCTTTCAATTCAAGTTTAATTTAGCAAGTAAGAAAATGGCATCATTTAAAAAAAAAGTGGTCTAAGTTACCCCATTTTACGGTAGTAAATCAAAACTTATATAATTCACCAAAAAAACTCATATTTAATCTGCCATTACGTTAAAGCTGCTAACCAGTGTGGAATTCTGGATAGGTAATATATTCTCACAGTGAGAATCTCACGTTTATATAAGAAAATAGATCAGAAAGCCTACCATGTTACATCTTACACCCCAGTGACAATTGAAACCGTACACTGAGCTCATCAGAAACTGCCGTGCTTCCAATATCTTGCGTGGTTTGAAATCTGATACTGTGTTGGTGACACCTCACTCGAATACATTCACTAGTCATTTACCAGAGGCATCTGATAAATTTTTGCAATGAATATGTTCTAAAAAAAAATTACATCAATTTCACCAATACTTACAAAGATTTCAAAACCACAGAAAATGATGTGATAAACTGCAAATCTTTCACGGCATACAAGCACATTGTGCTGCCATGTAGACATTGGACAAGGCAGTGTAACACATATTGTTTTGGTCATGTCAAATTTGAATGTTTGATTTCACAATAAATAGATTTGATTCACATTCCATATCGAGATTTATTGATGGACAGTTGTTTCAAAATTCAAACGCCTCTTGATACGCATCCTGAATCCTGATATAACTTTTTTTCATGTTTTTGCCCTATTACATTGATATTGTCATTTGTCATAATTCACTTCAAATTCTGAACTTTTTTGTCTTCCATTGTGAGTTTTTGAACATCTCGTGTCTTTTAGAAAATGTTTGTTGTTTATAAGAGGCAATTATTGTATTATATAACTCATTGAGGGCTTTGACATGTAGTTCAATAAGGTGTATTAAATAATTCAATGCAATTTAATTAATTTAATTTTTAAATTAAAATTTTCAACTAAACATTTTAATAATATAATTTAATTCTATAGCATGTACCATATGGTATATTAAAAAGTTAAATTGAATTTAATAGCACTGAATTTTAATTTATTTCTTTAAATTTAATTTTATAGCTGCAGCCAGTAAAAATGGCATCCTAGGAACAAAGGTAAAATTGTCATTATTACATCCCAAATTGAATGACAATGAAAGGATTTGGCAGATATATTTTATTAATCCCATTTATATATAAGAATGGAAATGTTTCTTCTATTTCAGAATCTGTTCTTAAATAATTTTGTGAAACTACCCTAATACTTATAGTAATGTCAGTAAATACAGAAACTGTAATACTACAGTTACAGTACTTCCATATCATAATTTTATGGTTGCAATGTTGTACTTATGGCAGCATTACAAGGTCGGGAAAAGTCCTATTTTTGTCTGAAATAATGTGGCTCTAATATCATATAATTTAAGTAGATATGAAATCTCTTGGCTCTAATGCCATGTATTTTTGTTCAATTAAAAAAATTGAGGCTTGCACTTTGCGAACATGTCGTTTCATAAAATTTTCAACTTCCACAATCTGCATTACTTCAATGCTCCTGCCAAAATATCCTGCAGAACATAATAGCAACAAGTCAACCCAAAACGTTTCCTTGAAGATTGTTAAAATTCATTTAATTGTTTAAACCTTTATTGTAATTACGCTTGTCGACAGTCACTTATTAGTAGGCGAAGTCGTCTGCCTACTGCTTTATCTTAAGAGTGATGAACTAGACTTACGACTGTGCGGATCAGATCCTGAAACCATTTGCTTTATTCGCGAAATCTTTTTGTCTTTTTCTGATTTTGTGTTTGTGCGAATGTGTTTTCCTTTTATTAAGTTACTAAATTGCATGTTTGCGCCCCTGTGTTCGCTCGTCACAATTTGCTTATTGGCTATAAGCCTTCTTTGAACCCTTAGGGTTTGGCTCCGTGGAGCTTTTGAACTTAATTCTTCAGGCCCATTATCCATATATTGGCATTGGCAACACAGCTAGCAAACTCTGCACCCTGCAGTGCAAAGCACGCTGGCATGCAACTTTGTAAATAAGTTTGCAGCTTGTAAATGGCTTTCATGTTCGAGATATGGAATTCACGGGCTAAAGAAATGGAATTCACTGCTTGAAGAAATGGAATCAAGGCTGGCAAACCCATAAAAGCAGGGCTGAAAAAATCCAGTTGCGGCTCACCAAGTAGGTAGGTATATATTTCATGCCAACAGCCAGATCATTGCTAACCATATAATTTGAAAAAATGCAGTTGCTTACTTGCTTGCTAGCTTTCACTGATTGAACGTGTAATATGCTCCAGTGAAATAGCTTCATGGGGCATCATGTTCAAGTTCAAGTTCAACTCTTACCGGTGGTAGGATTTTTTTTATAAATGTTAATTTGTTGTGCTTGACTTGCATAAATTTTAATTAGTTGTGCTTCTTTAATATCATATAATTTCAGTATATAGTCAAATGGGGTAAGACAGGATCGCAGCCTTCATGGGGTAAGAAAGGACCAGCCCATATCATGCATTCTAATTGCACTGAATTTAATCTGCAATGCATCTTGAAGATGGCTGGCAACGTTTGGGCTATAAATCCATATATTGGCATTGGCAACACAGCTAGCAAACTCTGCACCCTGCAGTGCAAAGCACGCTGGCATGCAACTTTGTAAATAAGTTTGCAGCTTGGAAATGGCTTTTCATGTTCGAGAAATGGAATTCACGGGCTGAAGAAATGGAATTCACTGCTTGAAGAAATGGAATCAAGGCTGGCAAACCCATAAAAGCAGGGCTGAAAAAATCCAGTTGCGGCTTACCAACAATACCAAGTAGGCATATATTTCATGCCAGAGCATAGTGGCAAAGCAGAGAGTTTTTTTAGACTCTCCTTCAATTTCAAGCCCTATAAGTACACCAGACATGTATCATGGATACCCGACCAGCATCATCATACATAAGATATTGGCTTAAATCTTGGGTAAATAAGAAAATTAAAAATGAACTGATTCTACAAAAATCACTGGTTTGCCACTATGTGCCAGAGCATTGCTAACCATATAATTTGATAAAAAATACAGTTAATTTAATTCTTTCACTGAGTGAGCGTGTAATATGCTCCTGTGAAATAGCTTCATGGGGGCTGATGGGGCATCATGTTCAAGTTCAAGTTCAACTCTTACTGGTGGTAGAATTTTTTTTTATAAATGTTAATTTGTTGTGCTTGACTTGCATAAATTTTAATTAGTTGTGCTTCTCTAAAATCATATAATTTCAGTAGGTATGAAATCTTGTGGCTCTAACCATCTAATGTCATGTATTTTTGTTTGATTGAAAAAATAGCAGTTTGAGCTACACTAACAGGTCATTTAATAAAATTTCCAACTTCCGCAATCTGCACTATTTCAACAATCCTGCCAAAATATTTTACACAACAAAACAACAAGTCAACCTAAAACATTTCCTTATAGATTGCATAGTTGAAATCATGTCAGAGCAGTCAGACTGATATCACTGCAATATCACATGATACGTTTCCACTCAACTTCTCAAGTGAAGACAAATGTTAGTTTTAACTGTTTTTAGGGTAGAATTAGAGATTAGGAGTAGCCTAACATGTGCATGGAATTTAGTTAAAAGTTTGCAGCTGCCAGCTAGTAAATAGCTTTTAATAGCTGAGCTATGAAATTGATGGCTCAAATAAATTAAATCATGGCTCAAAAAAATTGAATCACAACTGGCAAATCCATAAAAATAAAACTATGGCTTCAAAAATTTAGTTGCAGTGCAGCTTGCCAAGTAGCCTAGGCCTAGATATATTCCATCATTTCCATGCCTGGTTTTGCTTGACTTGAAGGCAAATTGACCTTCAAATTTAAAAATTGCAACCTTCATTCTTGATTCTTCCAAGTGCAACTTTAATCCCTCTTATTTTTATCCTTTCTATCTTGCCTAACTTTTTGGATCAAAAAAGTGGCAGAGGTGGATCAAAAGTAATATATGAACCTTAATTTTTAGAATTCCATTACCATAGTTAGTGCAGTCTGCAGTGGGCACTAACACCACGACTGGAGTCACTGAAGGGTCAGTGGACCATGAATGATGATGGCACAGCAGCCCCAGCCACCCAGCATTGGGCACCCAGTGCCAGTTGCGGGCCTGCGGCCCACAGTCCACACCCCACAACAGTGAACAGTCAACACAGTACACAGCGACAACACTTTGGTCGTCAAGACTTGTCAGCCGGTCAGGTGAGCAGTGAGTGGAGTGCAGTCAGCAGTACGACACGAGTAGGCTATGTGCGGCGAGTCGGCGACTCATGTACGGTTGTACCTATGTTATTACTTAGAGTCAGTTACCCACAGCCCATTACTAACTGGCAAAATTACGTTTTAATTAACAGCTATTAGGCTTTTAATTAAGCAAATTTCAATTTTTGTACAAAGCTTTGAACGATCTGTGTGTGTCCAATTCAAGTTGTGTCGGAATTAGTTTTCATGTGTCTAAATCCAACATCTCAACTAATTATCTATTAATTTATTTACGACTTGAAATCAGCGAATACAAGTATACTTAAAGTATTCCTAATATATTCACAGACGTACCGGTATTTAAAAGTCTCAAACCATAATATTCTTCCTATAAAAACAGTTATAGCTTTTAATAGCTGAGCTATGAAATTGATGGCTCAAATAAATTAAATCAAGGCTCAAAGAAATTGAATCACAACTGGCAAATCCATGAAAATAAAACCATGGCTTCAAAAATTTAGTTGCAGTGCAGCTTGCCAAGTAGGCCTAGATATATTCCATGCCTGGTTTTGCTTGACTTGAAGGCAAATTGACCTTCAAATTTAAAAATTGCGACCTTCATTCTTGATTCTTCCAAGCATAGTGACAAACCAGATATTTTTATGAATTGGTTCATTTTTAATTCCTCATTTACCCAAGATTTAAACCAATTTCTTATTATGATGATGCTGGTATCCAGGATACTTTACTCAGTTTACTGGTCTACTTATAGGACTCAAAACTGAACTTGAGGGAGAGTCTAAAAAACTCTCTGCTTTGCCACTATGCTTCCAAGTGCAACTTTAATATCTCTTATTTTTATCCTTTCTATCTTGCCTAACTTTTTGGATCAAAAAATTGGCAGAGGTGGATCAAAAGTAATAAATGGACCTTAATTTTTAGAATTTCATAGTTAGTGCACTAAGTGCAGTGGGCACTGGACAGTGGGCACTAACATCACGACTGGAGTCACTGAGGGGTCAGTGCACTCAGTGGACCATGAATGATGATGGCCCAGCCACCCAGCAATCCAGCATTGGGCACCCAGTGGCCAGTGCCAGTTGCGGCCCACAGTCCCCACACCCCACAACAGTCAACAGTGAACAGTCAACACAGCGACAACACTTTGGTCGTTAAGACTGTCAGCCGGTCAGGTGAGTGGAGTGCAGTCAGCAGTACCGCCAGACGCCAGTACGACACGAGTATGTCATATGTGCGGCGACGGGCGACTCATGTACCTAGGTCATTACTTAGAGTCAGTTACCCACAGCCCATTACTAACTGCGGCTGGTTTTAGCTTCGTAAGCTTCCCAGATCACGGACTACCTAAGCACTTGAAAACATGGCCAGTACTCCAGTCTCCAGTAGCACTGCGGTGGATTCTTCGTCCTCGATTTGGCCCTTGTGGCGTGGTGAGTCTGAGAAAAAAATACATTTCAGTGTCAGGCCTTTGCAACAGTCATCAGCCACGCATCACAATTTCATTTGATAGTAGGAAGAGATCGCGTTCGCCGGTCCGCGTGCACGGTGCATCTAAGTCCAACTCCAACCAAGAGCATGGGTCAGAAATGAGCACGCTGAATTTTGAAACACGTTCATTCATGATTAATCAGACATGTATTTTCGAAATATTACTTTTAGATTGTTGAAAACCATCAACAAGGAAGCGTATATGTCAAAAGAATATTTGGTAGTATTACATTAGTGACAAGTTCCAATGTAATTTATGTCTCAATTTAATAATTGCATTTCGGTTGAAAAATATGAACAAAGAAGCAGATACCAAAGGAAAATTCGGTAATATGTCATTAGTAAAAAGTTAAAATGTAATTTATTTGTCACAATTGAATAACTAATATCGTCATTGGTTCGGAGAAAACCAAATCAGCATATTATAATAACAGTTAATGTATGAGCGTGCTGCAATCGATATTTTTTTACAAAAAACTGATATTTTGCATATGACATGGGATTATAGAGAATTTTTTAGATTTAAATCGAGTGCAGGCAGGGATTTTTTCGCTTGTCGCTTTATCAGACTGAAGAACTTGGCAACCTCCCAAAATAACCACAATTGGAGAGCTCGTGCACAGCTCACAGCTCCGTTATGCCAAGCAGCTCAATGTATTTTATTATTATAACTAGTGCATTGATTTACACATTAGTTGTACAACTCGACAGAGCGCAAAATGAGGAAGATAAATTTTAGCGCAATTTTTTTATATGTCTACCGAATTCCTCACGATGAACGTGATTTTTGTGTGAATTTCTGTTGTGTTTCTTCACCTCGTGCCAGTGTTGACGTAGAAAATAAACCTCGTTAGTCGAGTAATTAAATAGACTCGACTTTCATCCGACGTATCAAAATCATAAAATTTGCAACTGCAGTTTTACGGATTTTTTTTCCGACGGAGATTGTTAGCTGTTGAAAAAAAAAAAAAATTCTCAATGGAGGAAAAAACTGCCATGGAGCAAAGAGCAGATGGAGACGTGTCTTTTAGCGAGTTTTATTCGAGAGTGTGCGATCGCATAAGAAGTGAAAACATTCTCGACACGGTCATGAAGGAATTTCAAGTAAGTTGTAGTAATTTTAAAAAGTCACTGTATCGCATTAGTTATACATATTCGTGAAATAGTATTTGGCTAACTAAACAAGTAAATTTACTGTGAGAACCGGTGTCGCTTAGCCGGGCATAATAACACAAAAAATATGAAGTACTGATGAATATTCGGTTATAATATAAACATAAACACTACAAAACATTTCAGTAAATGTAATTTCCCTCCCGCTTCTCACTGCATTTCCCAGCAATGCTCATCGGACCAACAACGAATCTCCTACGTTTGGAATTTACCAGAGACCAGACAACTCTCATTAAAACACAAAACATCCTTCAAGAGTCGCGAGGAGGCAGCATTTTGTGAAGATTTGTACGACAGGCTCGTCGTTGATGAGAGAAATGCAGACAAAGCCCTGGAAGCGATACAGAGAGCCATCCTGAAAACTCCTACAGCTGACAAGCATCTTCTGGCCGTAAGGTATGTGGATGAACATAGCATTCTTCTTTGGTTTACGATGCTTTCAATAAAGGCAAATGCAGTTCTGATCGCTTTTTTACATAAATTACACATTAAAAATATTTGGACTAAAGTCGTATGTCATGCGCAGGTTCATGAAACGTGCGTGGGCGCTGCTGCTTATGGAGAAGTTTACAGAAGCTTTCGTGGACGCCAAACGAGCCATCATCTCGACGCAAACTCCAGGGGTACTTTGGAACGCTCATGAAATACTTGGACACTGCAATGCCAAAGCAAGAAAATTCAAAGAAGCTGAAGCCAATTTTGCGAAGGCTTTAGAAAGTCTGAAAAAGAGCAAAGCAAGTAACGTCGAACGAGCCGCGGTAGCGGGTAGAGTTTCAACGGTACTTCGTATGGTTAAAGATGAAAACAAACCTAAAAATCGATCAAAAGAGTCAGCTAAAAAGCTAGAAGAGAATCGTACCAAGAAAAACACGACTAGGAACACAGATACACTGGACGAAGTGTCGGCACCGACAACAGCAAGCGATGTCAGTAGATCCAGAAAGCTGCCCAAGTTATCCTATGGCACGCATCCCAAGCTAGTGAGCGCCAGCGTGGCTGTTAGGGTGGTCGTCACGGAGGAAAGAGGCCGAGCTGTCGTCGCAAGCCGAGACATCAAGCCTGGTGAGTGACGTTTATCGCAATCATTACAGAGATCTCACATAAAATAATGTCGCTTTAAATATTTCAAGATAAATAACAGTAAACACTCTTAGTAGTCAGAGTGTGATTACGGTTCTTTGATAAAACTATTTAAGGAATTTCAAAATATCAACTAATTCACTATTCAACTGAAACATCTGAAAATGGAAATTTGTTATGTTGTTGTACAAGCACAATTAACATGAAATAAGTACATGCTAATAGACTTAAGCAACGTAAACCGTACGTAGACCGTACAGCAACGATCAGCATGTTGCAAAGAATGTTCATACGCATCTCATTTTTCACCTATGCCACGTCAACTAAGAAAACGTGATCGGAAAATAAAGAGTTTCAGCATATCCTCTCTGTACGCAGGCAGCGTGGTGATGGTAGAGCAGCCGTATGCGTACACGGTGAACGCAAGCCAACTGCACGAGCGATGCCTGCGCTGCTGCCGCCGGTCGCTCACCAACGTTCCTTGTGACAACTGCGCTGTAGTAAGTGTAACTATTCAACTATTCACCATCATTTGCACCATCTTGAGTGGAACAGTAAACTATTGACCACCATTTGCACCATCGAGATTGAATACATTCGAATATTCACCACCTTTTGCACCGCAGTGATTGAAACAATTATTCACTACCTTTGGCACCATTATGAGCAAAACATTCAACTATTCACCATCGTTTGCACTACCATGAGCCGAACAGTAAACTATAGACCACCCTTTGCACCATCCTGATTGAATACATTCGAATATTCACAACCTTTTGCACCGTAGTGATTGAAACCGTTTAATTATTCACTACCTTTGGCACCATCATGAGCAAAACATTTAACTATTCACCATCATTTGCACCATCTTGAGTGGAACAGTAAACTATTGACCACCATTTGCACCATCCTGACTGAATACATCTGAATATTCACAACCTTTTGCACCGTAGTGATTGAAACCGTTCAATTATTCACTATCTTTTGCACCTTCATGAGCAAAACATTCAACTATTCACCATCATTTGTATCATCATGAGCCGAACAGTTAACTATTAACCACCATTTGCACCATCGTGATTGAAAACATTCGAATATTCACCACCTTTTGCACCGCGGTGATTGAAACCGTTCAATTATTCACTATCTTTTGCACCTTCATGAGCAAAACATTCAACTATTCACCACCCTTTGTACCGCAGTGATTGAAACAGTTCAATTATTAACCCTTATTTGCCCCGTCATGAAAAAACACAATATAATCATTGGGTTAGTCAATAATTATTCCCAATCACGTATACTGTCTTGATTAAACCCATCATTACATCAAGAATCATGTGCGTCGGGATAATTAAAACCATTTATGTATTAATCGAAATAGCAACCAATAATCTCCTAACTCATTGTGCCTAGGGACCAACCTTCTAACTAGAACAAACAGGCACTGAAATTGCAATGAAAGAAATTAGCGTAAAATGTGTTTTGCAGTGACGACGTAAAATTCGCAGTTCTTTTACATAATATTCGGTAACAAAGCAAGAAAATAGCAATCTGGAAATTCAAAAATCGATGATCGATGGTCACGAGTGAATAGGAGGCAGAAGAGCTACAGACCGATGGTTAACAACTGAAAGCCACTTCAGAATTCTTGTGTACAATGTACGGGAATAGATAACAACAGTAAGAACTAAGGACGTCAATTCTAATGGGGCTTCAATTTTTGAAACGGTCAACTTCCGAATCCACTTATATTAACACGCACATTACCATTTAAAGGCTCAAATGAGCAAAAATCGTGAAAAAAATATAATAACTGAATGACGCCAAAGAGCAGCTGATAATAAAACAAAGCGGCAAAATAATGAAGTAAATTCCGCCTTAATTATTTCTGATTCACGACTTGCGCCGCTCCGAATTTCGGTTACCTATATCAAGTTGCAACAAGATCGACTTCTCAGTCCTGATGTATATGAATGAAGGTTGATCGATTTGGATCGCTGAAATGAATACTCGAATAGATTAATATATGATCAGCTACAAAACGGCATAGATGTAAGTGAAGGATCAGTAACATAAAAGAGAGAGTAACATGATACAGCTATTATTATTATTATTATTAGCGCATTTTCTCATGTATGGAAAAAATGCACTAGTGCTCGCCATGTCCGTCCGTCTATCCGTGACCTCAAGTTTTCGTCGACGAGAAAATGCGCTCTCTGTCACTCACTGCAGTGAGTACTGAGTTATATTTTTATTATTATTCTAATAGGTTCAGTACTGCGGCGAGTCATGTGCTCGGCAGGCGGCGCAGCAGCACAGGCTGCAGTGCTGTGTCCTCACGCTGCTCTACGACGCCGCTCTCGGCAACATGGCACCCCTCGTATTCAGGTGATTCTGCCATTTAAAATACATGCAGTTTCTCTCCCACGTACGTTACACTGCAGTCAATGCGGGTACATTACACGAGAATAGGTGCGGGAGCTCCTTTTTATGGTCACATAGAAAATATACAATGTCTGACACTATAATACCTCATTTGTGATAATAGTTTCTAATGTGAATATTTTTTAGAGAAAAAACGTATGTTATACCTATGTCTGCTAAGTCCTCTTTTAGATCAAAGGAAACAAAGAAAAATGTTGGCAATCGATAAATGTGTCGAAGTAGATCATATCAGACTCATAACAAATTTTTTTTCGTGGTGTGAATAATAACTTATTTGATTAATGCAGGATATTGAGCACGATAGGCTGGACAAAACTGAAGAAGAGTCAGGAGAAGCTGTGCCAGGAGCAGGAGTTGGCAGAGCAGAAGGAACGAAGCGGCCCCGATGACATCCTCGTCAGCGGCCACCAGCCCTGGGGCTGGGAGGGCCAGTATTCCCCTCACGACTACCTCGCAACTTTCAACCTCGTCACCAACTCTTCAAAACGAACCTTCGGTGACTTATTCAAGCGGGCTCTCTCTGCTGCGTATCTCACGCATTGCTTGCTCACGGCAGGATTTTTCGCACCCACAAAACCTACTGAAGAAGAACTGCAGTTCACAGCGACGCTCGCGCTGCGGCATTTGCAGAGCAGTTCATGCAATGCCTATGAGATAAGCGAGATGCAGATCACAGGAGATATCGCAGGGAACAAGTCACTGGAGATTGGAGGAGCAATATACCCCACAATTTCCTTGACTAATCACAGCTGCTTCCCTAATGTGACTCGTTACAACGTAGGGACCGCATGCGTACTGAGGGCTACGCGGTTCATACCGCGGGATGCGGAGATACTGGACAACTACGGTTACTTCTTCCATGCGACACCCTTGATAGAGCGAAGAGATGCTCTCAGGAACCAATATAAGTTCGACTGCAGCTGCGATGCGTGCACGTATCAGTGGCCGCTGTATCCCCACCAGGGCGGAGAACCAGTGGTGTTCAGGTGCCCTGTCAGCACCTGTCAAGCTCCTTCATCTCTCGGCGATGGTCTCAAGAAAAAATGTAGAACGTGTGGGGATGAGAAGGACTACGGCAAGTTAGTCTCAGAGATCAGTGACAAATTGCCAGATTATTCAAAAGCTATTCAGCAGATGCAGTCCGGGAGATTCGAGACAGCGCTGCAGACGCTCGTGCAGCATCAGGCAATGCTCGATGGTTTCGCAGTGTACCCTGCCAAGCATTACACAGACGTGCAAGAAATCATGCGCCAGTGCATGAGCTCCCTAGGCAATGTGAATCATTGTGAAGCAACCAACACGGAGTAAACATCAATTAGAACAGAGTGAACTTTTAAACTTCTGATTCAATCTAACTGAAATAATTAACTAAAAGCAAAGTTCTTAAATCTTAACGAAAAAGTTCATCTAATACATCATTCTTGTTCTCAAGTGGTTTTAATTGCTTTCAATGCCTGTAGTTGAATCTCAATAAAGCGATTCACAATATCAGAACACATAAAATTTAAAATAAATGAATATTAAATGAGATGTTATGCGTTGTTTCTACCAGCAACTATGGCTACTAGGTACAAGTACTGCTATACCACATCTCTGTCGCAAAGCAGAAGTAGGTATAGTTTAGTAGTGTCACTGTATATGAGTAGGAAAAAACCTTAAGCTCAAGTAGTCCAAAGATTCTTACATTATTTTGGGCTTGTTTCGGGGAGATATAAAAATTGGTTATTTGACTAGATATTTATAAATTTTATTTCAAAACTTATATGTAGTTACTCGACTTTTTCCAAAGGGTCTGATTTACATCTAATAAATATTTCTAGCGCATTATGGTTTTTCCAGTCTGACCTTTTTCAGAGGGCCAAAAGACTCCAGTCTGGCAAGTCAACTAAACTAACTAGATCATCTTGCTGCTGAACTTTTCTAACGTATCCTTTACATCAATTTTTGTATCTTCAGCGTATATGAGGCAGGCTTAACACTGCTTCTGGTAACTTAACACAGCTTCACTATACGTAAAAAACATTCTTACGTAACACTGAAACATGTCGTGGCAAGATCGAGATACACTGCATTCATAAGCTTACTTTTGTCTAATCATCCAAAGTAAACCATAGGTTGGTAGTATAAGACATACCGGATATGTAATAAGGTTGAAAGTCTGAGAGGAGTAGAGGTGGGCAGTAGCGCGCTACATGTAGCGGCCACTACTAGCGGCCACTACTAGCGGCCGCTACATTTCCAAGTAGCGCTGCCCAGCTCTGGAGAGGAAGCGTATAACAGTCAAGTGATGGATCACCTTATCCTTCGCAACAGATTACATCAACTTGTTAGCAACACTTGCCCAGTCGATCTCAGTCATGGACGAGAAATAAATTTGAATTTTTACTGTCGAGTAACGCTGAAAATAATTAGCATATCATCACAATTTTAATACTATATGTTAAAGAGAAAGATTCAAAAAGAGAAGAATTATAAGATAGGTAGAACGAGCTGAGGTCAAGTGTTGAAGTTATTCTAAGCACATTAGAAACATCTCACAGAATTCTGAGTGATTTCAAATCATTTTTGCGGTCTATTAACCCAGCAAAAAGAGTCAAGATCAACATTGACAACACATGATACAAATATACTATCAAAGATCTAGTCGTACAGTTCAGATTAGCGTATGGACAATATGTAAAAAAAGTATAAAGACGATACATACATCATTACAAAACGCTAGCAGGTACAGAGTAAGTATGGTATCTTATCAACAACGATAATATCGAGCACGATCAAAAAAATGACAGTCGATCAAGGAATATATGTATAATGCTAATTTGATCACAGAAGTAACGTTCGAATAGCAACTAATCTCAACATCGAGTATACATAATGCACGAAGCAAATGCAGTGAGTTTACTGCAGGATCGGGAGCACAAATGCTGGAAATGCCGCTTTGTCAACATCGAGGAGATCAAGCAGGAAGTGCAGGTTGCCAGCCAGCCCCTCGAAGAGGGAGTATGGACGGTCAGGGATGGAGCAGCCGTGCAATCAACAACGATAATATCGAGCACGATCAAAAAAATTACATTCGATAAAGGAATATATGTTTAATGCTAATTTGATCACAGAAGTAACGTTCGAATAGCAACTAATCTCAACATCGAGTATACAATGCAAGAAGCAAATGCAATGAGTTTACTGCAGGATCGGTAGCACAAATGCTGGAAATGCAGCTCTGTCAACATCGAGGAGATCAAGCAAGAAGTGCAGGTTGCCAGCCAGCCCCTCGAAGAGGGAGTATGGACGGTCAGGGATGGAGCAGCCGTGCTGACCGTATTCCTGGCACCACACACCGAACTGCAGAGCCTTGTACAGAAATTCCGCCTCACCAGTTACCTAGTGACATATTACACTTTAATTATCAATTCTAAAATCCTAATTCATTGTATTCGTAAGAGCATGGATATTTAACTGCTTACGTAGTCTCTCTCAAATTCTCATACCACTTCTAAGTGAAAAATTATACTAGTTTTGACCAGCATCGTGGTATAAATGTTCAATAAAAGCTAATGGACCCATAGCTCAGAGGAAGCAGCAAAGTAAGGAACAATCTGACTCATTAACACGTTGACTCCGAAGTGGTAAATATGCGTACCATGAAATGCATTTCTCCAGGATGTAGTGGAATATAATTCAGGTTGTCTAAAATCGGCCAAATCCGAGAACAAAAAAGGCCAAAAAAGGCCGATAACTCAATATATACTAGTTTATTTAAAGGTTCCGCTATAAAAATCAAATTTATTTTCTTTTTGCAGTATTTAAAATTTAATTAGGAAGTACCCCTATCATAAATTTTAGCCGGCCAACGCAATTGAGAAAAACTAAATCACGGAATTTGTCCGAAAAAAATGACCGTCTGGCAACCCTGTTTAAAAACAGCACAATAAATGAAATAATAGTACAAGATGAAGCGATCGGAGTCTAAGTGTTAACCGATCATTGTTGATGAAGACAACCAGCCCCTGACCCGATACATGTAGAGGAAGCAGTAGCCATTACCAGCCGCCCCGTGGCACAGACCGTAACCTTTCTTAAGCAGCCCGCGCTCCCACACCACCGCTGCGCAACGCCGGCCGCTGGCTAGGAAATCTGCATCACCGAACATCTGTGCAAGTGAGACGAGTCCACAACGTGCTTGGGGGTTCGACGACAATAGCAGTCAGTCTACTTGCGGATGGCAAAACAAATGCAGAAACTCAAGTAATACAAGTACCATATATTATTTATAAAATTCATGAAAAATAGATAAAGAGTTAACTTGGAAGGACTGCAAAAGAATACATCAGTAAACTTCTGAAAATCACAGAAAAAAGTCAGTCTGCTTGAAGAAAGCAAAATCATCAGTAGACTTGGGACCGGAAACTAAAGCCACTATGAAACTTTTCAAATGAAATCTCAAGTAAATTCCGAAATTTTATGATAATCTTGTGATTTATGCTAATCAGAAAATTTAAAATCAGAAAAAAATCAATTTAGGATTAAAACTTCTATCAGCACCAGAGACCAAAATACAAGGCTAACACTGCACAACGTAATTAGAGGCCAGTAAAAAATAATACACCGAACACGGAGCAAACAAGCCTTTGCGGACACCATGGCTGCTCCCAGAGCACAATGGTACAAGTTTCCATTCAATTTAAGATATGCCGATGTAATGTCATTTGTTGATATTCAAAAGCAAACGAATAAAACTAAAAAAATATAACTCAGTACTCACTGCAGTGAGTGACAGAGAGCGCATTTTCTCGTCGACGGAAACGTGAAATCACGGACGGACAGACAGACGGACATGGAGAGTACAATAGTGCATTTTTTCATAAATGAGAAAATGCGCTAAAAATACAAGACAAGCCAGAGAGGATTGATTACCTTATAAGCCATGGCGAACATGATGGCTGCCCCCGGGGCGCCGTGGCACCAGTGCACGAGTTTGTCTCCAGTGGAGCTGCCCTCAGACGACGGCAGGTTGCCGGAGGGGAAGAGACGAGACTGCAGGAACGCCACTGACGGCTTCACCAACTCCTCCAGCGCCCCCGTCGGCAGGTGATCCTTGGCCTGCACAACACATTATATTTAAATTGAGCTTACGATTAAAGGTTTGAATATCTAGAGCTGTAGTAACCAAGCAAATTATTTGTTTAGACGATGTGATTGTGCACCCAATAATGGGTACGCTAATTCTCACAAATTGCTTAGCTAATATTATTACATTTAACTACTATTTATATCAGTATCAATTTTTTAAATCACTAAAAATCACGAAACTTTTGTGGAAAATTGCAGTGAAAATAGTTGATACAAGCGTGATATGAGTATTGGCAAAAATGAGGTTAAGTAGGCAAAATATAAAATCACAGCTATAACGAGAAATATTCAAAATAAAGGAAACTAGAAAATAACCTTAGAAATAAAAATGAATAGAACAAATGAACAAATAAATGTTGCAAAGGTGGCAACATGGTAACAACTCATCAATAACTAATGTACTCGTTTCAAAGCTTCAATGCAACAAGAGAGGGAGGGATAAAAATAATAAAGCGATATTGACGGCCCCAAGAAGACATCAACAGCCACTCAGCTAACACTCCAAGATGTTCTTCATACTTGCATGAGCATGACGAGTATGCCAACGAGGCCGTGAGCAGCACCGTAGTAGCGCTTGTCATGCCACGCGTACATGAGAGGCGTGCCTCTCACGCCCTCACGCTGCACCATGCGTGTACCTGATGTCAGCGTGACCATAACCACCTCACGCGTCAGCTTAGTCAGCTTCTCGCTCCCCATCTGTAGCAGATGCAAAGAATGAACACACACCTAAACAAAGCGCGTCTGNACACATCTAGATGTGTATAAGAGACAGGAATGAACACACACCTGAACAAAGCGCGTCTGTAGCAGATGCAAAGAATGAACACACACCTGAACAAAGGGCGTCTGTAGCAGATGCAAAGAATGAACACACGCATGACATAAACAAAGAGGAGTTTTGTCTCCAACTCAAGGCTCTAAATCCGATAGAGGTAGCAATAGATGTAGGTACATGTTAAAGAAGTACCGGTGTTAAAGTTTACGGCAGTGCAGACATGCATACTACACATGACAGCACAGGAACGTTATTTTACGTAATTTTTGATCACGATATTCTAATTGATCTGATACAATAATACAATGAATAAAGGAAACATAATGAACACTCCCAAATTTCTTCTTATCTACTGCAAAAATTTCTTCGTATCTGCGTTTTATTTAAGTGCTGATCTTGACACAAAATAATATATACCTAGCTAAGAAGTCATAGGAGCAAGGACACACTATGACTCTCATTACACAGAAAATGACGGTCCTACAAATCATAAACTTTCCATTATTCAGATGAGTCCATTGTAAATAGACAAAATATCAACCAACAAATAGACCAATGACCGTGGTGAATTCTATTAAAATTTCATTGTATTATTGTTTCAAATCTTCACCTCATTTCTATATTAGGGAATATTTAACTTTGGTAGTCTTGGTGGAAACAATCATCATCAGAATCAGAATTTTTGTCAACAGTAAAGCTTATTGTATTAATACTTCTATGCTTGGAAAAATTAATAAATATATGTATATTAAATGAATAATACCTATATCAATGCATTTTAAAAAATAGGTAGTATAAATTAACATATAATTTTAATATTTTATATACTGAAAGCTTTTTTTATTATGTTGAAATTTCAAGTTCAGCTAAAAATGAGCACCTACTGTAAATAGCCAAGTTGTTGAAGAGTTTAATGAAAATCATATTCAAAGAAATAAGAATAACCAGTAATTTCATTGTGAGCTGATGAAAAGTCAGGCAGATACCAAGGTCGAAAATTGTTTCATGGCTAATTGAACCACAGAATAAGTGAAAACACAACTATGGGGAAAACTCCATATTAGAGCATTGATCTTTTGAGTCCAGATTCAAGAAGCCCATTAATAAACAGATTATATATACTAAGCATACTGGATCTTATAATGTATGCAAGCAATTAAAAAATAATTATTTGATAACTACAGACAAACAAATCATGAACAATGTAATAAATCATGGTAGCAACACTGCATACATGGCAGCAAAGGTTGAGACAGATCCCTTGATCCAAACCTTGTATTTTTCAAGCAGCAACAAGCAGTAGAGGTAACCAGCCCTCCCATAGAGGAGCTCATCTGGCAGCTCTTTGTCCAAGATCACATGTGATGACAGAGCCAATAGTCTGCCAAAAATCAAAATATTAATATACACAATGGAATCAAACTAACGCAAAAAAAAGTCAATAATGAATAAAATGATGGAGGAAAATATTAATATCCAAAATCAAATCAAGCGAATGCAAAAAAAAAAATCAGTAAATAATAAAATGATGGAGGAATAATATGTTAAAAACAATTAACTTGACTGCTAACTCAGATAAAATTCTCATAATATGTCTATCCTGAGGCTGAGCGGATAAATGCCATACTTGTCAACATAGTGCTGATGACTCTCAAGCCTGATGCCAGAGTCTAGAGCGAGATGACTGTCATTGGCAAGATAAGATGCGATGGCAGCTGTGGTCAACAGCCCGCCATCACCACACAGATATGTGACACGCGACCTCCTGCCAACTGAATGTACGCAGTGGCCTGCAATCTCTGCTGCACACTGAAAAAAAAATTATTGTTAACACTTGCCAGCCAAATCCGTTTTGTGGTCCAGAAGGCAGTTTAATTACTACACAAAAAGCTAAATAATTCAGAGCTTCAACTACCTTCTAAGTAAGCATACTTTCATCATGAGTTGGTGAGATAGCTCTGGAAAACAATTCTCTTATCATCTTTTACAAGCATTGCATAGAAGTAATATGAAGGTTGATTTTTTTCACATTAAATTTATAATTACACAAAACCCACACTTTCAAGTAAAATTAGCACACATTTACTCTTGTTAGGACAAGAAAAAATTTATTTTTGCTCTCTAGTCTGTCAAATTTAACTCAAGCTTCATTAAAATACCTTTCTTTTAAGTAATAATAAAGAGGAATTTTGTCATGTGATACTTTTTGGAGTGAAGCCTTTAGCTTCATCCTCAATCCAAGGTTGCCATAATGAAGGTCATAATTTTTATGACGAACCATGTAAATGATATTAAATTACATTTGTTAAAGGAAATTGCCATTAAATAATTTATCATTCAGCATTTGTTTTGAATGGAAGTATTTGAAATCCTACAAATACAATTTGGTCATTCAATTAAATTCATATGACTTCATGGCAGTCACAATACAATATGAATGCCAACATGGCTTACCTTCAGATCATTAGAATCTCCAAGTCTAGCATAGCAGTGGAGATACATTACAGCAAGACCAGCTGAGCCGGTGTACACGCTGCAGTCATTATTGCTCTTCCACTGAGGAATAGGAATATATCACTGATACAGTTACAAAAATATTTCTCTTATCTTTAATCAAAGAGCATTTCTCAAACAGGCAACATTGAATGTAAATTTAAAAGTACTAAAACTAAACAATAACAACACGCACAGTTAAATCAAACAGAATAATGTTTTTTAGTAAAAGGTAAAAAGTTCCATCTTATCATTTAGAAAATAAGAACATTTTACACCTGTAATGATTTTATTGATATGCTCTCTTATCACAACAATCTCAGCTGTAACGCTATATAAAAAAATGGTGCTCAACTCAGGGGTATGGTACTGGAATATAGAATTAAATGAAAGATTTAATTTGGATTGAAGGCTTTTATCACACAAGACTAAATAGTTTAAGAGACCATATACTGTTTAAACCTTACCTCTTGGCATTTCTTCACTACAAGAGATTTCAGCTCCCCTATGGTAACAATTAGTTTTTTCGTTCAGCATCAACCTGGAAAAACACCAAAAAATATAAGTACTCAGTACCAATCTCAAATTCATATGGTGGAACAATCAAATTTAATTAGCTAGCAAGTAAAATTGAATTTCAGACTAGAAAATATATTTCAATGGAATTGATATAAAATTATAAATGGGTAAAATTACAAAATACCATACAAATTTTTCAACATACACTGTATAAAGCATGTGTCTCCATCATTCATTACACTATTAAATAAGTTGCAGCGTTTCACGAGAGGATAGTCGTTGAATTTTGGTACCTATGTATTAACTCCATGACTTTATGCTATGTGACTCCATTTGATGCTTTTCTCATACCACTTGCTTGTTGACATTTTATTTTACTCTTCAGCCACCTTAGACAAGGATAGACCTTTGCAAATAGTATAGGTAACAAAATAATTGAATTGATACCCTTTCACCTGACTAACATAAGATCAGAAAAACAGACTCAACTATTGAAAAAATCCAGCAAAATGTTGCCACTAAAATTCTTGTACTGAATGATTTGTTGGAGGTCTCCCGTAGATCTTCTAAGTAGATCAGTGGTTCCCAAAGTAGGCAGTACCACCCCCCTAGGGTTGGTGGAAAGATCTGGGGGGGCAATGAGGAAGGAAGGGGCAGTAGGGGGGCGGCAGTCAGAAATCAAAGTTGAAAGTTTGAACATTTGTTTCATGATTTGTAAACAACACGTGCAGCACACGATTACCAGGGATGGGTTTTTCCACCAAGATCTGGGTGTTTTTGAACCTTTCCTGAGTTTACATCTTGGACAAATTTATGGCCAGACTTGAAGCCAGTTTCATGGCCAAATTAAAAAATTCAATGATCAACTTGGCAGATCAAGGAATATCTCCCAAAGTAATAAAGTCAACTTGATGAAACTTGGTACATGTTTTCATTAGGACCTAACAATGATGTTTAGCTCATAAAATTTGTTTAAATTTTGCCTTCATTCATGAGTTACATGGCAATATGGGCCCAAATTTGCAGTGATCAAGGAATTTCTTCCTAACTGATGGTGAATTGAAAAAAATGCACAAACAAAGGCAAAATAAGGAAAATGTCACAAGCTAAACATCACCAATTGATAGTTAGGAATGTATATTCAAAATTCCGTTTGAATCTGTTCAGTATTTGGAAGAAATTCTATGAGCACTGCAAATTTCAGCCAGGATTGCCATATATTATATAAGTTGCAAATGAAGGTGAAATTTGAAAAATTTTCGCAAGCTAAACATCACTGTTAGGTCCTAATGAATATGTGTTCCAACTTCCAAGTTTCATTGAGCTTTATTCATTAATTTGGGAGATAAGTATTCTTTGATAATTTAATTCAGAGATTTGCCGTGAGACCGGCCATGATTCTGGGATTTCTGGCCATAAATTTGCCAGAGATGTCCTGGGTTTCTACTGCATAGTGACAAACCAGAGATTTTTTTATAGAATTAGTTCATTTTTAATTTCCTCATTTACCAAGATTTAAACCAATTTCTTATGTATGATGATGCTGGTATCCAGGATACTTTACTGGTCTACTTATAGGACTCAAAAATGAACTTGAGGCGAGGGAGAGTCTAAAAAACTCTCTGCTTTGCCACTATGGTCACTTTCTAGTGCTGAAACAGTTGAAACTGCTAAAAAATATATTGGTTTACTATATGGGCTTCTATTTGTGAAATACACATTTGTGTTTAACCTTTCTTTTTTAAAATTGCAGTGCACTTACTGCACTAAATATCAAGAAAGAAGTGTATGTTTTTAGATGTGTCTGTGGGGGTGCTAGAAATGTACTGGGGAGCCAAAGGAGGAGCCAGCCTGTAAAAGTTTGGGAACCACTGATCTAGATTCTATAATTCTAAAAATGGCTAGTCAAATTAAAATTTTTGCAAGTTTTAGAGAACCACATACCTTACAGTGTCAACACAAAGAAAGCTAGTACACACCTTATACAGTTATACATAACAAATTAAATAGGTAATAAAAATTCAGCATGAAATCAACTAAAATTGGGTTAGTAAAAACAAAAATTTAAATTTAAATAAAAATTTATGTATGAAAACCTTTGGTAAATATCTAATTTGAATTTTAAATGTACCATTATGATTATTGCATATTATAGATCAAATATAACAATGAACTGGAGGCATCAATAGGCCTACGGAGTCGTACGGACTACTGTACCTTGTATCCAGATCCATTCTGGGGCTGGGGGCACTTTGCTAATAACTTCTCAGCAACTTTCTCAGAAAATTCTTCAAAGGGGTTTTTGAAATGTCGACTCATTGTTTGCATAAATAAATTAGCTTTAGGTCATAGCTTATAGCTAGAATAAAGTCAGCTGATGGGTACGGTATTTAGAATAGAATAGAAATGTCAGCACTGAAGAAATAGGCCCATGGCCTGTTGCCGACTCTTGAATTTTTCGTGTTGTTGTTGTTGTTTCCAGTTTGTAGGTGTGGAAGTAGTCGCGCAGTGACCTCTTGTTACACCTGGACTCAGCAGGTTTAATTTTGTTTCAATGACATCTGGAGGCTTCATCAATTGGTCCTGCAGTCTTGTTTGCTGCCCAAGCCGTGACGATGCTCATGCACTACAAGGAAGCCAGGCGATTTGTCTGTGTTAAATAGGCGACTGTAGCTTTTATTATGGCGCGTTGAACGTTTCTTTGAAAGTTGCCTCCACCAAGAAGTACTCGAACAGATGGGTGCAAAATACCCAAGGCCTGAACACTGGAGATCAGTGACTGACGCTCCCGACTAAACTGTCGGCNACCCTGTGGCACTCCAGCCAACAGTGGAAGTGGATCAGACAGAACTCCATTAACTCGCACACAGGTGGTGCGAGATGTTAGATATGCATGCAACCAACGTGCCATGGCACCACCAATACCAGCCTTTGCCAACTTATAAAGCAGACCATCAACCCAGACCTTGTCAAATGCTGATTGCAAGTCTATGTACACAACCAAACATACCCCAGAGGCAGTCTGGGCTGTGCGAATATATTTTTCCAACCGAAGCAAAACATCCATAGTGCCATGTCCACGTCGAAATCCACATTGGCTTGGGGTGAGAAGGGACATTCGCTCTACTATGTACTCTAGTCGAGCAGCCACCAGACGTTCCAACAGTTTACCACGACAAGACAGAAGGGTGATGGGGCGATATGAAGATGGTGATGTCGGATCTTTCCCAGGTTTCAAGATTGGTAGTATAATGCCTTCCTTCCATGAGGTTGGAATGATGCCTAGTTGGAAGCTTTGATCATATAAAGTTAGGATTGTATTGTACTGTTCATTGGAAAGGGCCCTCAAGAAGCTGTTGTGTATTTTATCTTTGCCTGGTGCAGTCATTCGCATGTGCTTCACAGCCTGGCACAGTTCATCTCTACTGAAAGGGTTGTTATAGTCACCAGTTTCAGCCCAGCTTCCAACAATTACTCTGTGCAAGTCAGCAGGAACTCTCAGGTCTCCACTCTCTCCAACCACCTGGAAGGTACGACAGAATAAGTTTGCCTTTTCAACTAAATTTCAAGGGTATTATTCAACAATTTCCCATTGTCAACAAGGGGATATTGGGGCAGAGTAAGCTGTGATCGCAGCAGTCAAATTTTGCGCCATGCAACACCAATAGGTGTTGTATAGGTTATTGATGACAAAAATGCTCTTTTATATTGATGGCAGGGTGGCCCAGTGGTTAAAGTTCAGAGTACCAAGATTGACGCACTAGAGAGGCGCGGGTTCGATCCCAGCTCTGTGCGCCAGTTTCTGGTCAGAATCGGCAAGGAGGCCGGGCGGTTAAGCACAGCAGAATTGTAGCAGTGAGTTGCGAGTTCGAGACCTCAAAATGCTGTGAATATTCTGCGATGTTAAGAATCGGCGACAGGCCTACGGCCTAATAAACGCTGAAACCGCTATTATTATAATATTATTATATTATTATATGTGCGCTTGCTTTGAAATATACAATTCCTGGCTAAGGCCTGACAGCGCTTATATTCTACGAGATTATCCCGAGTGGCGAGTAGGGTGTCTCTCCAGCGCTCGGCGGGCACGATGTCTGCCCTTAATTGCTTCCCCACATGCTTCATTCCACCAGGGAGAAGTTCGTCGATTTACGTGCTTGCCCTTTGTCTGCGGAATACAGGCAGATGCGGCATCAATAATGCATGATGTTATGCCAAGAAATGGATTTAGACACATGAAAACTAATTCCGTCACAACTTGAATTGGACACACACAGATCGTTCCAAGCTTTGTACAAAAATTAAAATTTGCCTAATTAAAAGCTTAATAGTTGTTAATTAAAAGCATAAGTAAGTAGTGTTCAATATTCATTAGTGTTCTAATTCAAAGCCATGTTGTATTCCAATTATCCAATGGACCAATACAGCTCACACAGCAAACGGAATTCGAACACGTGGATGACGGCATTACGTATCAGTAGAATTTGAAGCGCGGACGGAATACGCCTCACCACATGCCGAATATTGCCACACACAGTGACGGAATATAGGGATTTGGTAGGTTTGCATTCTAAAGGCTTTTACATAAATATGGCAACATTTTGTGACATTTCATCGTTGCTGACGCATAGTACAGTGTTTTGAGAGTCACCTAAAGCAAACGGAACTTGAGTAATGCATACGGTTATTTACTTATTTTTTTATAGTTTATCATTTCTCAATGCGTCCTTAATGTGACGGAATACACTGCGTTTACCTATGGCCTATGTAATCTAATGCATGTAAATTGTACATGAGTCATAATATCACTAGTTTCCTTGAATCGCAAATTCACTAAAAACTTGAAAGCAAAGAAAACTCCACAAAAATTCATAGTAATTATAAGTATTTTGCAAATGTTAATCTTCAATCTTCATGTCATATTGGTCAACCATTTTATAATCGGTTCTTTTTTTAGGTACAAACTACAAAGAATGAAAGATACTCTCCCTATGGCCTATGCACATGCAAGCGTCCCTAGTTTATAAATATAGTTGTGCACGATGTGCATCTGCGTACATCGGGATGACGTCTTCAGTCTCGCAATCTTTATTCTAGAGTCGCAGAACATAGGGGCAGGAGTTGTTGAACTGGTAACTTACTGTCGTGCGGACTCGCGCCCCCCTCATATGGCTGTGCGGGTTCACGCTGAGCAGTGCACAATGTTCCAGTTTCTGACAGTGACTTCAAAGTTTTGGCTTCCAGTTCCGGTGTTTCTGATTTGCGCATTTTAGAATCATTGTATATTTTTAAACAGAGGCCTAGTTTGAATTTAGCTTTAGCTCCTACCCACTTGAAATTGTAAATAGGTAGGTTTTGCAGCTTAGGTTTTTCGTTGTATTCTTGACTGTACTAATCACTGATTTATCTGTGTTCTAGAATTTTCGAACTGACGATGGAGCTGGACTCGGAAACATTTTCTTTAAAGACACTAAAAATTTTTGTGGAGTTTTCTTTGCTTATAAGTTTTTAGTAAATTGTACATATATATAATATGATTAATGTATAACAAATAGTTTATGCATGATGAACATCGTTCACTAATATTCATTATTCGATTGATGCGATAATTTGTTCTCATATGCATTTTGTTCATTCTGGCGAAATTATTCTATTATGTCTGGCAAAGCTGCGCCAGTGACATGTGAGTCAGACCTACAGCAGTTGGAACTGTGTAGGTCAGGTCTGAGCGGCTGTGAGTCAGGTTAGTCAGTCGTGTCCTGCCAGCCGGGCCGGCCCAGCCCTACAGTGAGGTTCATACATGAACCCGCTCAGCTCTGTTAACTCTTAGCATTCTTTGCTTAACGCTGTGGCTGTGCTATGAGCCCGGGCATGAGGATTTAGTGAGCTTACTATAACCTGCTATCGTTTGCCTACACGAATTAATGTAACCTAAACTATGTGCATTAATGCTGTGCAATAGTGAATAGAATTGAATGTCTCTTATAATAGTTATTTTAGTTGGAATTTGTGCTTTCCCTTTACCATGTTTTACTGATTTTAAGCAAAGTGAATCAATAAACTTTTAAGTATGATTTGTTGTGATTATATTCCATGGCCACTGAACAGGCTTTAACTATGACTGGGAGAGTTGAATGGCATTGTAGGTTAGAATTTAGATGAATGAGCACAGTTGCCTCACTTGCCTGGAAATTATTTATATATTGTCCTGGCCTATGAGCACTGAGCATTCGAATGATTCGATCCTGATGGTGAATTACAAGCCTAACGTTCAGATTGACTTGTAGTAGCTCTGGCAGGTGACATGTTAACTTTGACTTTGAAGGGTTGAGGTGTTGAAGGCAGAAGGCCTTATTAGAGGCTAGTCTGGAAAAGTCCTATTTTTGTCTGAAATATCGCGGCTCTAATATCATATAATTTCAGTAGGTATGAAATCTTGCGGCTCGAATGTCATAAATTTTTGTTTGATTAAAAAATCGCGGTTTGCACTTCGCAAACATGTCATTTCATAAAATTTTCAACTTCCGCAATCCGCATTGCTTTACCATTTCCACCAAAAATATCTTACAGAAAAAACATAAACATCGTAATGTAAACAAATCAACAAAACGTTTGTTGAAGATCACGCATAGTTGCGGTCATGTCAAAGCGGTCAGACTGTATATTAACATGTGCTGAACTTACAGTAGAGACAAATTTTATTGTTGCCGTTTGACTGTTTAAGGGTAACATTAGAGATTTGGGGTAACACGTGCATAAACTTTGTAAATAAATTCGCATTCGCACCTCGTAAATGGCTTTTCATGGCCGAGATATGGAATTCACTTAGAAATGGAATCACGGCTGGCAAATCCATAAAACCACGGCTCGAAAAATTCAATCGCGGCTCGCCAAGTAGATATATTCCATACTAGATTAGAGGCCTGTTCACCAATCATGGTGATACGTTGTATTAAGAAACGTGCGTGATGGGTTCCAAGTACGAGTTTTGTGATAGCGGTCCGGGTCATACTTGGTGGCTAGGTTAGACCAGTGAGCGTCCAGGCGAGACTTGAATGAGTTGACACTGGGGGCGGAAACTACCAGTTCAGGAAGGCTATTCCACACGTTCACCACTCTGACGGAGAAGAATTTCAAGCGTACCTGGCGACTGCACTGCTCTTTAACAAGTTTCAAACTATGGCCTCTGCCCTCGTGTTCTGTCACTGGTGGACAGCTTGAAGAGTGATGCGGTGTTGTACACTCCGTGGACGTATTTGTAACAATCTATGAGATCGCCTCTTTTTCTTCTGTGTTCGAGACTTGGTAGGTGCAGAGTGGCTAGCTGAGCCAGGTAGCCTAGGTTGCTAAGTGATGCCAGTAGCTTGGTTGCCCTTCTTTGAACATCCTCGACCTCCGCGCAGAGTGTTTTGTTGTATGGCTGCCACACAGAGTGACCATATTCCAACAGTGGGTGTACAAGCGCCTTATATAACTGAAACACTGGTTCTGTGAGGCAGTTGAAGCTATGACGGATGATACCGACAAGGCGACAACTCTGTTGGCTTTGGCGGACATTTGGGCAACATGGTTTCTGAAGCACAGGTTGTTGTCTACTAGAACTCCAAGATCACGTGCAACCTCCGAGTTTGCAAGTACAGTGCTGTTCATGCGATAGGATGCCTCACTCTTCTTTGTTCCAACCTTTCAATATCCTACACTTTTCTGGAAGGAAACGTAGCAGCCTCCGCTCAGACCACATCAGCAGTCTATTGATGTCTTCTTGGAGCACCACTGTGGCGGATTCACTATCACTTCATGTGAATACTTTTGCATCGTCCGCGAACAAACGCATGTCACTCTGAATGCATTCAGGCAAATCCTTAATGTACAACACAAAGAGCACTGGTCCTAAGACCGATCCATGAGGAATACCTCTGATGACAGATGCCTGGTCTGAATGTGAGTCATTCACTACCACACGCTGAGTACGATTTGTCAAAAAATTGCCGATCCACCCATGCACCTTGCCACCAATTCCGTAGGCTTTTACCTTACTCAGCAGACGTTTATACGGCACACTGTCGAAGGCCTTTTTGGAAATCCAAGTAAATTGCGTCCACTGAACCACCAAGGTTGAGTACTTTAGTCCACCTGTCTAATACGTCAAGAAGCTACGTTGTGCATGAACGCCCATCCACAAATCCATGTTGCTTTTTGCTAATAAGAGAGTTGGCCTGAAGATAGAGCACCACGTGCTCACGCACAAGTTTTTCCATCACTTTGCACACTACACATGTCGTACAATACTACTTATAGCCTAATAAGAATTAGCTAAGCTGCTAGCTATGTTATATGTACAATGTATTGCAACACTTGTTTTCTCTGTACCAAAAACATACAATTCATTGGAACGTAATACACACCAAGACTAAAGGCAACAGGTTTATATTCCAATTTGTCATAGTACATATTTACTAAACCATGAATAACAGTACCTCAAAATAAATTGATGACTGCCACTCAATATAATTAAATATATAAAAAAATGTGAAAAAATAAAAAAAATCATGATTTCTTATAAAAGAATCAAATGATTTAATCACATGATTTAATCAGTTTGATTTAATCCTTGCCAACCTTGATCCTCTCATCATGTGGCTATGCATGTATGCATATCATGACTGGCACACATGCCTGCTGCTGCCAGCAGCTGCAGCTGTGAAATGCTGCCGGCTGGAATTGTATCTCTGTCCATAGCCATCATGCGGCAACACACACAGAAAATTAGTTACCTTCATAGTTTAATGCCTGCTGCTGCAGCAGCGAAAGCTATGCAATGACGCAATTGAATCCTTGTGTCTCACAAACATATTGTGGAAATTGCTGCTTTTAATGCTAGCAGGTGCATGCTGCCAATGCTGACTACCATGACGCCACCAATGCAGCAAAGCTGGCTGCTGTAATGGCACTAATGCAGCAAAGCTGGCTGCCATGATAATGCCAATGCAGTATAGCTGGCTGCCATGATGATGCCAATGCAGCAAGGCTGGCTGCCACAATGCCACTAATGCAGCAAAGCTGGCTGCAGTTATGCACTAATGCAGCAAAGCTGGCTGCCATGATAATGCCAATGCAGTATAGCTGGCTGCCATGATGATGCCAATGCAGCAAGGCTGGCTGCCACACTGCCTTGACCTACACTGTGAGACTCTGAGTCTTACTGTGTGTGAGACTCTGAGTCTTACTGTGTGTGAGACTCTCTCTTTGTGAGACTCTGAGTCTTATTACTGTGTGTGAGACTCTCTCTTGCACCCAGCTGCCAGGTTCAAGTCCCAATGAGGACAAGTTCTTCCTGGAAGCTCAGCTCATGGTCAACTCCGCCATTCATCCAACTCTGGTTGATAAATCAGTACCTGGCTTGTCCAGGGTGTTGTGTAATGCAAAAATGGTTCTGGCAGGTCAGCCAGCCAGTGATGGTCGTAGAACTACCAGTGGCACCAAGTGCCCGGAAAAACTGACCTATCACCCCCCTCCCTAGTTGCCACTACCAGGATGGGCTATTACAACAATTACAACAACCTACACTGTGCAGCCATTTGCACAAATTTATCAGATTGAGATGTTCCAAAGCAAACTGCATGGACCATTGCTCTCAGGAAGCTTATTTTGCATGGAAAAACTTTCCGAAACTTATCTTTTGGAGACAGGCTTATGAAAAAGCAAGTCAGATGCCTGCATGTCTGTATTAGTGGAGGAGGAGGAGGGAAGGCAATTGCTACATGCATATTGTCTGTGGGTGTTGTTCTTGTTGTTATTGTAATTGCCATCCTGGTAGTGACAAGGGAGGGGGGTGATAGGGGTCAGTTTTTCCGGGCACTAAATGCCACTGGTAGTTTTACAACCATCACTGGCTTGCTGACCCGCCAGAACCATTTTACTGCATCACACAACACCCTGGACAAGCCAGGTACTCATTTATCAGCCAGAGTTGGATGAATGGCTGAGTTGACCATGAGCTGAGCTTCCTGGAAGAACTTGTCATCAGTGGGACTCAAACCCAGGAGCTGGGTGAGAGTCTCTGAGTCTCTCACCACTGCACCACCACAGCTCATTCAGATGTGCTTATAGTCATGGTTGTGACATTTACCTACTTATAGCAAGCATTCTATTATGTTACTGAATGCACGGTACATTCTATGACAAGGTAAAGAACACGGTTGTGCCTAATTTCCTCTAAAGTAAAGCAAAATTTTTTTGTTGCAATTGTATAGTTTAAATTGGAAATTTAATGTGAAAACCATGGTTTGGATGATGATTTGCAGCTCAAACATTTTTCCATATCATGGACAATTATTTCACACTTCACTAAATGAACTTAGGACAATAAATTTTTTGTATATTTCTACAGCAGTTATGGTGGGTTGTGCAATGGATTGTGTTGAAGTAAGCAGTAACTTATTTATCTCACATTAGTTCTTTCTCTGTGAAGGAAATGTAGTATCTAAAACTTGAAAACTTTTATTTTTGTAGATATAAGAATTGTTGTTATTAGTATTATCATTGCAAAGTATTCGTGTGCGCCATAATGCTTATCCTGCAAAATGCAGTACACTGAGCTTTAATATTGGAAGCCATCCATTCAATGCTGATCACTGATCTCACTTTTGTCCCTTCTAATTTTGGAGGAGAATTATGAATTTTAGGCCTACAAAAATCACAGAAATGCCTTAATATTGTAGCTATCATAGCTATTGATATAGCCATTACATCAGAACTAGGATAAATAAATAGAAATCCATATATTTCCCCTTCTTAACTGATGTTCACTAAACAGGGTTGGCAATGATTAAATCAAAATGATTAAATCATGTGATTAAATCACTTGATTTTTTTATAAAAAAATCATGATTTTTTTGATTTTTAACATTTTTAATTTTTTAACCTATTAGATATGCAAACTTTTTTAATCTTTCTATTGTGTTACGTAGCCTCAGTATTAGGCCTTTAATGCCCATTGACAGAATTTTTCTATGTCAAATAGTTTTTGAGTTTTGGGGGTGTTTGTTAAAAAAACCAAAAGTGGTCTAAGTTACCCCGGGAGCCTAAGTTACCCCAGTTTACGGTACTCATTTATCAGCCAGAGTTGGATAAATGGCTGAGTTGACCATGAGCTGAGCTTCCTGGAAGAACTTGTCATCAGTGGGACTCAAACCCAGGAGCTGGGTGAGAGTCTCTCACCAGTCACCACTGCACCACTGCAGCTCAGTCTGTGGGTCAAAGTGGGTATAGCTACAAAACCTACAATAGATAAAGATAAACAGAATAGTAAGCAAAAATGAATTATTAATGTTTCTGGGCTTAAAGATCAAGACTGAAGCTAGCAAGAAATATATCTACTTTTCAGTCCCAACATGAGCTTTAATGCCATTTTTTAAACCGCAAGGTTCTTTGCTAGTTGCTAGATGACTTATTTCCTATCAAATTACAAGATTAATGAAACAAGATTTAAGATTTCACTCATAAATAGGAAAATCCAATCATCTTGAATTTAGACTCAAAGTTAAATAAGTACAATGAAAGGAGGACACTTTTTTGATCATGTTAAATTTTATTCAATTCCCTGGTTCATATTAACTCTATGAATTGCAAAAATTTAGCAATTTTGGTGTAATGGTCAATAACTCCCTCAGCCACCAGACCTATTTGGAATATCAGACAACAGGCACAATTCTCTAAGAATCACAGGCATAAATAATTGTTTTACTGGTGATTTCCAAATATTCCAGGTAAAAATAGGCCATTTTTCTCATTTCTTACCAAAGAAATTAGGAAAATGAGTGGAATTGCACTCATTCCATAGGAATGAGTGGAATTGCACAGACTCATGGGAGTTTTCATAAACTTTACAGGTGACTTTTGACTTTCTAGTTACTCATGGGAGTTTTCATAAACTTCACAGGTGACTTTTGACTTTCTAGTTGAGCTATCAGATAGTGGCAGCCTGAAGGTACCATACATAAAAATCTAATGTGGACTGTGGAAAACATCTACCTTTTATTCCATTGTTGCTGCATGTCTCCCACAGGTGAGGCTAACACATTGCCTACTTCTACTTGATAGGTTGGCAACAACGTACTTGGGGTGTGGATAATGACAAGACTAAACTTGATCTTTTATTACTGACAAATGAAACAGAATTTAGATTACAGTTAAATTAAATGGCTCTTGGTTATGAAGTGAACACAAGTGTGGTGCATAAGTGAATGAAGAATGTCAGTATATACCTAAAGAGTTTCGGAGCATAGGACTAACAAGCATAGGAGTTAAGGAACTAAGGACTCGGCCAATTCTGTTTGCGTATGTTTGTAGTGAAGGGACGCCTGTCGGAGACCACCACTGCCGTGCTTTGAATGGACTATCATGATCCCTTCTCTGAAGAATGTACCCTTCAACACATCTTGACTGTAACATTATCAGCCGCATGCCACCAGACAGATGACATCCATTGAATTTTATCAATTAGCCCACAGGAAAATAAGCCTGGCGTCGTATGGCCCAGCGTCATCTGCCAACATGCGAAAATTTTTTACACCACCCAGACGGAGCACGCCGGAGCCGAACGTATCTGTCCCATGTGTCGAATCAGCCCACGGTCGAACGGCCATGCATTGTACCTACGACGATAAATTTTGGAACAGAACTATGCTATCTGGAACCTAACCCCAGATGCTGTGAGCTAAAAGTTACGTTATTTTGCAAAGCTGCGGAAGTCACTCGCCGGCGGATGATAGAGTTTGGAACAGAACTATGCTTTCTGAAACCTAACCACGGATGTTGAGCTAAAAGTGACAATCTGGTGGTGCACAGCAGGATGCATGCAGTTCCACTGGCTACCTGGGCTGGTTGGTCACAGTCCGTTGTCTGCAAGTTACAGTTTGAGCTAAAGTCAGGGTATGAAGTGATGATTCAATGCAATGTTTAGTGGTGCATAACCATTACTCTCTGGGCTATTCGCTTCAGAATGTGGTGGCATAAAGCTCCTAATATTTAAAGCAAGATGATGTCATGGGCTGGTTACCAACGGATGACTTAATCCGCGGCTGATTGGTGGGCATCAAGAAATATGCTAGGCATTCCTTTCAAGGCTGATTGGTTCACAAATTTAGTGGTGCATGGCTGCATACCCTGTAGTGAAGGGTGGAGGCCGCAGCGCAGCCTGGCTAGGTGTACTCTCTCCAGTCTAGCAGTCTAGAGAGCTTTGTTTCTGTGCTGCTTATGTCAGGTGGTGGGTGTCCAAGGACTTTGTTGTTACTGGCCAGCTCCAGCGTTCTAAGTGTCATAATTGTGTGGAAGTGTTTTTTTTGTGCTGGTGTTGCCTTGGGGTGTTTGTACTGTGTTTAGTATGTTGGTGTAGTATCTGTATGGGGTTTGCGCTATTTGTCTGTGTGTAGGTGGGTTGTTGCATAGGTAGTGGCATGGGTGTTCTGTGTTGTTTATGGCTGCGTCTATGAACTGTGTTCCTCTTGTGTTTAGGTGTGCTTTAATGGGAAGTATTTTTGTTTGCTCCCTTAAAAAGGGTACCTTGCAAAGGGAGGTACCTTTCTCCCTTGAGGTACCTTACTCCCTTACAAAGAGAGTAAGGTACCATGGGTGGTGGTCTGGCAATCCTTATTAGAAGTGATGTGTGATATTTACCACTTACACTGGAGCCCTTCCTGCCTTGCTTGTTAGAGGTGCAGGGAGTAAAAATACTCTTGGACAAAGAAACCTCCTATCTCAATTATCAACTTATATAACCCTTACAAAGCAATATCGCTTCCTGAGTATTAAACATTACCAAAATCAAGTAGAACCCTCATCTTTGATTGTGGGGGAGTTTAGCGCCCATTACCCACACTGGGAACCAGGGCATGCAACCAATGTGTCTGGTAGAAACTTACATAACTTTTTATTATAGTACTCTTAACTCTTATTTTGCCCTACTGACCCCACCTGCACTACTTACATATTTTAACGTCTAGTAAAACTTTTTTCTACTCTAGACCTCACCATTACTACCATCCTGCAACCAATTTCCTCAGTTTCAATCTTAGCAGATCTCTGAGCCCAATTTTGTTTACTTTGAATATCTTACACTTATCCTAAACTAAACTTATCCTAATATATCCTCTTATCCTAAATTTGCATTATACCTTACAGAAACATTCTAGAGCTCTAAGACTCCAACAGAGATGAAGGAGTTACCCGCATTGCAGGAGTCTTCTGATGCAGTCAAGTTAGGTGCAGGTGTTGAGCTGTGTCATCATACAGCTGAAGACTGCAGGCAGATGGAGCATTCCTTCCCAAGTTGTGTCATGGGTAATAAGCTCATTGTTATATTTTGATTTATGTAATGTTTTGTCATAATATTTATGTACATTGCAGTTATAACTAAATTCAAGTTTGCTCTGGTTGCCATATAATAAAAAATCAATTTTTAAATGTGTTTATACACTTGCAACTTTATCAAGAATCTGGTTTGGTTTTATGACTTAATTTTCTAAGCAAGAATATATGTACAAGAAGTGTCTCTGGCAGAGAATTGTTTGCTCTCCAACTTTTGACATTAAGTTGAAAAATTTATTTGTTGCATTGTACATATTTTGCCATAAGCAAGTATAAAGAAAATAAAGGATTTGTCATCATTTTTTTTGATTTTAGCACACAAATCATGGAAAATAAAGGCTTTTTTAAGTTTAGTTGTATGGTTTGGATAAGATTTATGTAAATTACCGTTTATAAGATTTAGAATTGATGGCTGGCATTTTCAAATTTGATGTTAATATTCATGTAGAGAGTGCTGAGTATTTTGACCATATATGATGAGCTAAGGTCAGTAACTAATGACAATTTTGAAGTATGTTCCTCAATAATTGAATCAGTACTAAAGTTGTGGCACTTGCAGAAGCTGTGAAGATTGAGCCTCGTGATGAGCAGCAATCAAACTGTGACTTGGGGCTCCCAGCTGGCTTCCTTGAAGTGGAGAAAGAGGAACCTTTCTTCATGGAAGAAGTTAGTGATTTTCCTTTGAAGACTGTTCTTTTGTTATAATTCTATGAAATTAATTAATAATATAATCCAAATCCCAATAATAGCCAAATAAAGTTAAGCAAAGTTCTGAGTTACGCATGAAGGAATACATATATACGGCCCCTTGTTGTGTTGGCTTTATATTTAAGATGCACTATAGTTTCTTCCATCCAAGATGTCAGAGCCTTCTTTTTATTATTAAGCTGAGTACCTATAGTTTTTTATTTCCAGTGTAGAATTTATAACATTTTAGTATTACAGATTTTCTATTTATAAAAATAAACTTTTATGGTAGTAGGTATCTATATATCATTATTTGACTTCAGAAAAATTTTTAATTTCACAGTAATCAATTGCTTGCAAAATATATGTTTATCAAATTTTATTAGGTATGATTGTATTTTACCATTTAATCTTGAATCAGTGTAAATTTTTCACAGTCTCAGTCTAGCTTCCAAAATGCTTCAGTTTATTGAACTCTATAGACTCAAGGCCTTCAGAATAGATTAATTAGTAGAAAAATTGTAGAATTCCAATTTACTGCCATGAAAGTGTCTTAAATTTGCATGTCAGTTGTGAAATTTAGTAAATTTATCTGATTAGCCTCCAAGTTGCTGAACCAAAATCTCACAAAAATTATACTTATTTTTTAGTACGTCAACATACAGACTAAATTCAGTAACATTTCTTCCATCTGAGCAGGACAGTACTACAGTTACTGACTTCAAACCGTTCCAAATTCCATTCGTGGGCTTGGATTCTCTCAAGGCCGAGCCTGTCGAGGCTGGGGCATCTCCATCGATTCTCCAGGCTTCTCTCAAGGCCGAGCCTGTCGAGGCTGGGGCATCTCCATCGATTCTCCAGGCTTCTCTCAAGGCCGAGCCTGTCGAGGTTGGGGCATCTCCATCGATTATCCAGGCTTCTCCTGCAAACCAAGAACTCCCAACAAGGGCAGGAATCTTTACTGATGTTCCAAAAGCCTCTGAGACTGCCTGCTTAGCATCCACTACTCTGGAGGTGCACAATTGTGGTGCTTCAATGGCTCTTCCGCCTTCAGAAACTTCAACTTCCAAGGGCAAGAGTCAAACAAATGAAATGGAAATCTCATCCACTGAACAAGAATCTGGTGAAGCTTGCTCGCCTAATAACGGCCGCCTTTCTCCTACTTCAGCACCATCAGTAAATTGTAACGTTCTCAGCTACAATGGAACGAGAACCAACCAGGCAACGCAGGAGGCTTCTTTCAAGGGGAAAGAGGCGCACAATTCTCTGAATTTCAAACGTTCTAAGCATCTTTGCATCAAATTTAAAAAATGCAGTGTACTACTGACTCGCATTCATGTTTCTGAAAATTACAAATTCGTTTGCAGTGAAGGAAATGAAAATAATATTTGCTCAGAAGAAATAGCATTTCTAGAGCCTCATCCTAAGCATGGGAGCAAAGATTTAGAGCGACCTAAAATGCGCAGTGAAAACTTGGGCAAAAGTGGAGAACCAAATTCAAGTGAAGAAAATGAGTTAAACTTTTGTAAAAATACTGATAGTGTGCGAAGGACATCCCTCAATCGTTCTAAGCGTCTAAATGCTTCTATGAGGGAGGTAATTTCTTCCACAACCTCCCACGTACGTCGTAACAAAGAGAAGACTCTCAAGTGTCATGTCTGTGCCGCAGCTTTCCGCTTTAAATGGCAGCTAGTCCGACATATCAACGCAGTTCATCTTAAATTAAGGCCTCACAAGTGCTCTAAGTGCGATTATGCATCCAGTGAAGTTACTTATTTACAAACTCATTTAAACTCAGCGCATGCTGAGCTGAAGCAATTCAAGTGCACAGTTTGTTGCATTAATTTTTCCTCTCCTGCGTTTCTACAACTTCACGTCATTAATGCCCATTCTGCTGCTACTAAGTTTCAATTGGATAGCTATTTTGCCGGCGCCGATTTAATGGTGAAATATTACAAGTGTTCTGACTGTACCTATGCTGCTACTTCTAAGAACAATCTCAACAGCCACATAAAACACGTACATCTGAAGATAAAACCACAAAAATGCGCTGTCCGTGCTTATGCTGTCACAACTGAAAATGTTATTCGTGGTCACATTGCAGTTGTCCATCAGAAACTCAGGCTCTATAAATGTCATGAATGTGCCTACGCTACCGCCGTGAAGAGTAGGCTTACGCTCCATATAAAAGCCGTTCACTTGAAAATAAAGCCATTCAAGTGTGATGAGTGCGACAGCTCCTTTTCTATCAAAAGTAATCTAACAGCTCACATTTCCAGTGTACACCTCAAAGACAGGACGCACTCGTGCCCGCACTGTTCCTATTCCTCGTGTTCAAAAGCAGGACTAGCTACGCATATCGCTATCGTTCACTTGGAGCTGAAGCCTCACAAGTGTCCTCAATGTGACTTCACTGGCAGCAGTAAAGGGAATCTTGATTATCATGTTAATGCTGTTCATTTAAAATTACGACCTCATAAGTGCCAGACGTGCAAGCGCGGGTTCTACCAGAAAGCTCACCTAGAACAGCACATGAAATTGGTGCACATGAATTTGAGGGAACACAAGTGTTCGCAGTGCGATTACGCTGCAGGTTCTCGCGGGGATCTCACAAGACATGTAGATGTGGTGCATCTGAAAATAAAGAAATATGAGTGCGGAGTTTGTGAGTACAGCGCCGCGAAGAAGTCTGGGCTTATAAGCCATGTTGCTCGTAAACACTGAAAATCAATTGGCTTCCACACCGAGTATAATTTTTACTGGCGTATAATTTTTTTTGCTTTTATACACCGTGTGCACGAAAGTAATTTCCTTTATTTCTTCTCTACTGAAGGTAGCCAACATCGATACTGATGAATTTGCTATACTTGTTGTAGTCGTTATTATTGTATTATGTATGTAGTTATAATATTACATTTAGAGGTGAATAAACCTGAGCTGGATGGCGTCTGCTGTCAAATGGTTTTATTCGGATATGGTTCTGGGGAAAAATGTCATCTGGGGGTATTGAGTCCAGCTGAAAGGAACGACACTGTAAAGGGTGGGACTTGCTGGTATTCTGCATGGAGCAGCTGACAGGGGAGGAGGAGGTGGCTATAGGTTGTTGTGGATCTTGTAAAGCATGGTAGCCTAGCACGCCATCTTCTGTCTCGCAACGTTGGCCATGCACCATATCACGTTGGCCATAATCACAAGTGCGAAGTTTGTCAATACCGCGCCGCTCGGAAATCCCATCATGTGAATGTCTCCACCAAACATTGAAAATTAGTAATCTTCCCACTTTGATTATTGCTTGAAAATCTTGCTTTTACTTGCTTGCTATAAGATTTTATAGCAATTGTATTACATATAATTATAGATTTATATATTAGATTTTATTATACGTTATATTTAATCTTGGTTAAGGTTATTTTTTACCTCGGGTAACGTTATATTTTACCTTGGTTAACGTTATATTCGTGTGTGGATTGTATTTACATTCTGTTCTTCCTTTTTTTCTCTTATTGCGGAAAAGTTTCATGTCCGTCAAGCTGTCGACGCTGATAAGGCCCTTCTTCTTCTGTAGTCGGGGTCAAGATAATGGACCTGGAGTCCAGCGCGCTTGTGTTCCTTCTGCCCCAAATTGCTAGATTTGCTTCTACACTCATTTTGTGTTCATTTTCAAATATATGTGATGCATTCATTATGCAACCCTTTATATTGGTTGTAGCGAAAGACTTTTTGTCCGAGACAAGAATGGTTATAGGTGTTTTTTGCTTAGTTGATTGTGCTGAATCCACGCTAATAAATAGTTTTGCTCCACCACTTTTAGTTTTTCTGTCTTTTAAATAGTCATAGCATGATTCCAGAATGAAAAATATTTGCCGCAGAGTTCAGCAACTCGGATGTAGAAGTTACACGACGGCATTCCGACTTACGGTGATAAACTAAACTGCATTGAGAAATCGTAGATGACAGAACCCGGGCAGGAATAAGATGCTTATAGCCGAATAACGGAATAAGGAACCAATGTTGTAATTACTGACTCGTGACGCATTAATGTCATCATTCGGTAGAAATTTCATGAACGCATAACAAGCAAATTATTCGGAACTTGTATGCAGACAATCTATTACAAGTTGCTTCGCCTCTCGTCTATTGATTGTTTAACACGCCTAAAAAAATTATTGATTGCTCATCACGAATTGAAGACAACGTTTGGATACAAGTTGTCTAGTATAACTTTTCTCTTAATAGACAACCAATGTCGTCATACTTGCAATTTTCGATAGCTATACACTTCTGGACGGGATGCATGTTGGAGGCAGCATTACCCAATACCAGCATCACTTGCATACTCCTTCCCACGCGCAAGCCTGCTACAAGGTAAAGTAACCTACGGTATTATGTGCTGAAAGCCTAAGGTACAAATTTCCTTCATGGAAGTGTACCAGCGAGCCAATGAGCTGTAAGCCAACGAAATATTAGCCGTCGGGCTGGACACTTGAGACCTCCCGCTTCTTTCACCTGTCACTTCCTAGTCACTTCGTCTCTTTGAGATGCTAACGTCGCTTCTTGCCAGCTTCAGCCTCTTGTCACTTTAACCCCGAGGTGTTTTCAAAATGTCAGAAGACTCTAAGCATGATAAATATGACATGATTAGCCGCAAGAATAAAATCATTGCCGACAAATATGAAAGGGAAAGCTGTTTCGATAAAACTAGAGGTTCTGAGTGTTGTATGGTTTCAACATTGAGAAGTGGCTAAACTTGGTATGAATTAGTTCGATTTTAGGAGTTGACCCTGGGAAAAATTATCAATTGACAGCTAACATCATACATGAACTTATGAATTTGCAGATATTTTACAAAGCGTGTCCGTAAAATAAGTTCCACAGGCTGCCGCTGCCGCAAGAATCGTTTCTACGCGCGGCTAGGCCACAGAGGCAGGTTGCTTGATTCCCCAACTCCAATCCCTTACCAAGCCAGCGTCCCTGCAACGTTTATTCTTGCCTCAGCAAGCGTCAGCGATGGAGTTTCTTCTGCGTCTCCCGCCAGCTGTGAGTTGCCGTCTGTTATTCGTTTCCTGGCCGCTAGGAAGAAATCGGCGAAGGGAATTCACGAAGAACTTTGTCAATGGTATGGAGAAGAGTGTATGAGCTCCGGGAAGGTGCACAGTTGGGTCAGGGACTTTAAAAATGGCCGAACTGACGTCCACGATGACGCCCGTGCAGGGCGGCCATCGGGCCAGCGAGAACTTTTTGGACCGCTTCAACCCGCTGCCGCTGATGGTCTGCTGTGAGCATTTTTGGTACCCATCTTGCGCAGACCTTTGAATAGTCTAAATGTTCAGTCAAAATCTTGCGAATTTTGGTTTTACTGAGGAATTTTTTTCACACAGCTTTCGAATCGTAATCCGTCGATCTTCAAGCATTGCCGCTTCGACTTGGCATTTGTTTCATCAGAAACCGATGGCCGCCTTGCACGTGTGTCGTCAGTTTGGCCAATTTTAAAGTCCATGACCCATCTACGCATCATTTCGGAGCTCATACACTTGACAAATGTCTTCGTGAATTTCTTCTCCGATTTATTCCTAGCAACCGCACGGACGCTGGCTTAGTGAGGGATTTCAGTTGGGGAATGAACTAACCTGCCTCTGTGGCCTAGCCTGCCCTCTAGCGCCAGTCTCAGCCCGAGGCACTTATTTTACGGACACGTCTCTTATTCTCAGACAAAACTCGCTTGTTATGATTTCCAGCTTCGTCATGGAATGTGAAGCAAAACTGATCAATAATTTAATAGATGATAATTTATCAAGAAATGCAGATATGATTGTCTAAAAAGTAATTTAACCCTTTAACGACCAGGTGTACCATAACGGTCGCCTTTAAAACATACTTTAATAAACATACTCTGTTGAGAATCCGTGGTGACATTCACTTGTTGAACTTTCCCAGTCTTTTTATTGGACTATGGTGGGAAAATCAGGTAAGTTACAGCATTGAAAAAATTCTACATTATTTCTAGTACAATATTGAGTGCGCATGCAAAATTTGAACATAAAATAAAAGTTACATGCCTGTACCACTTTTTTTTCTAAAGGCGACCGTTCAGTACAATTTGACCTGAAACTGCATCGTTTGAAACACGACATTTGAGTCGAGGAGGCGAACGTTGGCGTCTTTGGCCCAACATCCTTGATGTTTTTCCAACATCAAGGATGCTGGAAAAATACGAAATTTCTTAGAAAAATTAAATTTCGAATAAGGCATTTTTTGCTAAAATACCAGAGTTTCTTGCAAATTTCTCGGACTCCTTAGTGTTGCTGGCGAAAGTAATGTATAAAATGATAATTATCTATGCCAACTATATAATATCATCCATGTTTTGCCCTCAAAAGTCTAAATGGATAATATGGTCGCGTTTAATATAGGGGATCCAATAAGTCCAAGCAGACTGAAATGTCAACTACAATTTTTTTTTTCAATATACAAATTTTAATTTTCCATAGTCATCTATACACTACTTAATAAATGTGGTCGTTAAACGGTTAAAATCAAGGTTGAACTATAACTAGTTCAACCATGGGTTAAAATGGTTTGTTTCATCCCCCCCCAAAAAAAAAATATCCAGTCAACGTGAAATTTGCGTACTGGCGGACCGCGACCTCACGGATTTGCTGTTTACATAAAGCCGTTGTTGGTAAAAGTTGTGATTGCCGCCACTAGCTACTAACTTAGGGAATTTAGTTTAGCTCTATTAATGTTGTCCTTTGTTTAGAATGAGCTAATCATTAGAATTTCTTAACATAAATAAATGTCATTTTACTTCAAAACACTTCTATTCCCTGATCTGCCTTCAGCAACTTATTTCCCTGAACATGATATTGAAATATACCTATGTCCCCAATTTTGTGAGCTCTAGTTAATTAATTGATACAATGTTTATGATGCTTTATACTAATGACATTTTCCATGTGCACACAGCTGCTGGGACAGCTGTACTGACCGAATCCCCGTGCAGACGTTGAGCTACATGGACACGTCTCCGAAGCTCCAATAAGCATCAAACAAACAAAGGGAGGAAGAATCTACTCACTGTCGCAAATCAAGAGGGAAAAAGCATTTCTTAAATAAATATCATAGCAATTAGCTAAGATTTCTTTCTTGATTACCATTTTTTTAAATTTCTGAATACATAAATATGACTTTTGAAATGTATAATCATTATTTAATCATGTTCTGTTTACCAAATCAAATGCTGCATTTTCAGGAATTTCATCAAAATTATTTTTAGAATATCTTGAAAACTATACGTGCTAGAGTACCTTTTGTTTAAAATCAGCGACCTCGATTCCTTTAGAGAAAGGTATTTTGGTTTGAGTTATGAAAAAAAATTTTGTTGCAGTGTAATGAAAGATCACTATATCCATAGCCGCATGAGCCCGCATCAGGCATCAGTAAGCCAAAATCCTTATAAATGACCTATTTTATACGTTCACACAGTTCCATCTTCCTAAGTTAAGAAAGTAACAAAAAAAACTTTTTTTGAATACATTTAAGGTTTGAAGAGCATTATTCATATGGGCCCATTTTCAGTTACTTGGCTCAGTTCACATGTCATCTCATACGCCTAGTTTAACCTTTGACGTGACGCAATGTCGGACGCAATGTTGACAAGCACACTTAGCACAGGCTGCACAGCACCTAAACAATGGAATTATTTTACAACGATCACATTCATATTCAAAGTAAATGAGAAAACTATGTAACTATGAGAAACTAACAGATTTTGGACATTGTAATGAAATTATTATTACAGAATTAGCCCACTTAACTTATTAATTCTAACCATTACAATAGATGACCTTGATATATTCACAAATCCTTGAGAAAGATGACGGCGTTGAATGATATTATGGTTATTATAGACGAACTTATTGGTCCCATTACCTTATAACCATACTTAATCAATTGAAGAAGAATCTCATGGAAATGTAAAAAGTGAAAACTGTTTCACACTTAAAAAACACAAACAGCTTATTTCTTAACAAAATCATTTGTATCAATACGAGGCGAACGTTTGGTGGGAACGTGTGAAGGTGAAGATGAATAAAATTTGTCTTGTGTTCCTAACTAAACACCGTCACTTATTCCATTGAACTCTGTCACGTTTCAAAATTGCTTTTGATGAAAAAATTCTAGAAAACACAAGATAGTCTGACGGTCTAAATATATAGAGATCTGTTTATAAATTCAGGAAAAAAAAGCAAATGTTAATGTGTTGAAGTTAATCGAGTCAGTAAGACAACGCGGTCTCAAATGTTCTTTAATTTCTCCTAAAAGCCAAGTAACAATCGCAGGGTATAATAAGAAGCATCAGCGAGAGGGTGACTGTTCAAGATCGTCCGAAAAATCAACAGGGAAAGAAATGGGCGAACAGCGCAGAGTACGCAGGTTCAGAACAACGGCGGTGGCACTCTTGCTGAAACGGGGAACCGACACGAGCACGACAGGAGCCTCGTCAACTGCACAATACAATCATTAAATCAATTATACACGCACGATAATAGATTCTTCATTGATATTATTACGAATTTAACGGTCAAAGTAGGAACACATACATATCTCAATGACAGGAAGATATAAAAGAAATTTTTCTGATAACCTCAAAATTTTATGCTTTAAGCGTCGTAGAAGCGTAAATTTAAAGAGGATTCTTTTCGCACATATTTATATTCAAGTCATACCAAGTAAACTCACGGGGCTTCTTGAATTGCAAAGAAGTCTACATTCACTCGCTTTAGTTGACAAACCTGTAACTGTCCTGCAGCCGAAAGAAGCTTGGTTGGCTGCAATGATAACATCAGGGCGATGCTCAAGAGCTAGAGGGTCGCTGGCGCTGAAGGGGTAGCACGCTGTGCACCAAAAGATCGCGAGTAAAAATACATTACGTTATACGTACTCTAATTTGACTCATGTTACAAAGACGTCATAAAATCTTCAGAAGGATCGAAGTATATAAATTTGAAACCAAGACGTCACATAATAGCGAAATGAAACTAAAGGCAAGTAACATCGGAAAGTAGAAGCATAAAATTCAACCGTGAAATATTTGACAATTCGTTGATAACTATTTAGAGCTCGATGAGAATGGAAATACTTTCACCAAAAAAGGCATGCCTAATTCAGTCCACCCTTTTTGAAGAAATATATACATAAAACATAACGGAAGTAATAGCAGATATAGGGTTGAAATTCCTGTAAAAAGGAATTGACAGACCTAAGGTATCAGGTGCAGTTGGAGCCCAGTGCCCCCAGCTGCATAGACTCTGCAGGATATCAAGAGGGTCGTCGACATCACTGCAGGAACGAACGTCGTTTATTGTCTGTCCTGAGGAACACAAAACAACACGTCCTCCTGCAGCGAACTCGTAAGGGTTGCTCACGCTTTGTAAGCAACTCTGACAGCCAGCCTGCAAACAGAGGAAAAAATGGTTGTAAATTAATAGTACTATTGAAATTAAAGTTCGCGGGAATAATCTGATATGTTAGTTAGATTTAGCCAAATACTCGTATGTAATTTTGAGACTAACAAGACTTTGATGCAGAAAAATCTGATAGAATTTAGCAGAAAGTGAGACCGTACTTTACCTTAGGGAAGAGGCAGCGATGGAGAGGCTGCTGTGGGAGCATGTGATTGGCGGGGTCATACTCACCAGGCATGATATCAACGGGACAGCAACTCTGTGGAGACATACAACCAACTGTATTACAAACACCAATGGAGGGCCAATTAAGTTAAATGAATAAATTTTAATGATAACGTGAGCACATATAAAAAAATATAACTCAGTACACACTGCAGTGAGTGACAGAGAGCGCATTTTTTCGACAACGAAAACGTGAAATCACGGACGGACGGACATGACGAGCACAATAGTGCATTTTTTCCATAAATAAGAAAATGCGCTAATTAGTTAAAAACCCTACTATATTGCAATTCGATGAATATATTTCATCAACATCGTTTCCTCAAAAGCCTTATCAAATTATAAATAAATATCATAGGTCTATGAGAAATTAAAAATAAAGAGAAAACGAGTGAGAGAAATAAAAACATTTTAACAAAGAGAGAAATAGAAACAACTCACAGCAATTTGGTAGAGGATGGCATCCAGATCCTGCATCAGTGCGAGCTTGTCCACTTTTTGCCTCTCAGTTTTCTCGTTAGCTATCGAGTTGCCTGCAAAAGATAGGCTAGTCAGTAAAGAAATTATGATGAAAGTAAAAGAATGCTTCCTATTAATAATTTAGCTTATTTTTTCCGATGAGGCAAACAATATCCTTTGCTGGCCTTTGTAGATTGAACAGCAAGTTTCGAAAAGACACTTTAATGTACATCAAAATTATTTTCGTAATGTAATGAGACATCAAAATTATTTTCGGAGTAATTTGAGTTTTAATTTTCGATATACATCCATAACACCCCAGATAAGACGTATGTTAATCCAAAATCTTGCATTTTGAATGTATAAAAACGCATCACTTTACTTAATATTGTAAAAAAATTGTTCAGTAAGTCAGAAAAAAATTGTTAATGAGAAATACTCTCGAGTCTTCACTGAAAAATTTATTTCATACCTAATGCTTGCTATTAAATTTCACAATTTCAGGTGCTTAAAAACTTTCCTTATATTCGAAAATGAATGTTTATTTAAAATGTTGCACTGTATATACGTATATTAAATCACCTTTTTCCGATTTTTAAGCCTGCTTTTCCGGTTTACCAACGCCAGCAGATAACATTCTTCAACTCATTGAGGAGGAAAAAGCTATTCTTATATACCTATAAAATATATATATTGGCGAGAGACTGCGTGAGTACGTTTGTGTGCGGGTGTGTTTAAAGCCTGGCAAATATATAGATAGAGGTCGTTCCAGCGCGTATCCAGGATACTTATCTCGTAGGGATTATACCTGGAGCTGGAATTTCATTATTAGGGGGGGCCGGGGGGCGGGCTCGTAAACTCTACTTAATTTAAACTACTTAATTTAAACGTAGCTACATAGTACGTAAGCTAGGGGGTGAATAGGAAAGGATTGGAGGAAAGGTAGGAAAGAATCCAACCAAAAGTTTAAATTTGATTTTGAAATTTCTTGATATATGAATATTTAATATATAAAATATTGAAATATATAAAGAAGCGTAAATAAATAAGGCATAAAGTGAATTATGGAATACATTATAAGGTATGAGATACGGTAAGCTAAAAAAATAAATCATACTGAATCACAAAAAAACTATCAGATTGATATATCCATACTACACTTAATTTAAAGAACACAAAAAATTTTCTCATTTTTGAAATGATAGTAAGTTCGGAGTTCTAACTTCTATGTTCTTATTCAATTATAATACAGCATCTTTGTCATTTTTAACGGGATCAACTGAATTGGGACAATCTGAAATTGCAGGATGAGGTTAGTTAGAGGTAAAAATCTCCATAGGTTCTAGAATTAAGTTCTAGAATTTGTCTTTCATCAAACATGCGTACAAAACAATTTCTAAAAATTACACCAGAGAACTCCATAAATGCAAGTAAATTAATAAATAGTACCTATACACAAAATACCAAAAAAACGAGACAGGAATTAAAGATTACTATAAAAAATATAACTCAGTACTCACTGCAGTGAGTGACAGAGAGCGCATTTTCTTGTTGACAAAAACTTGAGGTCATGGACAGACGGACAGATAGACAGACAGACGGACGGACATGGCGAGCACAATAGTGCATTTTTTCCATAAATGAGAAAATGCGCTAAAAAGACAGGAAAAGAAAAAAATACAAATTTTCACAACACATTTTCACAACAGCACTTGCCTGCAATGACAACCCTAACAATGGAGGCGGCTGTTTTTTGGACTTGAAGATGCCCCAGGTTGCCTGTTATGTAGTCAGTGAGAAGCTGCACACTAAGAAGCTCCTTAGCACACCCGCCCAACTCTAGGCCAGACACCAGCAAAATACAGCAGTCCTCCTGCACACAAATATCATGCCTATTTACCAGAATTCAGCACAGGTTCTAATATGGTTCCCCTAGGTTTCCTCGGAAATAACTGTTAGAAATAAGGTTCCCAGGGAAAATATTCTAAGAGGAACCATATTTCTAACAGTTATTTCCAGGGGAACCATATTTTATTGATAATTAGTTGCTAGCTTGGAGCCTGAGCTAATATCAAGTAATAAGATTTAAGGCAGTTATTTATAGCCTTTATTATAGCCTCTATTTTATTCTATATAGGCCAGACACCAGCAAAATACAGCAGTCCTCCTGCACACAAATATCATGCCTATTTACCAGCATTCAGCACACGTTCTAATATGGTTCCCATAGGTTTCCTTGGAAATAACTGTTAGAAATTAGGTTCCCAGGGAAAATATTCTATGAGGAACCTTATTTCTAACAGTTATTTCCAGGGGAACCATATTTTATTAAGAATTAGTTGCTAGATTGGAGCCTGGGATAATATCAATTTTTCATTTGAACCCAAGTGATGAGATTTATAGCAGTTATTTATAGCCTTTATTATAGCCTCTATTTTATTCTATAGATTAATAGCCTTATTAAAACAAAAAGACAAAAAGTACAAATATTTATTATCCATTGTATAACAGCCAAAATAAATTATTACTCCTCATATATTTGTTTGAAACCCAGAAAAACTTTGAGTTTGACATCTGCCTTTATTCAAATCATTATAGAAGATTACTCAATAACAATAACACTCAAATGGAGCTGCACATACCTCAACAATGTCCACTTTTGGTGAAGGATCAGGGAGGCCCACAAAGCAGAACTCGGATACTTCAAACTTGCCAGCCGTGGCCACTCGTCCTTTTATGGCACACACCACGCCTGATGATCAACATGATTGACAGTCAAACAATGCTTAATAATAGGTAGTAGTCATACATGGTTGAACTAGTATAATGTTGGCTCATGCGAAGCTCACTTTTGCAGATATAGTTTGTTGTTTGCCTGTGACATCACTGATCTCAGTGACGTCATGGGCATTAACCAATCACCAAAAAGCAATCAAACCAATCTACCATTCCGTCATGAGAATGATGGGATTGTTTACCTTTCTCGATCTACGTAACAAAGCTGAACTGAAAAACGGAAATCCTAATGGCCGTCATGGGCCAACCTTATATAATTCAACCATGTTAGTTATGCATCTCCTAATTAAATTAGAAAACAGAATGCTAAAAATTTATTGAGGACAATATTCTTAATTTTCACACATCCTAATGCAGAAAATAAAACTAATTTTAGCATATATATGCAATAGAATATTATATTAATCTGAGTTATTTCATCTGTTCAAACATAGGATAAATTCACAATTTCATTAGGATCATCAATTCATATTATATGCATAGATAATAAAATTGTACAATTAAGAACACATTTGAAATTGAAAAATATGCTCAGAAATTGCAAATGAATATACCTATATTTCATTCAAAACAGACAAATCCTACAAACCTGTAACAAGATTGCCAACCTGAAGATTTGGGCCAGCGAGTTCAATTCGCTGCAACTCATCCTCAAGAATAAGCAAGTCATCTTCACCCACATACTTAGCTAGCACAGGCTGAGGCAGTAGTTGTTGCTGTGTAAAAATTTATTTCAACTCATTATTGATAATTGAAGCTTTAATTCAAAATAATTTCCTCACATGCTCAAACAATACTATACAATACTATACACATGCTCAAACAATACTCACATGCTCAAACAATAAAAATTCTAGAAATTCTTGAACAAAGTTATATGAAAGGATGAATATACCGTAGTTTCAAAAATTTTACCTTCACTCAAACAATACCCGAATATATTATAAGAAAGATTTTATTGATAGGCCATAGGACAGCATAAGGAGCTGTTATTCTATTACTAACCTCTTCTGATATTTCTTTCAGTATGGATGGCTTCAACTCTTGTTTCTTGAACAAGGTGCCAACAATTACGCACTCCTCTTCACTATCAGCAATTTCAAAGAGCCTCTTCACAGGAACACCATCTGGAAAAAAATTCATGTAACCAGGAATTGACTCGACTATTATAATGAAATAATGTAATATCAAGTTGATTAAATTGCGATTTGGATATTTAAAACACAAAAATTAAGATTTTTATTTATAATAGGTTATGATCAGTTAGTGAATAGAGTCTATTTAGCACCTTACCAAATAGATGATTAGCTTTGACTTCTAATTTTGAGCGTATTTTTTCCAATCTTGAAGAATATAAACTACAGAATTGTTGCCTACTGACATCCTGGCGTCCCCACAGCAGGAAGCGGCTGGACAGATTTTCGTACGGAGCACTAAGACGTTCACACTGAGAAAGAGTACAGTCTATAGAGCTGCTACAGGGCTCCAAGAGCTCATTTGCATCCATACTCAAAACGTTCTGTGTCACAACCATCACTTTGCTCTGAAATCAAAGTAAAAAATAATATTAATACCAATGATTTGATGTAAAATTATGCCATTTAAAAATGCCGTTGCAATGCATTAGTATGCAAAATCACACAGCAAACTCTAAATTGGGTTCAAGATTCCAAATGAACAAAAATTCTATCAGGCTCACAAGATATTGCGTCATTAATTATAGTAAACATTTGATATGTTTGTTCAGACATTCCACTATAGCCCAATAGAAAAAGTTCCTGATAATACACCTCACAAAGAAGAAATAAATTTAGCAGTTTCAATAAATCTTCTGATTTAGTTTGCATTGCACATTCACATCAGGCTATGAGTGCAATCTTCATAGAAAAACAAAATAATTATTTAGTCTGCCAAATAATTAGCAGTAATCATTTTTTTCATGTAATAATTTAAATCCCTTTTTAAATTGATGAAAGTTTCACAGGTTTTGTGATCAATTCCCAAGAATTTCTGGTATTTAAAACAATATATAAAATCAACACATTAATTCAATCAGTTCAATTTAGCACACTGATGTGGATGGCTGTTAAGCATATTTACAAATATAGTAGCTAAGAAGCGTGAATAAATAAGGCATAAAGTGAATTATGGAATACATTTTAAGGTATGAAATAAGCTAAAAAATAAATCATACTGAATCACAAAAAAACCATCAGATTGCTATATCCAGTTTTAATTAGTTTGCATTAATTTCCAGTTTAGTTTAGTTTGCAGATTAAACATGAGCCATATATTGCCACATATTGCCAAATATGTCAGACCAACTTTTAAGAATGCTGTTTGCAGCCATCATACATGTGTAAACCATATGAATATAGAGGCTTGATATACGTAGTATACATTTACTTAATATAGAATCAAATGCTTTCAATGGAATGCAGATGAGTGACTGTACTTTATGTGAAGATCTGCATGTGTGGTCAATGCTCCTAACACCTGTGCTAAGCTATTGGCTAAGAAAGATCCTGGATTGTCCAGTTATGGGAAACTACCCTCAGCAAGTGACAAGCAACAGCATCTTGCATCAGCTGGCCCAAAGGAGGCCCAATAGACAGAACGTGTTCAACATTACACATACTGGGTGGCCCAGTGGTTAAAGTGCAGAGTACCAAGATTGGCGCAGAGAGGCGCGGGTTCGATCACAGCTCTGTGCGCCAGTTTCTGGTCAGAATCGGCAAGGAGGCCAGGTGGTTAAGCACAGCAGAATTGTAGCAGTGAGTTGTGAGTTCGAGGCCGCAAAATGCTGTGAATGTTCTGCGAAGTTAAGATTAGGCGACAGGCCTACGGCCTAATAACGCTGAAACCGCTATTATTATTTATAACCGCTATTACATACAGGACCTGAGGGTAGAGCAACCTGCCAAGCAATGACTTGGAGATGGAAGATGACACAGGCGCCAAATCAGTGTGACTGGGGATTGGCAAGTCCCAAACTCATAAGGTATGCCAGAGGTTAATTTTGGGATTACATCATTATGCCAGGGAAGAAAGTCATCCATTTGATTTAAAAAAAAAACACTGATGCAGACATTTCACGGTCGATGTTGCCAATGCTTGATGATTGACACTGATGCATGGGCTGCACAATTGATGTGGTTGATGCCAGATGATCAACTTGGATGCACGTGCTTAACAATTGATTTGACTGATGTCTGATGATCGACACTTATGATTGCGCTTCACCATCAATGCATCCGATGTCTGATGATCGATACATACTTGCGCACTTTACAACCAATGTGGCCCATGCCCAATGTTAGACACTGACACAAGTAGAGGCAGGTTGTTTGATTCCCCAACTCCAATCCCCTACCAAGCCAGCGTCCCTGCGACGTTTATTCTGGCCTCAGCAGGCGTCAGCGACGGATTTTCTTCTGTTTCTCCCGCCAGCTGCGAGTTGCGGTCTGTTATTCGTTTCCCGGCCGCTAAGAAGAAATCAGCGAAGGGAATTCACGAAGAACTAAGTCAAGTGTATGGAGAAGAGTGTATGAGCTCATGCAAGGTGCGCAATTGCGTCAGGGACTTTAAAAATGGCCGAACTGACCTCCACGATGACGCCCTTGCAGGGCGGCCATCGGGCCAGCGAGAGCTTCTTGGATCGCTTCATCCCGCTGCTGCTGGTGGTCTGTGAGCATTTTTGGTACCCATCTTGCGCAGATCTTTACATAGTCTAAATGTTCAGTCAAAATCTTGCGAATTTTGGTTTTACTGAGGAATTTTTTTCACACAGCTTTCGAATTGTAATCCGTCGATCTTCAAGCATTGCCGCTTCGACTTGGCATATGTTTCATCAGAAACCGATGGCCGCCTTGCACGTGTGTCGTCAGTTTGGCCAATTTTAAAGTCCATGACTCATCTACGCATCATTTCGGAGCTCATACACTTGACAAATGTCTTCGTGAATTTCCTTCCCCGATTTATTCATAGCGGCCGCAGGGACGCTGTCTTAGTGAGGGATTTGAGTTGGGGAATCAACTAACCTGCCTCTGTGGCCTAGCCTGCCCTCTAGCGCCAGTCTCAGCCCGAGGCACTTATTTTACGGACACGTCTCGTATTCTCAGACATAAACTCGCTTGTTATGATTTCCAGCTTCGTCATGGAATGTGAAGCAAAAACTGATCAATAATTAATAGATGATAATTTATCGAGAAATGCAGATTTGATTGTCTAAAAAGTAATTTAACCCTTTTACGACCAGGTGTACCATACGGTCGCCTTTAAAACATACTCTGTAATATTATTGTATTGTCATGATAGACTGATAGAGATTTGGCGCCAGTTGTTTCGAACTTGTTCGGTAAGCGTCCCTGCATCGTTTCGGTGGTGCAACTCTACTCTTTGCTGTCAACTACACAGTACAGCACAGAACTTGTTGAGAATAAGTGGTGACATTCACTTGTTGAACTTTCCCAGTCTTTTTATTGGACTATGGTGGGGAAATCAGGTAAGTTACAGCATCGAAAAAATTCTACATTATTTCTAGTACTATATTGAGTGCACATGCAAAATTTGAACATAAAATAAAAGTTACATGCCTATATTACATTTTGTTTCTAAAGACGACCGTTCAGTACAATTGGACTTGAAACTGCATCGTTTGAAACACGACCCTTGAGTCATGTTGGTCCTACGACCATGCAAGCAGGGAATTACGATGTAAAATAATTGTGTTTTCATTACTATTCTATAATTTAGTGCCCTTCTACAATATTTTTCTCACTACTAGTGAGAAACACTAACTCAGTTTACCTGTTTTATGTCTCCATACACTGGCCAAATGATCGAATTATTGAAGTGTACTTGTGATATTTTTTTGCCCTTCAGAATCCTTCAAGGGTTTTAGCATAAAAAACCTTTTCTTCTCTAAAAAAACGTCCCAGTCTATGGGAACTGCATCTTGCTACTTCATTCTCTAGTGAATCTAAGGAAGACTCTGGATCAAGAGGACATATTGGATACGATATTGGTTTCACCAATATGCCTGAAACCAGTTCTGAAAACAAATTTGAAGAAGAAAATGAATCTATCTTGATTGAAATTAACAGAATGGAAGGTGGAAACCTGGCCTCTTAACGACCCTGGCTGGCCTCTCAGTGTGGACGCTGGCCTCTCAGTATGGACGCTGGCCTCTCAGTGTGGACCCTGGCCTCTCGACTTGGACCGCGGCCTCTCAACCAGGACCCTGTTTTGTCAATTTCGACCCTGGTCCCTCAACTTCGGTCTCTCAACATCCACGTTAGCCTCTCAAAATGGACCCCGGCCTGTCAGCGTAGACCCTGGCCTCTCAACCTGGACCCTTGCCGCTCAATCTCGACCCTGGCCTCTCAACATGGACCCTGGCCTCCCCGCCTAGACATCGGCCTCACAACTTTGGCCCAACATCAAGGATGTTGGAAAAATACGCAATTTCTTTGAAAATTTTAATTTCGAATAAGGCATTTTTGCCTAAATACTAGAGTATCTGGCAAATTTCTCGGACTCCTTAGTGTTGCTGGCGAAAGTAATGTATAAAATGATAATTATCTATGCCAACTATATAATATCATCCATGTTTTGCCCTCATAAGTCTAAAATCTAAATGGATCATCTGGTCGCATTTAATGTAGGGGATCCCGTAAGACCAAGCAGACTGAAATGTCTACAATTTTTTTTTTCAATATACAAATTTTTATTTTCCATAGTCATCATCTATACGTACACTACTTAATAAATGTGGTCGTTAAACGGTTAAAATCAAGGTTGATCTATAACTAGGTCAACCATGGGTTAAAATGGTTTGTTTCACCCCCCAAAAAATATCCAGTCAACGTGAAATTGGCGCAATTTTCATGTGCACACAGCTGCTGGGACTGCTGTACTGACCGAATCGACGTGCAGACGTGGAGCTACATGGACACGTCTCCGAAGCTCCAATAAGCATCAAACAAACAAAGGGAGGAAGAATCTACTCACCGTCGCAAATCAAGAGGGAAAAAGCATTTCTAAAATAAAATATCATAGCAATTAGCTAAGATTTCTTTCTTGATTACCATTTTCTTATATTTTGAATACATAAATATGACTTTTGAAATGTATAATCCAATATTATTTAATCATGTTCTGTTTACCAAATCAAATGCTGCATTTTCAGGAATTTCATCAAAATTATTTTTAGAATATCTTGAAAACTATACGTGCTAGAGTACCTTTTGTTTAAAATCAGCGACCTCGATTCCTTAAGAGAAGGTATTTTGGTTTGAGTTATGAAAAAAAAAATTTTTTTGTTGCACAGTGTTATAAATGATCACTATGTCCATAGCCGCTGAGCCCGCATCAGGCATCACCGCATCAGTAAGCCAGACATAATCCTTATAAATGACATATTTTATACCTACGTTCACACAGTTCCATCTTCCTAAGTTAAAAAGTAACAAAAAAAAAACTTTTAAACACATTTAAGGTTTGAAGAGCATTATTCATATGGGCCATTAATATAGAATCAAATGCTTTCAATGGAATGCAGATGAGTGACTGTACTTTATGTGAAGATCTGCATGTGTGGTCAATGCTCCTAACACCTGTGCTAAGCTATTGGCTAAGAAAGATCCTGGATTGTCCAGTTATGGGAAACTACCCTCAGCAAGTGACAAGCAACAGCATCTTGCATCAGCTGGCCCAAAGGAGGCCCAATAGACAGAACGTGTTCAACATTACACATACTGGGTGGCCCAGTGGTTAAAGTGCAGAGTACCAAGATTGGCGCAGAGAGGCGCGGGTTCGATCACAGCTCTGTGCGCCAGTTTCTGGTCAGAATCGGCAAGGAGGCCAGGTGGTTAAGCACAGCAGAATTGTAGCAGTGAGTTGTGAGTTCGAGGCCGCAAAATGCTGTGAATGTTCTGCGAAGTTAAGATTAGGCGACAGGCCTACGGCCTAATAACGCTGAAACCGCTATTATTATTTATAACCGCTATTACATACAGGACCTGAGGGTAGAGCAACCTGCCAAGCAATGACTTGGAGATGGAAGATGACACAGGCGCCAAATCAGTGTGACTGGGGATTGGCAAGTCCCAAACTCATAAGGTATGCCAGAGGTTAATTTTGGGATTACATCATTATGCCAGGGAAGAAAGTCATCCATTTGATTTAAAAAAAAAACACTGATGCAGACATTTCACGGTCGATGTTGCCAATGCTTGATGATTGACACTGATGCATGGGCTGCACAATTGATGTGGTTGATGCCAGATGATCAACTTGGATGCACGTGCTTAACAATTGATTTGACTGATGTCTGATGATCGACACTTATGATTGCGCTTCACCATCAATGCATCCGATGTCTGATGATCGATACATACTTGCGCACTTTACAACCAATGTGGCCCATGCCCAATGTTAGACACTGACACAAGAACTTCATGATCAATGCTACCAGTGCCTGATGATCAACACTGTGCATATGCTTAACCATTGATGTGGCCAATGCCTGATAACCAACATAGACAAATGTGCTTAACCACCAATGTTGCTGATGCTTGATGACTGACATGGATGCAAGCAATTATTGACACTGACACACTGTTATGGGCTGTCACTATTATTGCTGGAGAGTGGTGGTTACCTTAATCCCACTTGGGGACGTAGCACTCCCCTAGTTCCAAGTTAATGTGAAGTTATTTGAATCTTGACATCCATGTTAAATGTTATCTATATTTGTGTTTATCAGTGTTGTCCATCTCATTCTCTTTACCCTTTTTGCAGATCATTATTTTATTTTTCAGTGGTGATTCAAATTCCAAATCTCCTATTAGTCGATACCCTATATTCACACTAGGTACTGCCTGTAGTTGGTTAGTAGCTGCAAAAATATACCTTTTTAAATCACTGCTAATATATTCATTAATGAAAATTTTAATACAGTGTCTTTGATAATACCACTGTTATAGATGAGAAATATATTTATCTGTTATCCTGCTTGATGGTTGATTGTGTATATATGTTTTGAAGTTTGTATTAATGTTTGTGTTTAATAATAGTTGTGTTATGTGTTGTTAGTGTAAATATTTTACAGATGCGACATCAGGTGCTTCTTTAAGTGACCCATGCCCCAGTTGCCTGGTTGTTTGGTTACACAGTTATATGGTTTCACAGTTATATGGTTTCCCAGTTATATGGTTATCTAGTTTGTGGTTAGGAGTTGCCTGCTAGTTGGGTTTTGGTTATTCAGTGTATTTGGTTAGGTTCTTGATTTAGAGCTCTCTTTTAGGCTTGAATTTTAAGTCACTTAATAATAAAGTCACGTATCAGAATAAAATAAAGTTGAACAAAGAGAAAAAACACCTGGTGGACAGGGATGGCAATAAGGGGAGTTGGGAGGCCATCTTTTATTTAACCCCTAGTATTTTCAAGAACCTTGAATACCTTCCCTCATTTATTCAATAAAAACAACCCATCACAACACTAGAATGTACTAGATTGCAAACAGAATGCTATATAATGCAGTAAAACACATTAGAACGTATGAGATTTCATTAGATTGCACTCAAGTACTAGAATGCATAAGAATTCCCTAAAAATTAGAGCTGGGCCCAATTCTGAAATAGGGAATGCCAAGGATTTGGGGAGAACATAAATCAGCTTCTCTACGTCTGCATTTTGGTCAACTTTCTGATCCCAAGTCAGACAGCTACAAAAGTCTAGTCTCAACTTCAGCAATCACTGAGCAGTTTGTATGAGGTTGGACCAAGTCTCCAATTCAGCTCTCCAAGCCTACCAATATAAATGAAAAATGGCCCCTCTTCCTCCGCAGTGAGAGAAATGGAGGGGCAATCAAAGTTATACACAATTCATTTTCAACGCCTGTTTCTGTAAATTCTGATCTATTTATAGCCATTTATTTCATGCTACATCCTTAAGGTGTGTTTACCCTATCCCTAAGTTACATTTTTTATAACAGTGAATATTTTCTTTCACTACAGCCTACAGACCTTACTTAGCAGCGATACTTTTCCAAAATCTCACTTTGCACACATTTTTTAGGGATTTTATAGCGTAAATATATCATCTTTTGACTTGCTTTATGCTATATAGGTTAATAGGTAGATAGTAAAAATGTTTAACTTTATGCCACTAATAATAATGCCAGGGCAGTAAAGCCAGTAATAATGCCACTATTTTTACTTTTTCGTTTTGCAATATTTTGATTAGTTTAGCTGCCAGTCTGCCACAAGCACATTTCTACAAAATGTGGGACGACTGCTCCAATTTACCCTGCCTGTCCTGTCCCTTATTATTCAGAATTTCTGTTTGATGGTAATCATTCATCTGGATCTGGCCACTCCTGCATGTTTTTAAAGATCATTCTGCAGTGTTTGAAACTTTGAATGACATGATCATCCCCTCTATCACTTAAGGTTCAAGGTTGCGCATACACGGTAGTCGGTACACCTTTGTGAGGCTTTGTCTGGTGTCATCACTCATCAGCATTCAGCATAGATCTTGACTGGCACCTGGCGGGATGACCGCATTAGTGCAGCAACTTGGTAGGTCAGTAAGTCATTAATCTACGACATAGTGACAAAGCAGGGAGTTTTTTAGACTCTCCCTCAAGTTCATTTTTGAGTCCTATAAGTAGACCAGTAAAGTATCATGGATACCAGCATTATCATACTTAAGAAATTGGTTCTTGAAATCTTGAGCAAATGAGGAAATTAAAAATGAACTGATTCTAAAAATCTCTGGTTTGCCACTATGAATTCTACGATCTACCTACTTACAGTTACAGTAACTTACCCTAGGTTCCTAGATGACAAAAAGGAGTGGCTCAAAAGCAAAAACTGATCCCTGACTCCTGAGGAACTTTACTGGTGAGTGGTGACTGATGCCAGTCTGCCAGAATTAATCTCTCTCCTTTAACAACAACACACTCACTGTCAGTCTGTCTCACACAGTCACAGTGACACAGCACAGTGAGCACACTGTTCTGCCGGTTTATTAGGCCTGGATCCAGACTCACGCAGCACGCTCAAATGCTCAATAGCTAGGTAAGGTACCTACTTTTCTTCCGATACCATACCATTACCATGTGTTATGTTATGAAGCCTTGGACTTTTGAAGTATTGGACACTGGACTGACTGGACAGCAGTTTAACTGTCTAAGTAGCTAACTGCACACTGCACAGAAGCACAGTGCTGGTAGTGGTAAAAGTTGTTGACCAATGAACAGGACCGTAAAGGACCTTTAAGCTTCAATATCATATTGTTAAAGCGAAAGATAATATCTGACAATCTGTAAAATAAAAATGCTGGACACAGCACACAGTGGACAGTAATCACAGTATCCGACCATAGGACTCAAAAATAAGAGTCTAAAAAAATTGTTGCCTGAAGAATGAACAGAGAATCACTTATCGAACCATCATTGTTCGATCTTGGCACAGACTAACATCAGCATTCAGCATGATCAACTGAAAGGCGTCGGCGTCGGCCGAGTGTCAATTGTCAAATATCAAGGAAATAAGTACAATTGAGATTGTGAAGATCAAAGCCTGGCGATCCAATAAAAAATGTCAACTGAGAGCAGTTTGCAATGCAATGCCTCATAAATAGCAAACAAACCTTCATCAAGGAATGAATCTCTTTTTTGAAGTAAACGCTCTTCTAGGTCACATGACCCTAAACGCCGTACATTACTACATTTTCATATCTTCCCGCCATAGTTAAATGAAAATTTGTGTGGACTGTTTAGCGGCAGTAGCGCCAAAACGACCCTACGTAGTAGAAGAATTATTATAGATTCTTATTTCATTTCGTATTCGATTATGATGAAAAAAGGCAACTTTTGCGCAACAGACCCCGAATTAACTCACTCAATTATGAACGGATCTGCTTTAAATTAAGAATATAACCAATTATTAGCATTACGCCGTAGCAGCCATTGCTAAAATAAAAAAAATTCATTTTTTAATTAAGACGAAGAACGCTCACATATAAACGCACTGTGTACATTATAGGCCGTGAATATGTGGGTGGCCCAGTTGTTAATTAAAGTTCACTTAGTTCAGAGCACCCATGATTAGAGCAGAGAGGCGCGGGTTCGATCCCAGCTCTGTGTGCCTGTTTCTGGTCTGAATCAGTGACGATCCCGGTCGGTTAATTAAGCCATGGTTGAGCTAGTAAGGCATTGAGTTGCGAGTTCGAGACCGCAACATGTTGTGAATGTTCTGCGATCTTATGAATCAGCGACATGCTCATGGCCTAATAACGCTCAAACCGTTATTAGTATTATCATTATTATTATGTCTGGTGTTAAATTCCTCCATATATGTATATTATAGGATGGACCTGAAATGGCCGAAAATTCCATAGGCCTGCATTGCTGGCATAAATGCTGTGTTGAATCAAAATTGTCCTAATTGCTCGTACTCAATATGTTCGTGTATATAAGTGTCATTCTTAACAGTATCATTAAAAAATAACCATACAAAAAAGTGTTTCCTAATGTTATCCAATTAATTAATTTTTTTATGCAGGTTAGGCTTCATTGCTGGAGTGAGATAATCCTTGAGGTTTGAGAAATACATTAATGATTTTCAAGTAAAAAATTTACCCACATGCTAATCAAGGAATGACTCCTGCATGAACACAATTAACGCAGAACTTCAATTCAACTCGAATTTATCTCGCGTTAAGTTGGGAAGAAATTTTATTTATGATGAACAAATTAGATTTACCGATTAAATTTCATTAATTTAGCTCTACCTCTATTTACGATCCCTCATTATCCTACTAATACAAATGACATTTCTGATGCATGTGATCTCTTCCGACAATAGGTATTAATAATAATAATAGCGGTTTCAGCGTATATTAGGCCGTAGGCCTGTCACCGATTCTTAACATCACAGAACATCCATAGCTTGTTACGAGTCTCAAACTCGCAACTCACTGCTACAATTCTGCTTTGCTTAACCGCCCGGCCTCCTTGCCGATTCTGACCAGAAACTGGCTCCCAGAGCTGGGATCGAACCCACGCCTCTCTGCGCCAATCTTGGTACTCTGAACTCTAACCACTGGGCCACCCTGTCTTTGAGGATTATTGAGGATTATCGCTCGCATAAACCCTTTACAGTGTATCGAAAGCTCCAGCGGTTTCAAACTATCGAAAACAAAAACCAAAATTCCAAAATAATTTGATTCTTTTTATTTTTGCTATGTGCTAAAGAGCTGCCGGTACATCTCCAGCGCGGACCTAAAGTGTTTCCCCAAACTTCAAGTGAATTATATACGCGGGTGGTGTCGCGAAGGACGCTCTGAAGGATGTAGACGGATATGAGTATTTATTAGGGAGAGTAACTTGATATCCAGATCACCACAAAGTTCGTGTTAAATAATTGAAGTTGTTTTTAATAGGAGAAAATTTGAAGAAATATACGAGTTTCTCAATTCCCCTTCTTGATATTTATTTGCTTTCCTTCTTACAGTTGCGCCATCACGTGGAAAATGTTGTTCGAGTCTGAAAAATTTCCTCTTCGTAACTTCTTTCTGAAGTAATGCTATGCTAAGTAAATTATGATAGAACAGATACATACAAAAAAAATGTTGAATGACAGTTTCGCTCAACGTTCATTCAAGTCAATTTGATAACCGGTGACAGCAGTTAAACAATGTATTGATTTCGTCCAGCAGAAATCAAGCTGGATACTCACATGACTAGAAGATTTTAAACCTGAAAATATAGCACTAATAAGTAATAAGCGCGTCTGCTGATAGGTGTCTTAAATTATTGAATCCCGCCCAGATAAATATTCGAATGCGTAATTAATGCAACCAACGAAGCACGGTCGACTGTTTGTTAATTTTTGTATGTACAATTTGCTGCGGGTACAATTTGCTGCGGGTACAATTTGTTGCGGGTACAATTTGCTGCGGGTACAATTTGTTGCGGGTACAATTTGCTGCGGGTACAATTTGTTGCGGGTACAATTTGCTGCGGGCACAATNAGCTGCTGGACTTATTGCCTGGTCCGTAATTTGCTAGGCATTTCAAGACTGAACATATATGCTCCTGCATAGCTTCGTCTAGTCTGTTATCGAAGATGTTCATACTCGGAGCGTCAACGATGCTGGGAGCGTCAACATGAGAGAGTATCAGTGACTGAGAGTAAAAATTATCGACCATATTTAACCGTCCAAACTCTTTTTGAATTATATTTACCTAATGCAAAATGTATTTTTTACAACTGCGTAATAAACTGAACAACCGCACACTCCATTGCGTGACCACTAATGGCGCTTAATAACAATCCTATTACTGAATAATAAATTGTCTGTTTTTAAACATTGATAAAGTTAAATATATTATTACGTAACATTCTTTCGTAAAAGTTACCTGGTGCAAATCATTCTAAGAAATCTTAGAATGATTTTTCTTTAACATTTTGGCTAATTATAAATCATGAAATGATTGCATGATGTATAAAATTTATATGATTTATGAAATGCAATGCATTTAACGCATGAATAATAATTTGCAATGACTAAATATTATAGAAATGTTCGATTCAGCATAACGTAACGTAGCTTGGGTGCGGGACAAGTTACGTTATGGAGTTTTCGAAGGTGGTAAGTGACCGTCGGTCACGTACCACCAACTGCTATTGCACAGGCACCCATGCAAACTCATGTGCCTACAGTCACTATATATAGCAGTATATAGCAAGAACAAGAAACAATACCAGCCTTTTGTTGAGCCTAGGCAAGCTAACCATTGCGGAACGATTATCACCCACTCATGTTGAACTGGCTTGCAGGACCGGTGACTGAAATGTCTGACAAACTTTGCTAGGGTGCAGAGTTCAATCGAAATTTTTTGGGTGTTTGGATTTTAAAATCTACTTCATCAATAACATTTTCTCCAGTCAAACGAGTCTAAAAAGACTCGTGGATAAGTCACTTTCAATAAATGTGAATATAAAATATAGTTTACATTGCACACGTATGTTTTCATTACGTAAAATGAGGATTAGATGTTTTTATCGCATATTTTCTTAATTACAAACTCTATGGCGAAAAATTCCCGCCCCTCAACATCAGCAATTATTTAGATGTTTTTCACCTGCAAGTTGGTATCACTGATGTGGCAACACTACCAAAACAACTTCTGTTCGAGTTTCATTCAAGCAATAAAGCCAATATTGCATGACCGTGGGTCTGTAACGAGTCTACGAGCGAAGATCAATGGCGAAATAGTGTCTAAAACGAACGCCAGTCTAAATCCAAATTGGTAAGAATTTAAATGGATTTTTTCAATTTTTACTGGACTTGATGTCAGAAATTAGAGTACATTTTCTCAAAAGAATTCATGTCTCGTAGGCTACCATGTTCGCGTAGAATAGATCAACAAACATGGTATGATGGTAGGCTAGCTTACGCCTTACTGCCCGTACTGGGAGAATAAAATATCGTCAAACGGGGTAATAAGGGACCGGGACGGGCGGGGTAAATCGGGACAGTCGTCCCACATTTCGTAGAAATGTTGTAGCAGCTAAACTAAACAAAATATGACAAAACTAAAAATAGTGGTGTAAAGTGTAAACTTAAGCAATTTTACTAGTCCAGTATCTTGGACTCCTATCCTATATCATCACTCCTATGCCTAGGCCTAGGCCTTGTACCTAGGTTAGGTACTGTAGGAGTAGGTAGCTAAAGAAAGTTAAGAAATCATTCATTTACTATCTGTAAAAAGTTGTTGAAAAAAGTGAGATTTTGGAAAAGTGCCTCTGCTAGCTAAGGCGGCAAGGCCTGTAGCAAAAAATATGATTTTGAATATAATAAAAATAAATATAATATAAAATATAATTTTACTTGCATAAAAGTTTTGCACAGGTGTTAGCTTAAAAACTAGATTAATGGAATTTGCCTATCTCATTAAAAAAATGGTGGCCATTTCCGTAGGACAGGGTAATAACTGGATAAGGGACATCCCTAAAAATGCATTTACAGTACTAGTAGAACCTTGGTTAGCAAAGGCACTACTTAACCAAAAATCAATTGAAGAAGAAATTTTGATTACATTTACCTTGTTCATAAAAAAATTTTTCCACTCGAAGAAAAATTAACATGTTGAGTGTGGCACAACCCACAGGTGGGTTGTTGTTGACTTTCATCTGCTGCAAAACAACCCACTGATGGCAGTGGGTCATTTATAAAAATAATACTGAATATTTAGAGGAGCCCTGGGCCCATGAAGTAAAGGTTTGAAATAATAGAAAATAAGTTTTACTTGAAATAGTAATATGAGGAAAATACCCACAATTTAGTAATTATAGATTGAACCAAAACATGACCAGCCCATAAATGGTTTTCCGGAGCATCCTCCACAAAATGTTCATACTTTTCTTGCCTTCATATCAACAACTTTTGATCCTTCTGACTGGCAAATCACTTTATACCATCATACTCAGCGCTTTCTTGTCTTGCCTTTGAAGCCAGGAGACTTGTTCAAGCAATGAGCACCTGGCTTGCTTCCTCTTATTTGAGATGGTCTCTCCTCAGGCTGCAATTCTTTCATTAGATATCCATACAGGAGGGAAAGAACAATAGATTCTCTGAATTTTACAATTGTCCATTTGTGCTGCACACCGCTGGATTTGTTGAAGATAAGGTGGGCATTGACCACAGTACATCCACACAATAGTTCAAAACATAATTTTCTGTACAATTTTCTAGATTTACTTGCAGGACTGTCACTCATTCAATTCATCAATATCATTCATTTCTTTCATCAATCAATTCATCACACTCTCAACCATTGGCCCCCTCTGGTGAGAACATGTCATCTGATGAAATAAAATCATCACTGTCAGAATAAAGGTTCATCACATTTCTTTCTCTTATACCCACCACAAAATTGGCACATTTCCATCATGAAAGGTCTGAAAATACAAGGTAGTGAATTTTGATATAAAAAATATTGAAAAATGAATTTTTCAGCTAATTGTTGCATGACCCATTTGTGGGTTGTATTGCAGTGACATGATAAATGTCACACTGAGCTGCAAACTACCCACATGTGGGTCGTAAATTTTATTGCAGTAACATGTAGAGCACATTGATAAACATACACACACAACCTCCCACTTCAATGTCTGGACAGACGCTAATGCTATAGCAACCCAAACATAGCCACACCAGCAAGCAGTTGGCAGTTTTGGCCCCTGCACTTAACATGTTAATGCATCATTGGTCATCACAAAATTATGCATAGATAGAATTGTGCACCGGGCAACAACAAATGAAATTTAATTAACCTAAACTATGATTTATTTCTCCTAAAAATATGATGGTTGTCACAAAAATATTCCTTTCTGTTTCAGGGATGTTTTACGATCTTTTTTTGTTATGGTGAATTCACGTGACCCAATTAAAATGTGAAATTACAAGCCACCCGGTAAGCTTACAGATACAGAAGAAATGCTACATGGCTGCTGATATGAAGCTTGCAGTGGACAAAGTTGTTGTAAATGCACAATAGCATGTCCATGGATATGGTAATATCACATCAATTTGATAATGTATGGATATGGTAATATATCAATAAAGTAAAAAGAAGTATAAATCACAGAAATTTTGATTTATTCTACATCTACATCATCTGCAAAGGAGGAGGAGGACTTCAGAGTTCTATTAGTAATGGACGAGTACACTTCTCATGCTTCAAATGTTTTAAAATCAAGTTTTATTTTAAGTGTCCCAGATTACCCCCATTCCCAGGTAGCTGTCAGGTAGCTCAGAGGGAGCTGACTGGTAACTGATTATGATAAGTTAATGAGAATAATAATAAATGATAAATAATGATATAATGAATGATGAATCATAAAAATGAATGATAATAATAATGACAAGTTAATAATACATGTACTAGTACTCTAGTAGTATCCCATCATCAAACACCATTGCAGCTGCCATTCATACGGTCGTTGGATTAGTCTTTTTGCAACTTCCAACATTGTTATGTGACTATTTGCAGAGCTCTGAAATAAAGAGAGCATGCTCTTAGAACTGTTAGCTCAATTTCCCACTATCTTTAATTAATGGCCCATTACAATGTGTAAGTTTATTTTTAGCACAAGCTAGTAGTAGCCTACTTCCTAGGCTGATTACCACTTGATGAGTTTTGCTAGTAAGTAGATCAGGACTTAGGTGCAGGTAAACAATTTCATGTAATGAAGTCTTTGTAACAGTAAAATTGTCCTGGTCAGTACTGGTCAATGCAATAAACTCCCAAGCGTTAAAATATGAACTGAAACAGGAAGACACTGACACTTGCATCACTGAATTACTACCTTTCTACCACATGGCAATGTTATCTACTGTACCGTAAAATGGGTTAACTTAGACTCCCGGGGTAACTTAGACCACTTTTTGTTTTTTTAACAAAAACCCCCAAAACTCAAAAACTATTGACATAGAAAAATTTTGTCAATGGGCATTAAAGGCCTAATACTGAGGCTACATAACACAATAGAAAGATATAAAAAGTTTGCATATCTAATAGGTTAAAAAATTAAAGATGTGACCCATGGAAAAAAGCTACTGTATAAAGCCTGTCAGAGTACCCCCTCCAATTTTTTTAAGTTTTGATAAAATAACTCCAGGTTTTGATGCATTGTAGTAGAACTCTTCTTGTTACATATGCAAAGGACAAATTTTAGGAAAGTGTCATAGTTTGCAAATGAGGGCACTGCCCCCAAATGGGGGAACTTAGACCACCTAATGTCAGCCCTGATGGGGTAACATAGACCAGCTTGGAAATTAATATAAAATTACCATATATAACATATTTTATGTTTGACAGCCTATTAATGTTTTTTCTTTATGTTTCAGACTACAGAGTCTTATATATGGTAATTTTAACTTGATTTCCAAGCCAGTCAATATTACCCCATCAGGGCTGCCATTAGGTAGTCACATTTCCCCCATTATGGGGCGGCACCCCCCGTCTGCAAACTATGACACTTTCCTCAAGTCTGTCATTTGCATATGTAACTAGAAAAGTTCTACTAGAATGCACCAAAACCTGGAGTTATTTTACCAAAAAATATAATAGATTTAACCACCCAGTCTAAGATACCCAAGAGCTGGGGTAACAAAGACCATTACTTTTTTTGAAATAACATAAAAACTATGAGAGGCAGGAGCCAGCAATTTATGGTGAGGGAACTTAGAGTATAGACCTGTATTTTGCATGTTTCAATTCAACTTTAATTTAGCTACAGCTAGTAAAAATCAACACGTATCATGGACATTGTACTCATAAATATTCTTTTTTGCAACTTCTACCATTACTGTGCGATTAGCTGTAGATCTCTGAAATTTAGAGAGCATGCTCTAGGTCTAAAAACTGTTGGATTGATTTTCAATTATCTTTCGTTAATGGCCCAATACAATATCAAAGTTTATTCAGAGCACTATGTGGCACCCTTTGCAAATCCTAGCCAAGCAAGTAGACAACAGAAATTTATGAAAAAACAAGATGGGTGTTGTTATAATTCATTTTTTTATTAGTTACCTAGGAGAAGGCAATCAAATTAAGCTGCCAGTTGGACAGTACATTTAATACTAGATGCCTCCCACTTGCTGAAGCTATAACTGCCTGTCCACCATTTTTTGGAAGCCTTATTATGATCTGCGCATTATTTTTTTGCACAAGGAATAGCAAAGTATGTGGTGAAATTCTTGGCACCCCACCAAGCATCCCCCTTCACTACCCCCTCCCCACCAGGGGAGGGGGGTAGTGATTCTGGCACCCAGAGACTGGACTTCTGACCAACCCTATTTAGGAATTCAACAAGATTTAATTTTAGATCATAGACAAACAGTCACCTAAAATTCTCATTCAATGTATAGTTAACTTCTGAGAAATAAGATAAAATTTGATTATTTTTTAATTTAAGATTTAGGATGAAATATAACTTTACTAGTGATGATGTTGTCACATAACTATTTTGTTGAGCCGATGAATCCAGTGTTTTGTCATCAATTCTCATCCTTTCTTATGTCTTGCTATTAAACTTTTGTGCAACATGCCCTTGAAGTTTGTTTAAACACAGTGCCACAATAACTGCTTCATAGAAAAATAACAAAAACAACAATAGGATTGTTATAAATTTCACAGTCCTAAGTGCAATTCTTCAAAAGATATGGAAGAGAGCAACATTTTTTTGTAGTCAAGTTTTAACATGATTATGTATATGTTTTTACATGATTATGTATATGTTTTTACAGGAATGAATATGTTAGTAGTATTGTTACTTGCAGTATGATGGTATCTCTGGAAGTCCTGTCTCTCGGAACTACTTCTCTCAGCCATAGCCCAAGTGGAAAATTGGGCAGATGTCACTCTTAAATTGGACAAAGGTGCCTGGGAATCAGGCCAATTTCTCCCATTCCAATGGACTTTCTATACTATTTTTTAGTAAAAAGTATGAAAAGTTACCTATTTTCTCCTGCAATTTTAAAAATTATACCATGAAACAATCGTTTTCACCCACAATTTTAGGAAATTTCTGCCTTTGTTCATAACTGGCCCCGTACTACCCTGATGATTTGCATGCCATTTTTTTGAACTGAAAGGTAGATTTCAGTTCTAAAAGTTCTCCATCCCTAAATTTGTACCATGTGCCAATGTGACCAGGCTTGGAATAAGCAGGAATATATCTCTACCTTTTGAGCTACTAACAGAGCTTCCTTGCAATTTTTGGAGTCTTGAGGTCCCACTGGATGAATTATCTCCTATCTAATTGTTAAGAGAAGTGCCCAATCAAGCTATCAGATTCCAGTGGTACACAAAATTTGTCTCATGGTGCCACTAGATTTTATTTATAAGTAGGAGAGTACCAATTATAAGTGTGACCATAGTGGCAAAGATGAGATTCTATAGAAACCATTTAATTTCTAATATCCTAAAGATTTCATTAATATCTTATGCATGTTGATGCTGGTCTCCATGACAACCGGTGTGGAATTTATCTACCTTATGAGCTGTGAATATAACTCTCCCATCATTTTTGGGAGCCAAGAGATTCCTGGTAGATAAATTACTTCTTTTAAGTTGACAGACATGTACAATTCAGCCACAAAATTTTAAATCTATTGAAAATTTGAAACTGGTGTTGTGAGATTTACGTATTAAATAGGAAAATTTTAATCCTGCACTATACTTACTGGACTACTCATACATACACAGTACACAGGATTGACATTTCCTTCTCATCAACAAGATCTTGCAACTCCAATGTGACAGATTTTCAGTACATTTAAATTCTTGCCACCCAATCATGCACCATTGCTAACAATAAAAAAAACTAACAGTTTGGGATTGACACTGATTTCAGTTTAGGGTTAAAATAGACATGAAATCTCATTTAGCTTACAAATCAAAAGTGAAATTGACTGGCTATTCTACATGTATACCAATTGATGTGCTGACCAATGAAAATCTTGAAAATTTGCCTGTATCTTGGCGGTAAAGGTCGGTTATACTATGCAATTGGGGTTTTACTTCTCAAGTGAGAAGATATCTGTAGAAAAAGATGATTTGGTAGTCTTTCAAAACTTACCTGGCTTGTGAAAACATTGCACTTTATTTTTATTAGAATGTCTTGGTCAAGTTATTTCATTTATGAAATTTGTTTTTGTTCTGTTAACTTGAGGCAAAGGAAATATGTCAATGAAATGAAATGCAATGCATTACAGATCACTAACTTAGATTTTGATCAAGAAATGGAAAGAAAAAGAAAGTTAGCATTTATCACAGTAGAATCAGATGTCAAAATATTTCAATAGATAAAAGTTGTATAAAAATATGTGACTAAATATCACCTCTATTGGTGTACTTCTATTATTTTGACTGGCAAATGAAACTAACCAAAGGAAGTAATTAAAATGAATACATTTACTTGATTTTGGATGAATATACATGCTTAACTGGCTTGATTCATAATCCTAGCTGGACATAAAATGTTGCAACTTGCTGCAAGCTTTTTAACCAAACATGAAATCGTCACATTACTGCATTGTATAGCATCATCTTGATAGCCTAGGTTATCAATTATAATGTCATTTTTTTTAGATAATTAGTGTTATTCTGAAGCATTTTGAACAATCAAAATAAAAAATCATTGTTGAAGATTTGCAAATTAGACTAGGTGTTGAATTTTTTCTTGAATGTTATTTTTTCAATGTTATTTTGGTTCTGTCATGTGAACTTTTTCGACCAAGTTAATAAGAATTTATTTTTTCCAGGAGCTGTAATGGAGACCATGTACGTGCAGGAGCTGCAAGCAGCTGCAGTTGATGAACAAGATCAGAACGAGAGAGAGATTGACAGCGAGGGCAACACCTGGATAAAGTTCACTGCTGCTCAAGGTTCCTCATTGATGCCACTTAGTAGCATCTTGTCCCATGATGAAACTTCCATTACTGACTCTGCCACCTTCACAACCTCAGATGACCTATCAACAGTCGTGTACACTACCACATCTGCTGACAAAAAATCAACCAACACTAAAGAATACCAGTGTGTGAAATGCACTGCCATTTTCAACAACTCTTCCAATTTGAAATCGCATATGAGGACTCACACCGGAGAACGTCCCTATGTGTGTGAGGTGTGCAATGCTGCCTTTGTGCAGAGCTCTAATTTGAAATCACATCGCCGAATTCACACTGGGGAGCGACCGTTTGTGTGCACAGAGTGTGGGCAGGCATTTTCTAGGTCTTCTCATTTAACAGGGCACAAGAGAACTCATACTGGAGAAAAACCATACATGTGTGGCTTGTGTAACACAAGCTTCTCAACTAGCACACACTTGCGCAACCACATGCGTAAGCATACTGGCGAAAAGCCATTCACTTGCCATTTATGCTCCTCCAGCTTTCTTCACAATAGCACTTTGCAAACACATTTGCTCATCCACACCGGTGAGCGGCCATTCAAATGTACATCATGTTCGGGTGCTTTTCGTTCCAAGAGAGATTTAGTAAGTCATGAGCGTCTCCACACACGAGTTAAGCCCTTTCCCTGCAGAACTTGTTCTAAAAGCTTCAAGACTAATCAGTATTTGCAAAAACATGTCAAGAGGTGCGGCTTGCCTGTCCCTGGGAAGAAAAGAGGACGACCTCGGTTGAGCTCGGACATTACGCCTAGATATTCTCTGAGTTCCGCAGCAATAAAATGTGAAGGTAATGAGAGTGAAGATACCGAAGTTCTCATTTCCAGTGTTGATCTTGATGATTATTCTTCAGATGGTGAGATCGAAAACAATATTTCTCATGTAGGTGATTTCTTTGAGGATGAGTTTTAAGTTTTCTTTCTAGTTTTAGTTGTTGGAAATAACTTTTTGTGATACAGATTAAGTAACTAAAGAATATAGGCCTGAACTTGTAAAAATTCACATTAACCAGTGTGTACACTTTGTTGCATGGTCATCTAGTTTGGTTATGTTTAGTGTTAATGTCAATTTATAAAACTTTGTCCTAGATAACTAGGAATGCTAAGTTGGAGCGTAATGAAGTGAAAATGTTTGTTATACCAAAGTTTATATTATTCTTAAGCAAAGTAAATCGTGCTAAATGACTGATGATTGAATTCTCGATTTCGGGGCATAAAAATGTGGTCAGACATGAATGAGTTTAATAATTTAGACTTACTTTTCTAAAATTTTGAAGGTATGGATGGCGGGCGTGAGCTCGGACAAAATTGCTCCGGCATTAAGCAGGTTAATACAGGATATATTCTGTCATTTATCGCATGACGATTGTTTCCGTGTGTATTTTCCGGTCTTGGTTTATTTTTTTAGATTATATTGATACGTCAGCTTGTAAAGTGGTATATAAGCCAACAAATTTTGGACAAATGATTTATTTTGTCGACTAGTTGGGAATAACCATAGAACAGCTACGGTAACTCTTCAAGATCGCCGTTTGACACATTCAGCCGAGTGTGAGAAATTAATGTAATTCATGTACAACTATGTACATCTTATGTTCTTATTACTTAGTTGCGGGATTTTTGTGGTGGCTGCAGTGGTAGTAGTTATGTTATCATATTTTCCGCTCATTGGATCTAGGATGTACAGCTTATAATAAATTATTAACATGTATTTGATTCGTAATAAAGTGTTGGATACATGTCAATTTTCTTTTTCTTCGTGTATTATCGCATATTCTCGAAGCCAAGTAACCTTGAATTTGTGACCTTGGCCGTAAATGGCCACTACTTATGTAAATTTCCGGTTGTCAGTCGAGATACCTCGTTTCATTGAGGTCTCTTCTTGGTGGGAGCGCAGCCGTGCACCACCAATTTTGTACACCAATAAGCCCTGAGTCGAACGCCTTGGATCTCTCCGGACCTACACCAATCAGCCGTGGACCACTCGGCTTTGTCCTCTTCCGGCTTTGACCACCACCAGCCGTGCACCACCAGGCCGCCGATCTAATCTGACTTCCGGGCATCGTTAAATTAGTAATTTTACGTTCACCGCATCTGAGGTTAGGTTTCAGATAGCATAGTTCTGTTCCAAAATTTATCGTCCTTCGACAAGTGGCCGTTCGACCGAGGGCTGGTTCGACCCACGGCCTAGATACGGACGGCTTGAAATGTTGAAGGCTACGTTCCGGAAGGCAGGAATCATGATGGTCCATTACATCCAGGGCAGTGGTGGTCTTCGGCGGGCGACCCCTTCTTGGTTTCTGATCAATGAACCAATTTCTTTTGTCTGGTAAAGATTTCCAAACATTTTTCTATTGAAAGCTGCGGCTTTGCATGGCCACTGTAGCCCCTCAAGGGTGACTCCTGACGCGTGTCTGTGCTCGTCAGAATACATATGGGACTTTGCGCTCCTAGGAGCATTGTTCCTGAGCGCCGCACCGCTGAGCTCGCGGTGTCTGAATGCGGGTCTCAGTTATGGGGTCAAGTTATTATGTTGGCAGGATTCCTTTTATTTCTCTTTTCTGTCTCTCTAGTGCGGGCGGCCGACGTCCTCTTGGAGCAACCTCATGTTCGAGTGTCTTAGTTTCTTTTGCGATTCACCTGTCCCTCGTCACTTCGTCTCTTTGAGATGCTAACGCTGCTTCTTCCGAACCAGCTGCAGCGGGCCGGACAATTGAGACGTCCCTCTCCTTGTGAAGTTGTGGGTGATGATTAATTTGATATTTTAAATAATTGAAACCTTCAGCCTCGCTGGCGATGTTATCTTTTGACCTCTGATGCGAAATAACTCGACTACTACTACTATGCCTGGCCACTGCAGTGGACTGACGGCTGTCTGACGCAATTGGAGTGGAATAACTACGGTAATTGCAATCGAAGCTTCCATGCTCTGATGCGTTATATAACGATGGTCGCAGAAAAAGGCAAAACATTACACTTTTTGTTATTTGCGCCGTTTTTTATTTAAAAAGAGTGCTTTAATTAAATGTGGATTCACAACAATCACTAGTTATTAAACTTTCATACGCATGTTCTCTACATGTGCTTCGGAAGCAGTGTGGATATCTCCTAATAATGTCTATCTTGACGAATCTATGTCTGAATTGAGTTTATTGTAGTTTCTCAATTACCCCAACTTTAAGGTAAATATTTCGTCAGGGTAATTTCAGTGAAGTTGCACTAAATATCAAATGTAAACATTCGCAGCATAACAGCTGAGTGGCGTCGCACGTTTATTGTCAATTTTAATCGTTAAATCAAAATGAGTAATTGGTACGAAAGTTTTAAAAATTCATGGCCGCTAAGACAGCTAGGTCTTGCCGTGGAAGAATCAGCTGAAATAGCGGGCGAAAAGAAGCCTGGATATCAATTTACCGCTGTTTTGGCGCCGTGGGAATCTTACATGGTTACCTTGCAATCACTTCTGATTTGGGAGAAGCCGCTCAGAAGCCTTTTTGCCCTCGCATTCTTCAATATTCTTTTTTGGTAAGATTTTACATATGTTTAAATATTTTTTGGATTTTTACCGATTGCAAATAATTTTCCTGTCTAATGTAAAATTTAATGGAAGGTGATATTTTCTGGAATCTGGATGATATCATGATTGTGATATGATATTTAAAACTAGGCTCCCACATAGTGGCAAAGCAGAGAGTTTTTTAGACTCTCCCTCAAGTTCATTTTTGAGTCCTATAAGTAGACAAGTAAAGCATAGTGGCAAAGCAGAGAGTTTTTTAGACTCTCCCTCAAGTTCATTTTTGAGTCCTATAAGTAGACCAGCAAAGTATCCTGGATACCAGTATTATCATACATAAGAAAGTGATTTAAATCTTGAGTAAATGAGGAAATTAAAAATGAACTGATTCTAAAAAATCTCTGGTTTGTCACTATGGGCTCCCATGGTCAGGAAGATGTGCCAGGTGCGCGGGAATTTATTTTATCATTTTGCGCAGTGCGCCGTACTATGCTGGTAAAAAAATGCGCCGTGCGCCGTACTTTATAAGCTAAAATAGTTCTACTATTTTAGTCGACAATATACGCGAGTATATTGACTACGTGAGTCGAACTGACAATAATAAAATGTAAAACATGTCCGGGTTACTTCTGACTCTTCCGCTTGTCCGCCTTGTCGGATACAGAACGTACGGTAATCGTAAACTGCGGCTGTTATACATATTACATACGAAATGTAAACAGACGGTGTTCAGTGTTGCCATATGACTTTGGAGAAAATTTCTTCTAAAATAAAGTTCTAGATTTCTCATTCACCAAATTTCCATATCAAGAAAAATCATATATTATTGAAAGATAATTAAAGGCATACTGTACTGAGCATAGTGACAAACCAGAGATTTTTTCAGAATCAGTTCATTCTTAATTTCCTCATTTAATCAAGATTTGAACCAATTTGTATGTATGATAATGCTGGTATCCATGATACTTTACTTGTCTACTTATAGGACTCAAAAATGATCTTCAGGGAGAGTCTAAAAAACTCTCTGCTTTGCCACTATGGTACTGAGTAATGTGAGTATTACGTCTGTTCCTCCACAAACTGCTCGTGCGCGGCAGCACGACGTAGAATTGATGGCCGGGATTGCGCAAACACGTGCGCGAAGATAATCAATTTTCATTACATTGCGCCAACTGTGCATAGCAATAGCTTAAAAAAAGTGAAAATGCGCGGGAAAATTCACCGAAAACATACATCATCCTGAGTGTGGAAACTAGCTTAAGCTACTATGCCTACTGCAGTGTGAGTGAGAAATCCTGGATTGGTGATATTTTCTCACATCTTTACAAGAAGATAGATCAAGAAGCATACTATGTTACACCTTTCAGTCCAATTGACCATTGATAGTGAGTTAGTGACAAATGACAATTGTTATACTGAGCTAATCAGAAACTGAGAAACTGCTGCACTTCCAAATTCAGGACTGGAATTTTTCTATTTGTTTCTAAAAATCTTGTGGCTCCATCTCCAACATAACAAAATTTTAATACAATTGGAATCTCGCATCCCAATTGTGCACTTTTGTTAACAATTAGGTAGTAAGGTAGAAGCTAGGAGGTAATTCATCTGACAGAAATCTTGCAGTTCCACAAATGGTGGGAAAGTTATAGTTGCAGCCCTAAAGATAGCTAGATCTTTTCTATGCTGGCTTCCAATTATCCTATCAAATATTGCATTGGATACCAGCATTATCATCTATAAGCCAGGGTGCAAGCCAAGCATGGAAAACTTCTAACCATAGAGCTGCGACTATATCTTTTCCAGCCATTTTTGGAACCACGAGTTTCTGCCAGATGAAAAACCTCTTATATAATTGTTAACAAAAATGCCTGATGGGGCAGCAAGATTCCAAATGTATCAAAAATTTATCTCATTGAAGCAGCAAGATTCCAGAAACAAGTAGAAAAATTCTAATCCTAGTGCAAGCAGCATCACCAATATGTGAAGTTTTACCCCTAAGCATTGCCAGCCATTTTCAAGATGTTGCTGGATAATTTTTAATAAGAAAGAGCTGCTAACAACTGTGATAATATTTCCTTATTCTCCATGCACTGCAACACATATAACTCAACATGTATAACTCAGCAGCTATCTGGCAGCCAGATATGTGGTGCCATCTACTGAGAGAGCGGCAAAGTAGAGTGAGGCTTGACACAATTCTGCCGCCCAGACCGCCAAGAGATGGCTCTGTGCTCATATCAACAAAGCTATCATGAACCCTATTACCTAGTAACGGTTGCTTAGTACTAGAATTATTATAATTCTTGTTATTCACTGCATCTGCTGTTTATGGCCTTTCAGATTTTCAACTATTTTCTAAATAGTTGCCCCAACTATTTTCTAAATAGTGTATAAAATAGTATTCTCTAAATAAATAGTATTTTCTAAATAGTTGGCCCAAGACTGGTGAATGTCTGAAATGCAATAATTTTAATCCCAGTGTGTTGGCAAGATGTTACGTACTGTATACTAGTTGCCTGCGCAACTAGTATAGATTGCACAATATTGGCATCACATGGGCAAATTTTTGCTTATTGCACACAAGTCATGCAGCACCATTCATTATAAATTGCAGTTTATTTACTGCTGTGGTTGGAAGCCCATAGAGTGTAGCATTACCACAGTCAAATTGGTCACTACAAGCACCACTACTAGGACTGGCCCTGAGAGACAGTGGCTGATGCTACGTCCTTGCCGGGTATGAGTCTCATGTGCGGGTGAGGTAGTAAGCATGTTTCCCCAAAATCAATTATGGAATGTTTCATGGTAAGAAGTTATTAACAAAAAATGCTCAAAACCATCCCTTATCACCCACCCCATTTGACGGTATTTTTTTACTAGTCTTGATCAAACTCTCATATTGTAAAATAGCCTGAAAAATAAATTTTTTACATTTGACAGGCCATTAACATATTTATATGTTTTTTTAAACCTGCTTTTTAATCTACAAAATTCAGTCACGAGACACAAAAGCCATCCAAGTCATTGTACATGTGGGTTTGTGAATTGGAATATGGCACCACAAATGTACTATAGTATATAAATGCTGCATGGGTGCATATGAACCATTGCTATTATTTAGGAATTTTATTGAAACCTTAAATTGCATTCCTTGAGAGAGAGTGGGAAAGGATTGGAAGAAGGTTTGGATAAAAAATCTAAGTATAATTTTCCATTTAGTAGGTACGGTATATATAACAAATATTAATATACTGTAGAATATCATGAATATTTTATTCCATATTTTCAAAAAAGGGTAAAATAGGAGTTCTATCATTTGTGTAAAATCTGGATTTAAAATAGTCTTTATTTAATTAGAATACGGTACATGCCCGGTAAGCTTTCTTATTATTTATGGGATTAGGTATTGTGATAATGACAGGATTTCATATTACAGGTTTCTGACACTTCAGGAAGTATCAAGCTGAAGCAATGTCAGGCTGACCTTTTAGTATTTTGTATGGAGGCATCTAGGTTAAAAGTTTATGAATGATGTTACTTATTTCTCATCTATTGGGTTGAGCCTGAGGTAGGTAGGTATAAGTGTTGACTCTGTGTCTTTATCTATATGTGTTTCTATGTCTCTCTGCTGTCATTTTTGGTCCAAGTTGAGGATCTGGCTGGCTTGATTTTGAAGAAATTAAATTTTTGAAAATGCTTAGTATTCCACAATCAAGATTAGAGAATTCAAACTTGTAAACTAAGCTAAGATTGCACCAGGATAATTTCTATTCAAAGCTGTGTGTATTCTTTCAAAATGATTTGATTACAATGAATATTGATTTTCATTTACCTATATAACCATTTCTATGCCTGAGAGTTAGTATCATTACAAGGCAATATGATTGGACATGCCATTCATTCTAATGTTCATTGCCTTTTCTTTAGATTTATTTTATATTTTTCTTTAGATTTATTTTATAGATTTATTTGTTGTGTATGTGTTGCTTCAGAGCTCCATTGTCTGTTAGGATTTTGCATCTGAGTCAATATTGAAGTATTCACTGTAGAAGTGTTATAGGTTATAATTCTGGATAACTTTATTGTTCCAGGTTTTGCATATGGAGTGAGCCAAAGCCATACTTTGTGCTCAGCTCTGTGGGTCTCGCAGTGTTCCTGCACCAGCAGTGGGTGCACACCATCTGGCCTGAGATACGTGTGCCTCTCAAACCTGGAGAACGACCTGCTCATTACACGGATGAATGGCTCTATTTAAACCCTAGGTCTTAACTACTGACCATTTGATCACTCTAAGTAAAATATGGGTACATTTCGCTACTTGAATGTCATAATGGAATTACATTTTGCTAATTGCATCTCATATGGAATGGCTTTTACAGAGATTACTGGCTTTTTTTTAATTAATGACTTTTGCAGTAATAAAATTTATTACTCAAATAGATCATGATCATTAGACTAATCTGTCGTTATTGTGCAGTGTTTTGTCGGCACCAGAGGTTGGTCTCCTCCTCGACCAGTGGTGCAGCTCAGCTCGCAGTGCCTTCCATACCTGTATTCAAACTCGACGTCACAAGCCCACTCTGGTCTGTTCATTTACCAACTAAAGTAACATTGAAAAATAATAAAATAGTATTGGTTCATATTTTTTGCAGTTATTTATATCATTTATTTAAAAATTTCTTTTAAATTTGCATGGTAAATCTGCTGAGATCATTAAGAATACAGTTAATATTTTAAATAGAATTTTCTCATATCTTACATTAAGGTGAAGAATTCTGCTATAAGGTAATTGGATAGATATCATGACTCACTATTCAGTCTTATGTGTAAGCTGAACTCTGTTCCTATCAAGACCATGTATTATGGTTAAACTGGTAAATGCTAAACAATGTGGTAAAAGTTTTTGGGAACTTGGAAACTTCTGGTTATGTGCAAAGGTTTTAATACAAAGTTTGAGAATAGATGTTCAACTAAAATTTGAAACCTCTTTGCTTTGAGGAGGAATGAAAATAGTGCCAAGGAAGTTTTTTTCACATGCTCATGCTATATATTTTACCAACAATAAGGCCCAAAATGAAACGGTAATAACTGAGTTTTGTAGTCTCATGCACAATGAGACCCAAAACAGATAATAACGCCATACTGCTGATGATACTATGCCCAACACGTTGCCTATGTAACAAGTGCTGATGATGCCAGGCCCTACGAGAGGCAGAGAAGAGAATGGGAACAACGGCTTAAAGTTTGTCTCGACATCCTTTAGGACAACATTCTTTAGGAAATTGTATATAGGCCTTGTGATAGCAGAGACATTGGTTTGAAAATAGATGTGTATTGCATGGTCTGTAATGCCAAATGAGGATGCATTGTATGGTGGAGCCTATTCTAAATTTAAGGTACATAATAGAAAGTAATGCTAATTCGGCTTTAAAAAAATCACACTAACCTCCCGCCCATCCCAATTTTAATTTAACTGTCTATATACTGACAAAAAACTTTGCAATGATTTTATTTACCTATTGTTCGCAGTTCTGTGTTTGCTCATGCGGTGTGTTCACTGCACTACTGTTCACGGGACAGCTCCTCTCAGGCACTGCGCTGCTCTACTCCTGCCTTACTGCGCTCATTCTTCTCCCAGGGACCAAGATTTACGTTTTTCCAGTTATTAAATGCCGTTCCAGGAATTTATTGGAATGGTTCCGTCACAAATATTGGGACAAGCTTGCAATTGGAACTAGCAGCCATGGTAGTATGATTTGTAAAAATAATACATTATAAATAATAAAATTATAATATTATTGAAGTTTTATCCATTGCTTAATGTTTTAGTATAGAGTTGTAAATGTTGCATGGATATTTTTATTACGTAATCAGTGCAAGATAATTGATCAATCAGCAAGTTTATGTCCTGTGAAGAATTTTAGCATAATTTACAAGGAAATAATGACTACCTTAAAACTTTATGATGAACTAAAACTACGGAAACCGCGTGAATAATTTTAGTTAAGGATAATTAAATATTATCTGTGTGCAAGGCGTGCATAATTTCAGCCAAAATAATTAAATAGTATCTGTGTGCGAGACCAAAAAGTTGCTGTGTGGCAGGGAGTCGCGAGAGCAGCCCAGACGAGCTGTCAGAGTTTCTGCCGGAGCTTGGCAGCGCAGAGGCCGAGGCGGCGCTCGCGGTGCCGCTCACTAAAGATGATCCTCCTGAGGCAGCGGCTGTGAGCACACACAGACATGTTGCTGTTACTCGTGCTCATTATGACGATGGTGAGGGCATTAGTCATAATCTGTGACATTTAGGATTGCAGTCTAAGATTTTTCATGATAAAATCGATTTGTACGTTTTTTACTGCGCTTTTCATCTGTTTTTTTACTGCTGGTATCGTGTTGATGAAGACTTCGTAATTCATAATAAAATTATATCATTATAATTGTAGAGATTGGTTACATCATCTGAAAATTTTGTTGATACTTTGACTTGTGCTCTTCCAGATTCCAACGATCCTCATTTGCGCGCACCATCTGAAGCTCCTATGCTGAGCCAAGACTCTCCGTACGGCTCTCTGGCCCCACACATCCCCACCCATTCTCAAATCCCCGGCGTGTCAGACTCGAGCGACGAGGACGAGCAGGAGTTCATGGAAGGACTCGTATTTGATGGAAGACAAGCCGCTCCTCCACTACACGCCTCGTATCCTCCTCCGTCTCATCGTAGGGCACCAGACTACACCGACTCTTCCCTTCATAATCCAGCGCCGTACGTCACTGATGTGAACAGCGCGTCTGAGTCCGCGATACAAGGTTTCAAGAGTTCATTAATGCAGTTTTCCCAGGTGGGGAGCGAGAGCGCGGGTGCTTTGTTCTCGTCTCTGGGACAATCTATGCTCATGTCGGTCGTGAACAATATGAATCAGGTCGCACAGGCAGCACAAACATCCGATAACCAGCGAGGCTATGAAGAACTCAGTGACGAATACTCTGGACCCGACGCCCCTGAAAGAGCTTCTGAACGTCGGGTAAGGCGCCGGCCGAATCGTCATGCTCATGCCGCTCATCAAGCCAAAGAGGCCGCCCTCTCTGAACAAGGGACCCCTACTGGAGACTTCGTCTATATTTCTGACGAAGAATTCTCTGAGTGAAACATCATCTAATAACATACAAATCATTTACTTATAGTGAACCGAGTTTAATGCGAAGATAGAAATTTTTGAATAATGTCTTTATTTTTGATCCCTGATTTCTGTCTCACTTCCCAGTACGAATAGGAAAATAGTTATTGGGCAAAACCTTCCCTGAAAAGCATCAATTGTAACAATGATAGATAATCACACAGCGAAGGTCGAATGTTTTCACCGTTAATCAACGCATATCAAGCAATCAAACGTTTTTATGTTGTGTGAGCTGTGACGTTTGCAACAAATGTTGGTTTTCTCTCACTGTATGACTTGTGAACAATAACATTTAATAAGCGAAGCTCTCATCCCACTGCGATGGATCTGACATTGACTGTGATTTAAATGCATCTTAATTTTTTACTAGAGTCAGATTTACTGGAGCGCTGGCCTGACAGGTCCATGTTGTAACGTCACATAACGCGGTATTCACATGAACATCTTGTCGTTCAGAAGTAGCGAATGTCATTTTTTTCTGCAATTGCTTGTCTTGATGTTCTATCGTTGTTCTTATATTTTAAATATTTTAGTTTCTAATATTTTGGTTATAACGCCTAAAAGTGTACATAGATTAATCTTATCACTCGAATACGAACTAAATATTAATATCTCGACTGAGTTGAGAAAGCATTCATCATTGGTTGAGTACTATAGCTAAGTTTGATCCAATACTTTCAGTCTCTTTTGCCATCACCTCAATGATTTGTTGGAGTGTAAATTTCAAAGGATTTACTCCAACTGAGATAATCTTAGAAATGATAATTGTCAACTGATGATTCTCGTAATTGGCGTGTTCAACAATTTTCCTTTCTATCTAAGTGATTTTGCCTTTCGTCACGTTCTCTTTGAACACTTTTGATAATTTTTCAAGCGCTAATTCTGCGCCTACTGGTTTCCATTTTCATTTGTTCTGTTCTTATTGATAGTCTACAGACAACGCCGTTGAATTCATATGAAGAGAAGGCGTTACGAGGTTCTAGTGAGGTTTCCCCCGGATACTTGCATAAGAATCTGAGATGCTCATCCTTGAACTACTTTTGTTCAGCATTGAAATTACATTTTATTGATTGATTTATTTATGGGCATTTGTAATTTTATTCTGATTGAAATAGGGCACTCAACTTATTTAAACAACCCTGTAGTATAGTTATTTCTCGTGGTATTATTATTTTTTAAGGATTTGTATCACGTTTCTACACGCAATTTCTTTCAAACATCGTCTTCTCTGCTAGATTGATTTTTTTTTTTGTTTTCTAAAATTCACGAAACTTGTTTGCTTTTACGCAACCATTGCCTCGACGAAGGTCAATTCAATTTCGACCGTGTTTGAAGACTGATTTATTTCTATCGTGTCAGTTGTTACTGATAACGAAATAGAGAAGGCGGTTCAACTATTATAATTGAATAACATTAGCTGATGATTTTGAATAAATTGTCTTTCACTTTCTGCTAATTAAATTTCAGTTTGTTGAGACATTTATTGAAATCAATAACCATACAAAATCTTGCTTTAATGTTAGCACGAATCGAGGCTAAAGAGACTCCAGTTTAATCGACTTAATCTTAATGCCTCTGCACGTGGACCAACTGTGGTCATTCAATGGAAAGAAGGGAGTTAATACTTCTTGTATGACGGGGCGTCGAAATCCTGGTGGTTGGTGGGGAATAATTCAACTGCGAGAAGGCGCTGTAAACTTGCATTTTCTTTGTAATATTACGGGCATTTTAATGTGTTGACCGATAAGTGACGATAATTACGTTGTACAGAGGAATTCGCTACGAGCGATCGTAGTGTTTTTCGCTTATTTTGTGTAGAGAAGAGAGATCACTATCCCACTAACTTAATCCATGTTTGCATCTCACTAACTTAATCCATTGTGAAGCAGCTATATGTATGGACCATTATTCTAGCTAACGAGCTCATATTTTTATGTCGATATTTCAAAACGGCCACTTGAAGCAATCGTTTAACTGCCATGAATCTCGTGGCTGTTAACTGTTGTTTCATCTTAGGCATATGCGCAATAAATGGTTTTCTTAAATATTTACCCGCATCTGTTCTCATGTATTTGTATGCGTCACATAGATAGCCTATTATATTGACTAGTCAACGAGTGTGTGTTTCTTCCAGCCTTTGATAGTAGACGAGTCCTTTGGTTCTCGGGAAAGATTACTTTCAAGTTATCCTGTGTCTGAGATTCTCTTCTATAAAATTTGCTCACAAATAAACTGGAGAAGCGATCATAATATACAAATTTATTTGAGGTTTTTGATGCGTATTCAACACATTTATTCTTTCGAGTGATATCTAAATCTCATATTTTAAATTTTGCTAATAGCTCGATACGGTACGTGTCAGTAAGAAAATTGATTTTCAGATTTTCTTGCTTACGAGTATTTAACACATTTATTCTTACAATGATATCTAAATCTCAATTTTGAAATTTTGTTGAATTGAAATTTTACTGATAGCTTGGTACGGTACAGGTAAAGGTATCCCAACTCTTTGCTACTTGTTACTATACGGCCCAGCCTCAAACAAACCTTCAGCATTCGTGAACCTGTAACGGGCGAAAAAAAAGCAAAAATTCGCATTCCTGAGGCAATTACAAGTAAATGTGATAGCATATAGGAAATAGGTCGGGTCCTGAGTATTCAAAATTTTTAATATTTGAGTCAACCGTAATGGAGGATTTCATAAAACACAGTCCTGACGATCAAATTGTTATGCAATGTGTGAAGTTTCACACCTAATTCTAGAAGAGAACTATCAAACGGTAATAAATTCACATATCATTGTGTTACTGAATTTATTGAAGAAATTGAGGGAATTTAGCGAAGAAATTGCGAGTGGAGCGTTAATTTTTGTGCCGAGTCACAGTCTTCTTTTGAATGCTTTAAGCAAGTTTTGCTAATGACAAGGAGTGATGATATACGTTACGATGGACAGATGATTGATGAAGGCACGATAACGTAGTTGCTAACACAAAGCAAGAGAGGTGGTGACTCGTTTAGGTAACAAATTTTAAGTATATTGTAACTTGCCCGCAAACAATATTGAGGACATTTACTATATGACTTTGTGTCGTAGAAACCTCCCTTGTACAATGAATTCCATTGTTGCAATTTGCGTACGCCTTACACATTAAAATGGCGCACATGTTCTCTATTCCCTTAATTCTGCTGCACATTTTCATAGCATTTTCAACTGATTCAAAACTCAGGGATCCTAAGTTACTAGCTTGCTTATCGCCAGAGAGAACCTTCCAAGCGATGCCGGTTTAACCTGTTAGAAGATTAAAGATTGGTAAATCCGAAAACATTAATTAACCGATATCGTTGAGTCTTGCGATTTAAAGAGCGTTGGAGAATTTATCTATGGATTTTAATCTCTCTTCCTATTGATAGGTAATATATAGGTAATATTTATATTAGAAGGGGTATTGCACTAATTTTTTAACCTTCCTGATTTTTTAATTTTTTGAACATCTTCAATGCCTGCAATTTAGTTTTAATATGCACTATTTTTTGACCCATTTACGCATGTCTGTATTCTGAGACTAAATTTAAACTTGAACTGAATGCAAGATAGTACGGCATTCAAATTTTCAGCTCAATAAGTATATACACTTTACGTAAATAGATGATGGCCTCAGAAATGATGGCGTAATCAATTATTTAGAAATTTTTTACCTCAAGTGCTGAAATTCTTTCTTTCTTATTTATTCTTATAGGAGCACTGGAAACTAGTCCATGAAGCCCCTTGCCTAAACTGGGTTTAATTTGTACCTAACTGCTTTAACAGCTCTGAAAACAAAAACCTGAAACAGAGAGAAAACACACACACGGAAAAAAGAAAAAACAAATAATAATAAAATAATAATAATATTTATAAATAACTGAATGTGCTGAAATTCATTGCTGATGGAAAGGGAGATGTTACAGCGTATGAATGACCACAGTGAGCGTTATTCTGAGGTATATGGGGCTATGTGAATCTTTTCTTTAGTTTATAGCTGTGGCCCCTGGTGTTAGTTCTTGTTTCAAATTCTAGTAATCCTTCTGGGACCTTGTATAAGCCATGAGTATACTTTCATGTATACTTCAATGAGGTCCCCACGCAGACGTCGATAACGGAGGCTTGGAAGCTTCATAATCTTTAATCTTTCCTCATAGGACTTCATTACAATGACGCACATGTTCTCTATTCCCTTAATTCTGCTGCACATTTTCATAGCATTTTCAACTGATTCATAACTCAGGGATCCTATGTTACTAGCTTGATTATCGCCAGACATAACCTTCCAAGCGATGCCGGTTAAACCTGTTAGAAGATTAAAGATTGGTAAATCCGAAAACATTAATTAACCGATGTCGTTGAGTCTTGCGATTTAAAGAGAATTCATCCATAGAATTCATCTATGGAGTTTAATCTCTCTTCCTATTGATAGGTAATATATAGGTAATATTTATATTAGAAGGGGTATTGCACTAATTTTTTAACCTTCCTGATTTTTTACTCTTTTGAACATTTTCAATGCCTGCAATTTAGTTTTAATATGCACTATTTTTTGACCCATTTACGCATGTCTTTATCCGGAGACTAAATTTAAACTTGAACTGAATGTAAGATAGTACGGAATTCAAATTTTCAGCTCAATAAATACTCTTTATAGATGATGGCCTCAGAAATGATGGCGTAATAAATTACTTAGAAATTTTTTACCTCAAGTGCAGAAATTCATTGCTGATGGAAAGGGAGATGTTACAGCGTATGAATGACCACAGTGAGCGTTATTCTGAGGTATATGGGGCTATGTGAATCTTTTCTCCGGAGAACTAAGAATACATCTGAATTGGCGTGGCGTTAATTAAAAAAATTATTGAAACCGAAGGAGTCAACGGTACCACGACTCGATTGGGCCATGCAAGTCTTTTCATCAACGGAGGGCGCCGAATACATCTGAAGTGGCGTGGCGTTAATTAAAAAATTTATTGAAACTGAAGGAGTCAACGGTACCACATCTCGATGTACGAGTAATCAGAGGTCGACCCAAGCGACTCTCATTAACACGCAGCTCATCCACTGCCACTGGTAGTACCATTAGTACTACCAGTGGCAGTGTGTGTACTACCAGTGTTAGTACTACCAGTGTGTGTGTTAGTACTACCAGTGAGCCTGAATACTTGGGAACGTATTCAGGCTCAGTGCTCTTTTTGCACATTATTCGTTTTTTTCTTTGCTCTTGGATTCGGAATTCGGCTATATTGGTAATCGACGTTTCTCATTCGGAGCTACGTTTCTCGTGTCAGGTCCACTTGACATTTTATGAAATGTAAAAAAATAGAATATAATGTACACAGAAAAAATTCAATAAATTACTTAGTCGAAAATAAAACCAAACTATGCTATAAAAAGTCACAGCATGAATACCATCTCAATTGACCACTTGCGTTGTTGCGTGAGCACAACTTTGCTGTACGAAGGCAAGAACTTATAGGGGAGAGCAGCCGCAGTCCACAAATTTAACTCGTAATATATAAGTCCCGGAGCCAACGCCCTGCCTCAGCATGCAATAACTTTACTTTGTCATAGAGCTAAAAGCCGCAGACTACGCTGAAACACCGTAATCTAGACCAGTAACACACTGCCTATAGGTCTTTTTATAGCTTGCTCGCTCATATGCAAGCATTTCAGCATTCGGCCTCACCTATACTCCTAGAATAGAATAGAATAGAAGTGTCGGCGCTGAAGAAATAGGCCCATGGCCTGTTGCCGATTCTTGAACTTTTCGTGACTTGATTCACAAGGGTACCACTTGCATTGTTGCTTGAGCACAACGTTGCTGTACGAAGGCAAGAACTTATAGGGGAGAGCAGCCGCAGTCCACAAATTTAACTCGTAATATGCATAGCTGGGCAGCGCTACTTTGAAATGTAGCGGTCGCTACCGCTACCGCTACATGCTCCAAATGTAGCGGGCGCTACCGCTACTGAAAATGTAGCGGCCGCTAGTAGCGGCCGCTACATGTAGCGCGCTACTGCACACCTCTGGTAATATGTAAGCCCCGGAGCAAACGCCCTGCCTCAGCATGCAATAACTTTACTTTGTCATAGAGCTAGAAGCCGCATACTACGCTGAAACACCGTAATCTAGACCAGTAACACACTGCCTGAAGATAGTTTTTTTTATAGCTTGCTCGCTCAAATGCAAGCATTTCAGCATTCGGCCTCACCTATACTCCTGCCTAGCATCTTTTGGCCAAACCTATTCACGCTGCCTTGACTCAAAGCTTTCATGAAGCCAATGTCTGGCTCTCTCAGCTCACTTTCCCCTCTTTAACTTTCAAAACTTCAAAACTTGGTCTTTTGACCAGATCTATCAACGACCGATTTGGCGTTTTCTATGTTTTTAAATTTTCGGTGAAACTGCTTTGGTAGTTGAAACACAACTGGAATTTTACGGCGAGCCGATAGATGGGTAAGGCCATGGTTGAATTAATGAATTAATTCAACCATGGGTAAGGCAGCGTACTATGAGTACGTGTGTCGATGCCTAACGAGACAACAGACAAGTCGGTTCACGCATGCGAAAGGCCGGGTTACCGAAAGATCGGGTTCCAAAGGCCGGATCCCTTGTGAATCAAGTCACGAAAAGTTCAAGAATCGGCAACAGGCCATGAGCCTATTTCTTCAGTGCCGACACTTCTATTCTATTCTATTCTATGCGTTCATAGTCGAGGTGGGTGTCAACAAGTTTATCAGGTAGTCTACTCAACATGTAGGTAACATAGGTGAACTATAGGAAATATCACCTCGTTTAAAATTGAACTACAGTTTGTTTTCAGTCTATAACTGTTTTCCTTGGTGTTTATTTTTGTAGTTATTCTGTTATCTACTTATCTTATATATACCATGACTGTATTTGCTTCATTCAATTAGGTCAACGAGGTCGCCATTTGCGTTAAAAGATCATTTTATGATTGATGGATTATTTATTAACTTATAGCTCAATTATTTGATTTAATAAATGCTTTTATCTGCCGTTGGTACGAGAGAGGTCGTTGACTTGCGTTGTGAACGACTGAGGCCTGACGAAAAGTTTTGTCGAGAAAAACTGCGAAGTTTTTACGTTGTGTATATTGTAGTAGCTTGCAATTCCGTGGACAAAATGAAAGCGTAATTTATTCTAAGTTAAAGCATTAAAATCACAACGCAGATTTTACTAATTTACTATTTTCTACCCATCACTAAAATGGCGGGAGACGATATTATAGTTCTTTGTTTTCCGGCCAGCTACAAAAACATTGATCTGACCATTATTTATGTACGATGATTTTTCGAAAGAGTAGTTGATATAAAAGTAGAACTGTAGGATCTAATTTAAACCGTTTAACATGAACGGTTAACTATTGTTCAGTCTGACATTCGTTCAACCATCAGTTTGTTTATCAATATTAATCCTTAGTTTTTTAACAATTTCCATAAACAATATAAACGTCCTTAATGCGCTAACTTACAATTAATTGACAACAGATACGTTCCAACTCCATTGAACAAAGAACATTCATTTATTTTCCGTTCCGATTTTGAAAAAAAAAATAATTTTTGGGATTAAAATTCAATTTAATATAATTGAAAATTGTGTTATAATTGAATTTTTTCGATAAAAGCTAAATCAAGGTCTCTTTATTCCGCAGTAATGTTCAAAATTCTTAATCATTTTGATATCCCGCTTGTTTATAACTCAATACGTCAAAATATTCTGGCTTCAGAACCCTCAAGCGCTGGCGGTGGCTAGTTTCGAACACACGCACGAACCGCTGTAGATGCTGCAGTAGAATGTAAAAATCGTGATGAAGAACGAGTTTTTCAGACCAGCAATTTCATCTACCGGTCGTAGTGCCCGAAGGCAGTAGTTTACTGAGGAATGATAAGTGCTAGGTTGCAGAATTTACAGTGTGCTAGGTTGCAGAATTTTATTATGAAGTAACTTATTTTGAAGCAAAGCTTTCCTATTAACGAACTCGGGAGAGCTTAACACTGAAAACACAATTTCACTCGTGAATATAATTTGAAATTTAATACACCGTATACTAAAGTAATCTAGTACGTAGATCATTAATATGTCAAGAACAAAATTTTAACTGTCTCTGCCAATTTTATCGTCAGTAATATTGATTATTTCTATATAGTTAAATTAATATCTTTACCAGAAAAGGGTTCATTAAAAGATAAAACACACTATCATGTTTATAAGAAAATATTTATCAACACATAATTAAATTTACATAATTGCACGACGTCACTTCGTTCTGTGTCTTCGAACTATTTTAAAATGACATCTAATACTGTTTCTCTTAATGTTGTTTGCGTTTGAAAAGTTTCTTACCCAGATAAAAATTGCTGGCCATATATAGTTTCGAGTTTGCCAATTTTACTTAAGTATTGATATAATTGTACAGCGGCAGTTCAAATGTTTTTATCGCGATTCAGTAGATGGGAAAAAAGTCGTCATATGTTTAAAGCTTATTTGAGTGGAGTTTTACACAGCTATGTTCAAATCGGTCATTGAATTTATTTTTTTTTCTGGTATTATAAGTAGTTAGGGTCTCGTTGGATGATATCAATAGGTTTCTGATTATTTTTTGATAAATTTAGGTATTTCGTTCGGTGGACAATTGGATTGGAGTGATTGTTTTAGCTACTGTGGTGAGTAAATACTGTATATTAGCCGGAATAATACAAAATATATTTGGAATTGAATTAGTTAAAAGGCAACGACTGCGGACGTGAAATATGAATGTTGAGATAGCTGGCATGACATGAAAATAAAAAGAACGGAAAATACGATATGTGAATGTACAGATTTCTGCTGCGACAAAAACATGTGAAAATTGCTGATGAAATATGAAAATGTACCAACCGATCTGATGCGTTTTGAAAATGTTAAGAATTCATTTGCAACATATCTACATTCCCTATACATTGGTTAAAAGCGTGATTGGTCAGATTGATAACAAAGAAACGTACTAAATAATTTAATGTTCGATAAAAATGAATAAAGTTAAGTTGTAGCTAATAGCCGCCGCTATGTACCCTTCTTAGGCTATTGTTCTCGATTTTTCATTTCATAATTGCATGTAGGAAAGAAAATTTGAATAATACGTAACAATCTAAATTCACTTGCAATGTAATAAGAACGTTATTTAACATTTATAGCTATTATGTGCAATAACTTGGGTAGTCATAAAAAAGTTGAGTAGAATTATATGTCGCATTCAATTACTCGTAGAAGCTCCGATGTTAAGTATTAGTGCGTCTGTTTCGAGAGTCCGGTAAAAAATGTCCTTCAGACGTGTCCATGCAGTAAGTTGCCCCTTATCGTGATTTTTCCGCCCAGTGGAGATTTACGGCGAAAAAGTATGAAGGCACTCTCGTAATGTGCGATTGTATCTAGCAGTACAGCCAATCTGGATGCTGTGGGGGCCGGCATGGTTTAGGGCACTTCTTGTCCAGAGGCTCGCAGCAGTACTCTGGTCGATACCTGTCGAGACACGAGCGCAATAAATAATTAAATAGACGCGAAAATAATAAACATGGTATATTTAAAATTCGGAAATTAAACTTTAAGTTTTAAAATACTTTGAGGAAAATAAGCCGGGGTCTCGGATTTGGGTTTGATTTCACGTTATTATTTTTTAACCGAGCAGAACATTTTCAACCGCGATCCTTTAAATTAAAAGTGCCATTAATTTCTTGCTAAAAGAGCTCAAGCATTATGCTATTTTGTAAGATATTCAATTAAATTTTAGCTTTCAATATAACATAACATATCATAGTGATCTCGGCGCTGAAGAGTGGGCCTGATGTGGCCTGTCGCCGATTCTTTTCCTTTTCGTGCCCTGTTCACATAAGATCTAAAATCGTGTCATTTGACCGGGTCTTTTCATGACTGACGATAGTTTGAAATAGCTACTCGACTTCCACCGGGTTCGATATGGTGCTAGACATTTAAAATCTGACTTAACACTAATAAATTCATTTCAATAACAATAACCTCGCCTCGCTTATTTACTCACCAAGGGTTGCCGACAAAAAAGCCGCCTTCTCTCTGAGTCGGGAAGGGCAGACTGGGTCCCAGACGCCTACTCGTGCAGTGGAAGCTGCTGTGCTGCAGAGCGTGCTCGTCTAGGAAGCTTCTCGTCATCACTCTCTGCGATGCAAGACGCAGTTTATCTGACATTTTCTTATCTAATAAGAAATATCGTTAAATAGTTGATGCTTATTGATAAAATATGTATGCGAAAAGCTTCTCGGCATCACTCTCTGCGATGCAAGACGCAGTGTATATGATATTTATTTATCTAATAAGAAATATCATTAAATAGTTGATGCTTATTGATAAAATATGTATGCGAAAAGCTTCTCGGCATCACTCTCTGCAATGCAAGACGCAGTGTATTTGGTATTTATTTATCTAATAAGAAATATCATTAAATAGTTGATGCTTATTGATAAAATATGTATGCGATTAGCTTCTCGGCATCACTCTCTGTGATGCAAGACGCAGTGTATTTGGTATTTTCTTATCTAATAAGAAATATCATTAAATAGTTGATGCTAATTGATAAAATAGGTATGCGAATATGCAAACGAAAATTGAAAAAATATAACTCAGTACTCACTGCAGTGAGTGACAGAGAGCGCATTTTCTCGTCGATGAAAACTTGAGGTCACGGACGGACGGACAGACTGACAGACAGACAGACGGACATGGCGAGCACAATAGTGCATTTTTTCCATAAATGAGAAAATGCGCTAACAAATTAAGCGAAATACTTCTTATCACTGTCGAGATAACAAGATGGGTTTCAAAATATTCTGCATGCAAATTTGGTCATGCACTTGCAAATAAGCATTTTAAACCATTGTTTCCTACTTAAAGAATATATATCTCCTACAATTTTAATCATTTAAACTTCAAGGTTTCAAGCGTTGATTGTTAATTTACCGCTAAATTATCCTGATCATTCGCTGGATGCAAGACGAAAAGCTTGTCCAGGATGTCCTCGAAGACATGAAGCATGTCGGGGGGCTGGTACACCCCGAACATACCCCCCATGACAGGGGCGTCGTGAGCTGGGTGATCCCTCATGAGATGCACCGCTTTACCTGACGCCATCCACTCGTTCACGGCCGCCACCTCCCGCTCGCTCATCTACAATAAAACAATTCCGTCAGTCCCATGTTTCATCTAATAAATTTCAGTCTACTCATCGGCAACATGAAAATAGTAATCAGTTTTGAAGTTCTTTTCAGTAAAACAGGCCAACCTGCAACAAAAGATCGAAATGTTCAACTTAATTACGGACCAGGCAATAAGTCCAGCAGCTATCTCAATCAATCGTCAGCTATGGAAAGATCGGGTTCCAAAGGCCGGATCCCTTGTGAATCAAGTAAATTTTGCTGTTGTATCCTATTTACGTATATTATTTATTTACAACAAAATTTCAATTTTAATATTTCTTGTAACTTAAAAATGAATGTGTGCTGCATTCGAAACGTCGTTAATAAACTAAAACTACTAAAAAAAACTCCACCAGCTATTAACTTACAAACTACAGGATTCGTCCGGACGCTGAAAATATTTTCAGAGTAATTTTAAGCTTAGATTGCAAACCGTATCCACAATACCTTTGATTTGAACTACTGTCATTTCCAAAAGTTCAATCTCAAATGTTGCAAAATCCTTCACCTGCTTGATAATGAAAATTCTATATTCGAAGCGTCGCATTCCATTAAAATGCTATTTTGGTAACCTGCTTTTTGATCTCCCAGCGCCTGCAAGGAATTTTGTTCGTTTCATTGAAAAAAAAAACATATAAGAAAATTATTCATAAAAGCATGCTCTGGTCGTCAGTTATAGATAGGCCTTAGTTTGTTGTCTTCTTTGTGAGTTTTAATGTTTCCATGTATGCAGAAATACATAGCCCATGCAGAAAATAGCTTCCAAGAATCGTGATAAGTTTTTTAAGATCCTATCGCAGAGTTCGCTGTGTTTATTAATTTATTTGCTCACCTCTGAAGTTGTTTTATTGGATTTCTTGCGACATGACAGAATTTGGACTCGTCCGATAACAAGGAATTCGCCCGACTCGTTAAGGCGAGCTGAAGCTACCAAAAAACGAGTCATCAGCAGTCTTAACTCCTGTTCTACGTCAAGCAACCAAGCAACTCGGAGATAACGATCAAATTGTTCCACGGCAAGCAGACGAAAGCAATATTTTTGTAATTATTTAAGACGAGCTGAAGCTACCAAAAAACGAAGTTCATCGACATCAGCAGTTTTAACTCCGGTTCTACGTCAAGCAGCTCAACTCAGAGACAACGACCAAATTGTTATACGGCCAGCAGACAAAGCAATATTTTTGTAATTATGGATAAAACTTATTATCTCTAAAAAATTAATGCATTTATATCGGACGAGTCCAAATTCAGTCATGTTGCAAGAAATTCAACAGAACAACTTCAGAGGGAAGGAAATAAATTAATCAACACAGCAAACTCTGCAATAGGATCTAAAAAACTCACCCCAATTTTTGGAATCTATTCTCCAGGCTGGGAGCGCAGCCGTGCACCACCAATTTTGTGCACCAATAAGCCCTGAATCGAACGCCTTGGATCTCTCCGGACATCCACCAATCAGCCGTGAACCACTCGGCTTTGCCTTCCTCCGGCCTCGCATAGAACCTGCCGTGCACCACCAGGCCGCGGATCGAATCTGACTTCCGGGCATCGTTAAATTACGTAATTTTACGTTCACCGCACCTGAGGTTAGGTTTCAGATAGCATAGTTCTGTTCAAAAATTTATCGTCCTTCGACAAGTGGCCGTTCGACCGAGGGCTGGTTCGACCCACGGCCTAGATACGGACGGCTTGAAGTGTTGAAGGCTACGTTCCGGAAGGCAGGTATCATGATAGTCCATTACATCCAGGGCAGTGGTGGTCTTCGGCAGGCGACCCCTCCAGGCTACCTCTATGAAAACGTTAAAACTCACAAAGAAGACCTATAAGACACCTAAAGACCTATAATATAGTATAGGCCTATAAGGCATATAATTTCGCACGTTACTTCTCTAGTATACAAAACTTTAAAGAACTGGACGCTGTAATTAAACCATATATCCCAAAGAAATGCTCTCTGAAATATAGAAATGACTTCTTAGAAATTCTCGGTACCTCGCACTCTTCTGGTCTACTATCTTCGCTGGACTACTAGCTTCGCACCAGTTTGTTCACTAATGCACGCTGAAATTATTTTCAAAGTAATTTCAAGTTTCGGTATAAACTGTATCCACAATACCATCGATTTGCACTATCATTTTCAAAAGTTCGATCTCAAGTGTTGCAAAGCCCTTCACCTGCTTGATAATGAATATTGTGTATTCGAAACGTCGCATTCCATAAAAATGTCATATGGTAATTTGTTTTTGATCTCTGGACGCCAGTAAGAAATTTAGTTAGACTCATCGAAAAAAACAAATAAGTTTAATAAAAAGCATGCTCTGGTCTTCAGTTAAAGTTGCATAATATTGTAAATAAGTATCCGAATTAACATATAAGGACGTTTATAGTAGGCATAACATAACCAAACTGGAAACCGACACCGCAATCAATCCTCTCATCACGTCGTCATTTATAGGCTAACGTAGAACACAAAGCGCTCGAGTGGCCAGGTGGCGGGTGGTAAGCTTTAGAAAGCCGAAATAACGAGTATATGGGCAGCGATGTGTAATAATAATATATACATATATATAATAATTTCAAGCAGGTTTCATTGAAGACCAGAGAATTTGTTTTATTAGTTTATTTCTTAATAGTTTTTTTCAATATATCGAACAATATTTTTAGTTTGAACTTGCGAATAAAACAAATTCTCTGGTCTTCAATGAAACCTGCTTGAAAGAAGAAATTCTGCCAACCTATACTAATATATAATAATATATACATATATATATAGTGTCTGTTCACTGACTGTGTAACACCTCTGAGTTTTATTTCGCTGAAGTAGCGTCCACTTACTTCTAACATGGATGATAGTGTCCAACTGATGAACTGACATGCTGCGTGAGAGATAATGATAAGTTTTTATAGACCATTGCAAACCTTGAAATAGTTAATAAAGAGCTGATAATTGTAAGATCATAATCACTTGAATACGGTACTAATTTTCGGTACACTCCTTTAATATCAGTATACAAATCCTCAATATAATATTGCACCGGCAGCATTGAGGGACTAAGTTGTTCAACCATATACCTTCAATTGTCCACTATTTTTACCCATCCCTGTGCAGAACTTCTTTTTTTACTTTCGTGATATTATTATAACGTCATTCGTGCACCGGGAAATTCGAAAATGGTCAAATTTGATATTGATTAAGATTTTAAGATTGACTTTACATTTTCACGACAACGAAGTTTTTATGTCTGAACCAATGTTGTAAGTACTCGGCCGTGTGCTTTGAATTTTTTTTTCTGTGAAATGTAAAATAGTCGAAATGTTTTAGCGATGCCACGATTTGTAGATGGTTTTACACAGTAATCTCAATTCAGTGTATATAACGGCAATTATTTTCACATCACCTATTCCTGCATTAGAAGGAACTCAAATCTTGATAATTATTCAGCTACTTTAAAATCATCCATTTCTACCTTAGAAGTAACGCACTCAAATATTTATAATTATTTATATATTTCAAAAAGTTTAAGGTATTCAGGGGCTGTATTATTCCTTCATACACGGCTGCCGTTGGTGGCACGTCATCAAGTCAGGCTGTATAAATAAACCCCCCACTCCCACGTTTATTTATACCCTGAAAAAATTCCCACACACACGTTTATTTATACCATGAAAAAATTCCCACACACACGTTTATTTATACCATGAAAAATTCCCACACACACGTTTATTTATACCATGAAAAAATTCCCACAACCACGTTTATTTATACCCTGAAAAAATTCACACACACGCGTTTATTTATACCCTGAAAAAATTCCCACAATCCGCTGACGAAAGGCCACGCGCTATAAGTTTAATTGGTTTTCTTCATTTTTGGTGTATTTTAGAAACTTAAAATGTTTCATCGGACAAATTATTTAATCAATCAGCATAGATTAGTTTCCTTAGACCATTGTTGTTTCTACTTCTTCATTATTTTCCAATAATTATTGTGAAATGAAGTTTCAGGTAAGGTATATAGACAAAATTTAAATTGAAAGCTAATTAATCAGACAACAACTATGTTTGAACAGTACATGAATAATTTATACAATAGTGCAACCTTAAACCGGAAATCTCGATACACGAAAAGTAATGCTTCAATGACTTATTCTAATGAAAACATTTATCAATGATTTCAAAATACATATCAATCAAACATGTATCATTAATTTCAAAATCAATAACAATCAATCATGTATCATTGATTTCAAAATCAATAACAATCAATCATGTATCATTTGAACATTCCTTGAAATGCATCGCGATATATTCAATAGATTCGCTGATATCTTATGAATACCTTTTTGCTACGATTGAACATTCCTTGAAATGCATTGCGATATCTTCAATATATTCGCTAATATCTTGTGTATACCTTTTGCGACGATTGAACATTCCTTGAAATACATCGCGATATCTTCAATTCATTCGCTAATATCTTGATACCTTTTGCGACGCCTGAACATTCCTTGAAATGCATCGCGATATCTTCACTATACTCGCTAATATCTTGTGAATACCTTTTGCGACGCCTGAACATTCCTTGAAATACATCGCGATATCTTCAATATACTCGCTAATATCTTGATACCTTTTGCTACGATTGAACATTCCTTGAAATGCATCGCCATATCTTCAATATACTCGCTGATATCTTATGAATACTTTTTGCGACGCCTGAACATTCCTTGGTAGGTGCTATAGCATTCATAGCTCAAACACCTGTGTATTGTTCGTCACAGGTTCACATGGCAACGACATGCTGCCATGTGAACCTGTGACCCATGGTTGAACCATGCTGTGACCAGCTGCACCTGTCGATCAACGTAGCATTAATTTTCAGCATACCAGCGTTGATGTACATCGCTCGGGTCTTCCAATAATTTGTCCGATAATTATACAAAATTATAAAAAATAATGTTCCTATTTATC